TTGCCCTGAGCCTTTGCTTTCTGCCAGGTACACCAGCTGTCATCCCCAGGCGGACAGCTATCGTGCTGCGGATTTGTATCGGTCGACAATTTATGCTTCAACATAGCCCAGATTGCCGTCTTCATGTCTTCTGCGGAATCTTTATTTCTTCGTATTGCGAGGCCGTAAAAAAGACTCAGCTCATCAATGAGCTTTGCTGTGAGCTTGTCTTTACCACTGAGGCCTTTCGTTTCTTTTTTCAATTTCCGAAGTCGGGCTCCCATTCTTTTTTGTACGTGACCAACGCATTCTTTTTTCAATACAGTGCAATCTTCACCATAAGGTCGAGATTTGAAAATGCCTTTAAAAGTTTTACTATCGCCGTCACTAATATATGAAGAATATCTAATGTTGTGTAATTCTTCTGATCTTGAGAACATTTCGACAGCCGCGTCCACCTCCATTTTTCCGGCACTTCCAATGTGATTCGCACTGCATTCGTCTGCATGGGATTCCATCCATACCTCGTATTCCATGGTGTTCATTTTCGGCTTTCAGTACTCGCACTGTTTACAATATGAACATTTCACAAGGAGATCGAGTACTTTTCCCGTATAATGGCCGATCAACGTTGTCACTCCTTGCAACGACGAAAATCCTCGCTTTCTCCACGTTCCATCGCCAGAAACTGTCAATCCTGTTGGTTCGACTCCTTTTTCGGCATTTTTCGTCAACTCTTTCTCTTCAGCAGCAGCTTCCGAAAACAGTGAATTGGCCACGGATTTCGACGCACAAAGCACATTACTAATCACGTCGTAGTAAATTTTTTTGCTGAACATTTTCGGGAGGTCCATTATACTGCAAAACTTTCGAATGCCATTGTAACCGACACCAAGGATTCTCATCGCGAAAACGATATGCCTGTTAATTTCGTAAGCGTTTTTTATGAGCGGACAAGAGTTGATGTAGCGTGGTTCACAATTATTGCAATTGATGACTAACTTGAATCCAAGTCCACGAATACTTGATTCAGAAAAAGTCAGATTTCCGTCGCACTCTTTGCACTTCACCATTTCGCTCAGTGCTGAAAAGAAGGATAAAAATGTTATTAGACGATATCCGTGGGCAGCATTTACTGGCACTTCCACCGAGCCTGTTTTTACTTTTTTCGCGAAAGCACTTGTCGATGCAGTTTCACTCTCGAACGAATGTCGATTCGGTGGCGCCGGTTTTTTTTTTATTTCGTGAAGGTCGTCCGGGTATTTTACGCGCACCCTTTCTGTCACGCGATGATCGCCTCATTTTGAAAGAAATTAGAAATTTTTCAACCGTCGACGATACGTTTAGCGGCACGAGAAACAGCGAACTGATCACAGCTGTTCTAAATTTTGACCATAAAATTCTAATGACATCTGTTGGTGTATTAGAGAAGTTCAAAATTGAATGGTAAGTCATTATGCTGAACCCGCCGAGCAAGTAACGATTTATCGCAGGTACGCGTTTCGGAGCATTTCGGAACGTTTGAGTAATAGCTCGAAATTTTAATGAAAACGACTTCGGGCGGGTATGAGACATTTTGTCCCTTATTCTAGAGGGTTCAAAGGATTTTTTAAGCCAATAAAAAAAATCGATTTTTTGAAAATTTCACAGTGGTCTAACCCCTTAAGTAGTCTACGACGATTTCTATTATCGCATAATATACGACAGCATAATTCATATCGATATATTAAAATACGGGGTCGAAAATCTTAACGCTCAAGTTGCGAATCTATGCTGATAGCCAGCACACGATAAGAGCGAAGTGTATCCTAAAGTTCCTCGCATATTCCTCAGGTCCGAATCAGCGTCGGACAGCGAAGGGACCGAGAGTTGGCATCAGAACGCGGCCGTGCCGGAGAGCCCGACGAAGCAGCAGCCTATCCAGGAGCAGTGCGAGGAAGCGACGGAGCTGACGAATCTCATACCGGCGGGCACGAGCGAGGATCAGCTGGGCGAGAGTTCGTTGCCGCCGCCGAGTGAATTCGGCGGCGGCAATCCCTTCCTGATGTTCCTCTGCATCACGCTCTTGCTGCAGCATCGTGATTTCGTCATGAGAAATCAAATGGATTACAACGAGATGGCGATGCACTTCGACAAGATGGTCCGCCGCCACAACGTGATTCGTGTGCTTAATCAGGCGCGCCAGTTGTTCGCCGGTTACCTCAGAAGACATTCCGCCTCGGCCGGCTCGAGCTCCGCCAGCAAGCCGGACGTGAACGCGTAAACTTCTCGTCGATCCCTGAAAGTATGAAAAGCGCAAGACGGCGTTTCGATCGCGGAAAATCGTCCTTCGCTCGACGAGTCGCAGCTCGACGGCGTATATATCACGGGAAGCATGTCGCCGACTGAACCGGAAGGGTTCGATCACGGTGCTCTTCCGACGTTCCGACGAAAGATTCTTCGCAATCTCGGATTCCTACGAGCGTATCGCGTAAGGAGTGTCTCTGATTGACTTGTCTCTTCTTCCTCGATTTCTTCTTTCCTTCAACTTTCTTCCTTCCGAAGTACAAGTACAAGTACAAGAACACCTTCCGACTGATAATAACTACAGAGCATCTCATGTTTCTATTCAGACAAATCGCTGTAGGCATCCAAGGTAGCAAGGTTCGACAACGAACAAGCGACCAATGTGTAAGAGAGCAATAAGGCACGTCATGTTGCAGCGTACTTAACGTCCATTTTGCCGGAGGCAACGTTTCCAAGTACACACAAGTCGTGTATCGCGCGCTGCGTCAGAATCGAGGAAAGACGATTGATCAGAGACAAGCCCGGCCAGGCTCGTACTTACCTACCGTTTCTCAACGCTCGTTACTACCGGCGCGAGACTTCTCTCGTACTTCGCACGGATCTAGAACGGACGGATTCGACTGACGGGAAGGAGCTCAGAATACAACGATAGGAAGCGCTTTACTTAACCCGCGAATGGCACGCGTAGCACCGTTCGCGCACGCACATCACCATTCCATAATGCACAGTATCATCGCACGCGTCGACGAATCCTCCTTCTCTTCTCTGTCTAGCTGTACGCCGCTCGTCGTACGGCGCGTACGGTCTTGACGTAGAATTAAGCCCCCTTATTTGACGCATTCGGGGTCGCGGCCATCGCGTGTGTCGTTATGCGAGCGCAGCCGCGGCGCACTTCATTTTCGAAAGCGTTGAATCTGTAAGATATACATACATCCACCTTGCCCTAGCAGCTGACTCTTACTTTGTTCTCAAACGGTATGCTTGGGAAACGACAATAAAGTGCATTTAATTTTATCGCTAACGGCGATCGCTTCTATTCATTCAGCTTCGACCCGTCGACGAAATCACGAAAATCCCAAAAGGGCTCCCAGATCCCCCCAAAATGCGCTCGCCTCCCAGTGCTTTCAGTCAGCTAATTGAATTCTCACGATTTGAAACATACGCTATACGCGATACCTCGAGTACTTAGCAACGGATATGGACTTTAGATTTTAGGTCTGCGGTGTTTTCCGAGTTTTAGATAATACCAGTTACTTTTTAACGAACGCTTTTTGTTAGTAATTAAATGCGCTTGGCCTAAGCGGTGAGTGACGCGTTGCATCGTTTCGGCAACGTTGAATTATTAACTGAAGATACATATAGATAGGTGAGATGTAGTGCTATGACATGTGGCAATTAACAACTAATTACAAGGTTCATTATTATTCCCTCTTCAGTTGTACTTGCTTTGTTAATTTTCTTCAAAGCATGAGCGAATAATTGTTTTCTTTTTTCGAGTATGGCTAAGAACGTACAATATCGTCGATAGCGATAAGTTATCAGCTATAGTGAATTATATAGTGAAAAGGTAAAAGGCTAGTGCGATACTAGTGCTTTCTTATTTTGCAATAAAAACGATACAAACAAGTTGCAATCGACATACATGCTGTACACACTCCTATGCAATTAAGAAACAAAATCTTGCTTCATTATAATAAAATTTATCAAAATTTCAATTCTACACTTTGTATGTGTTATAAATACAAAAATATTTAAGTATTAAGGAATTGTAAAAAAAAAAGAGAAATATCTCTACAGAATACAGTCAAATACGAATTCCACGAGGATCATGTCGCAAGATAATTAAGATAAATTAGAAATAAACGGCTTGGAATCAAACTCTACAAATTTTCCAAAGAATACACGGTAAATTTGTATTATAAAATGTGGATTTTTCTGGATTTCACGTCGAAGCAAGCCTCATTCCTGTCTTATCCTCTTGCCGTTGGCAAGCGGGTCATTTCAAATGTTATGCGCGTTCAGTATCGATCATAAACTCGAAGTTTCGATTTGTCGCGGCGCAACGAACGGAGCGACTGGCTGCGTTCAAAGAACAATGGCGCTCACTGAGCGATTATTGCTTTTTAATGGCTGCGTTTAGGGAACAAAACGCTGGTGCGAGCGATTAGTGATTATTGGTCTTAATGTTAGGTTAAGTTCTTACATTCAGACCAACGTTCAGACTAATAATGTTGAACGAATAATGTTGACGAAGTTACTCAACCGGTGAGCCGCAGTCTGAACGCAGCCATTCTCTCGGTCGTGTAGTCGTAGTTCCGCATGCGCTGTTCGAACATTGCGATTGGCTTGTGTGAGTAGTGTATCGTGATCATCGTGTGCGAAGAAACAGTCGCATTATTATTGCGTCATGTGAGTAAACTGTGGAAATTTTTGCTCCTGTACCTTCATCTTTTCTTACATACGATCATTTCTCGACTCCTGCGAACCTTCAAAAATTCCCATGAATCATTACCACGTAAACGACACGTTTTAACGTTATTTTATCGGTTTGGTTTGTAACGGTGCTTGACTCTTCATGTTCGCAGAATTGTCAATAAATCGTGAACGAAACAAGGGTTGAAGGAGCAAGATGTTATTAGCGAGAGCCTGCCGAGCTGGCATTAGCTCGCCGGCTCTGTCGTCCCTCATCAGGACGCCAGTTGTACCGACAAGGCCACAATTCTCCAAAGGTCAGATCGCTAGATTATTCGTCAGCGATGGACGCAGCTCATACACGAGAACTGCAAGGAGGAGGGCCACCGCAGCGGAACAAGCGATGGCTCCGGCTGGTGAAACTGGTAAGTTGGCAATATTTTTTCCTTATATATTCATATAAAAGACCTGAAGAAAAGGCTGGTACTATTTGCATGACTACTTTATTAACAGAAATTTCAACAGATATTCTCTTAAACTTATCAAGCTAAATGACGTCTCTGTATCGTTCCTTCTTCATGTTATGTTGTTTGCAGCTTTTGACATTGGAAAAGGAGCAGTCGCTGGAGGCGCTGTGCTGGGATTGGGTGCACTATGTTATTATGGATTAGGTCTCTCTTCAACTACAGGTGCTATAGATCATGCAAGGTGTGCAATATGTCCATATCAGGTCATTGTGTTTTCTTGTGATCGTGATATTATTGTAATATCGTGATCAATGTAAAACATATTTTTTTTATATTTTTAATATTGCAAATGTTTATATTTCGTACTAAAAGCTTAGTAATATATAATAGTATGTGCAATATACAACTTAGTTGCATAGAGATATTTCTAATTACTACCTGATTACAGTTATAAGATAATCAAAAATTATAATTATCTGCATTCATGCAGCTTATGGCCGCAATACGTCAGAGAGAGAATAAAGTCCACCTACACTTACTTTGGTACATCAATCGCAGTCAGTACGGCATCTGCAGCAGTGTGTCTGTGTTCACCTGCGGTGATGAACATGGTAATGCGTCAGGGATGGGTCGCACTGGCTGTCTCGTTGGCCGCGATGATAAGCACCGGCATGTTGGTACAAGGACTCCCGTATGAGGAGGGTTTCGGCGCTAAGCAGATGGCTTGGCTGGTACATACCAGCGTGGTGGGTGCTGTACTGGCGCCGTTATACCTCCTGGGTGGACCTCTGGTCCTGCGGGCAGCTTGGTGCACCGCTGGTGTTGTCGGTAGCTTGTCAGCAGTTGCCGTTTGCGCGCCCAGCGATAAGTTCTTGAAAATGGGCGGCCCGCTCGCTATCGGTTTGGGTGTGGTGTTTGCCAGCTCTTTGGGCTCCGTGTTTCTACCGCCGACCACCATTCTTGGGTCAGGATTACACTCTATAGCGCTTTACGGAGGTCTGCTGCTGTTCTCCGGCTTCCTGCTCTACGACACGCAGAGAATCATCCAGCAGGCGGAGACGTACAGCATTTATGGCAGACCGTATGATCCAATTAATAAGTGAGTAATTGACGAATCATACTAGACGCTTGAAATATGTTAATCCTTGCTCAGAGATCAATCGTTATAGACTGATGTTGAACACGATCTTGCGAATCTTCCTCAGGTTAGAAGATCATGAAACAATTTTTGCAATCTGGCGTGTGAAATCTAATCTATCACGGACAAGAGTACTGTTGCGTCTAAGAACCATTTTATTACCACGAGAGTAATCATCTTTTCATTCTTGTAGCGCAATTTCGATCTACCTGGACACGATCAACATCTTCGTACGGATTCTGTCCATACTGGCCGGCGGTGGTGGCAATCGACGCAAGTAGAGGAATAGTGCGGAATTATATAGTATTATGAAATCAACGTTTCTTACAAATTCTAGCGTATGTTTTAATATTTTTGTCATAACTTTCGTCTTTATTAAGGATAAATTGTACAGTTCTAACTTGCAATAAACAACTGGGTTATTTAAGTAATCCGCCATCATGTATTCGGGTCCCTTTGCGAGGAGGGGCTTGCCACACAACGTACTGCAATCCCGCAGACGGCTGTTGCAATCCTACGCTTTGCCAAAACCGCCGCGCGTTACTCGGAATACGCGGAAATGCCGTGTCCATATTTGTTTCTCACACACGCGCTTTACCGACGACATTCGAGCAACGTCTGCGCGTAATGAACTCGGAGCTACTACTCTTCGATGACATCTCGGCGGAACATCCGCATTTAGCGGTAATTGCAGCCGTCTGGCTGTACTGTATCTGTGCAAATACAAAGATAGATCGACACGAACGTGCAATGGAACAGTCCTGCAATCGCATCCAGCGAGCGAATTCGCGGCATCCAACGACGTCGAAAAATTGGACGTCAAATTTGTCGCTACTTGTATAATTATTTAGTCTTAACAGCAGCATTAATAACCCATCCGCGGGGCGTGGGGATTAGCTAACGACGACGAGCGCGAACAATGTGTCGGTCGTCGACTCGCACGTCGCTCCAAATCAAGATCGACCACCGTGCTGATAATTGGAGAAGAGTCGGGGAGAGCATGTCGAGAGGTGGAGAAGAGGACAAAGCGAGTTGGCAACCCCCGTGCGAGGAGGGGTTTGCGCCTGCGTTCTCCGCCTCGTCGCCAAGGGTGAAACCGACACGCGACACGACGGGGGCGGACGGACGGGGAAAAAGAGAGAAACGAGGACGGGGACGCTCGTCGGAGCGAGAGGGCGGTATCCATCGGGCGGAGAGACAGAGAGAGAGAGGAAACGAGAGGGACATTGAACGCCGACACCGTGGCCTCGCAGTCTCCTCTCGTTCTCGCGCCGCACGAAAACGCATCGCTGCGCGCTTCCTTTTGCATTTCTTCCGTGAGTCAGCGCGCACTCCGGCTCGCCGTTTCCGCGCTCTCTCGCTGAACAGCGCATTCCTCAGAGCTGCACCCGGTACAGCGTTCGCGGTGCGAGGTCCTTGAGGCGGCGGCTCAACGCGCGAAGGACACGCGGAGCGGAAGAGAAGGGAAGATCTTCGTCCTGCGGCAGGAGCAGAGCCGTCTGCGATCTTCGTCGCCGTTCGAGAACGTAAGTGACAATTTCTCTCTCTCGCTCTCTCTCTCTCTCTCTCTCTCTCTCTCTCTCTCTCTCTCTCTCTCTCTCTCTCTCTTTCGCGAATGGTACATACGCCTATGCAGGTGCGCGGTTGTGTGTGTGCGTGGATGATCGCGTCGGGATGCGTGGGTGACGAAGTGTATTGTATTGCATGGGATCCTTTTTTCTTTTACCAAAACCGTGGCGACCCCATCGACGGGATGACAGGTCGTGAGTCATACGAGGAGTCCCGTTCGCGGGATGTTCTCCGTTTCGTAACTCCTTCGGGGACTCGAGGCCTTTGTTTCGACGTCTGATCGATTGGTCGGGATGATAATTGGCATTGACGAGCGTGAAACACGGCCGATGGCAAGGGGAAAATTAATCTCCCTGAGAGAACAGATCTCCGGTACCTCTCGCGACAATTTGATTTGGACAACTCGCGAGCTCGACAACTTGCGAATTCTTTGTCTGTCTTGTCGGACGCCGTAAGCGTAAATATCGCAGGACAAATCTATGCGCGGCGATAACGGTGAGCTGAATATATCCGGCGAGCTAACATTGAGAGCGGCAGTTGCCGCGTGAACTGATGTAAGTTCGAGCGACGTAATTAAAACTTAGACTCGCGCAATTAGAGCGACCTATTGATTCGTCAACGTGACGACACGAATATTTATCCCGCAATCGTTGGAGCCGATGTATGCTCGTCACAACGAGTGCTCTCCCACCCGGCGAATATTCCAATAATCGAATCCAATAGTCATTATAAGTTCGCTATAAATAACTATGCCGCATCAGCGAGGACTCGTCGCGTCGTCGTCGCGCAGATTCAAACAATGCCTTGCTCGGGATGCAACTCTTCTCGCGAATCTTCCCCTTTGCGCACTCCTTTCGTGTTACCCCCAGCGGCTTAACATACAACAGTAACGCTCGGCTGAAAGTAGCTGTACATCTCGTCGCGCGTGTTCCGCGTGCGACCGCCTCGAGGCGGAACGCGCAGCGGTGCACGCGTGCAACAAGGTGCATCTCGTTAACGACGAGGCCGGCGTCGCGATGTGCGCTTTCGCGCGGATAAAATTCGCGGCACGCGCCGCCGACGACGACGCTCTTCCGAGCGTCGCGACAGAAAGAGCGACGCCGTGACGCGTCGCGTCGCGTCGCGTCGCGGCGAGTCGATCGATCGACGCGTGACTGACTGACTGGCTGGCTGGCTGGCTACGCAAGCAACGCGTCGCCAGCGAGATCATCAAGCCGGACTTCACGAAGATATCGGAATCAATCGCGACTCCACGTGTAAGGCGAGATTTTCGTCTCGCGGAATCAACGGATTCCCGCAGCGATTCCCGAATCGTTCTTCGCCTGCGGTCGGATTTGTAGAGCAAGTCGAATTCTGAAATTTGGAACTTGGGGCCTCGCGAAGTGAATTTGAGATATTCGTCAAGTAACAGATGCAAAGTCTGGAAAGGGAGTTCTAAAAATATGCGAAAGACTGAATTTATCGAGAGAGATATTTTAAAGATCTCTCGACGGAATCAGAATCGACTTGTGAAGGACAATTTGAAAGGAAATTCGATTACGGTATATTATTAGCTGACTCGTAAAATTGCAAAAATTTTCTTAGCAAGGCTGAGACTGAAATAAACTCCTCAATGATGCCACGTTAAATACGCGCGACAGACGCGGACGGATGGCGCGCATCGCGAAAGAAAACTTCGAGGGGTTGTAAAGCAAGATGAGGGCGGCTGAGAGGGTGCATAGGGGTTGCCTGAGGGTTGCCGCGCACGTGCGAGACGGAGATGACGCTACGTAGACGACAGGACCGGCTTCTGGGGATAACGGGAAATCGGTTGCGGGTTGTACGGAGGGTATTATTTGTCAAAATATTTTCATCCTCAATATCCGTTCTCGAATTCAGAACTCGCTGCACTGCTTTACTTAGTTTCCGCGGCGCTCGCGAGACGCTAAACTGATAATTCTGTGTCTGAAAGAATAACATGGAAGTTACGCGGAAACGGAGAAAGATAAAACTCAAAATGATACAGCGAGTCGATGGCAGAGTTTATCACTGCCGATCAACGCGAGAAGACGGGGGGGAAGAAGTCGAAGAAACCGAAGAAAGGCGACCGCGGGTGCGAAATCGAGACTCCCGAGGGGTTGGGAATTTTTTTTCGGAGGGTGATCTTACATCCAAGACCGTCCCTGACGGACGACGGCTGCGAGGGATGGCGGACGGGGAGAGGAGCGGGAAGGGGGGGCCGGCCGGAGAGGGTGAAACGAGGGTGTCGGTCGTGAGTCGATAAACCGCGGGGAACGCGAGCACCCTTGCGCACGGCTTCAACATGGCGGACGGTGAGTCCCATTCCCTTTTCCCGTCGGTCGCCTTGCAAATGCCGGCCGGACGAGAGAGAGCGTGTCGTACGATCGATTCCGCCGCGACTCATCGGCAGCCCCGACGCGTTTCTTCCGCGCTCGTCGTCGCGGAGGACTCCTGTGCGCGCCAGGTCAGGTGCTCGCGTACGTTTCCGTGTTCGCGAGGTACGCGAGATCGGCGTCGAGACCGGCCGCGATGATCCGCGGGGGCGACTCTGCTTCCGCACCCCCGTGCCACTCTCCGCAGCGGTGCGTCTAACATTTCCGGTTCTCTTTCAGACACGGACGAATCGACATGCGGCTCAGGGAGGCCGTCGTCTCGGTGCCGCTGCATCCTGCTGGACTGAACAACAAGTAAGTGACAGAGAAACGCGCGCGCACTCCGGCGATGGCAAAAATTGTGTTTAATCGCCGGCGGCTGGCCGTGCGATCACGTGCGAAGATAATAATCGGCCTGATCGAAACGCCGCCGGAGGGCGGCCGTCGGCCCGGCCGGGGGAGAAAATTGCCCCTCGCGCACTTCGTGTTACGTAATGCGTGTTTCGCAGCATCGCGCCGCGGCGTCGTCGCGCGCTCGTTATTTCTCCGCATTTTCGCCGCGCCGATAATTCATCAGCGCGAAACACGTCGCGGCTGAAACGCGGCTGAGATTGCGTGACCTGCCCTCTTTGCATCGTGAATGTTTCATTTGCTCAGTTGCTGTATCTGCACTCCTCTACGCGGACTTGCCTTTTAACACATGTTTTATTCAAGACGCGGCGGTACCACGAAGGAGGGCTCTCTGCTCTTATCTCGAGAGACGGAAGAGAACGTCAGCTGTAATTTAATTGTAGTCGATACAGTATCAGTTGCTATTCTTCCGTTGCTCTACGGAGCAACGGGAACTCCGCGCGAAAGTTGCGAGTTGCGAGTTGCGAGTTCAACAATTGATCACGAACGCTAATCAGTCTGTCCCCGACTTTGAAAGATTTACAAAATCACGTGCGCGACGACTCGACCTCGCGATAATCGCAATATCGCTTCTGGTCGTCGAAAAGAATCCACTCGAGCAACTCGATGAAGCGTTCGAGCTGCCGCCGCAGCACCAAGACTTCCCAAGACGTATCCCATCGTCACTCGTCGTTCGCCCCAAGGACCGATTCAATGTCCCGATATCCCGATGGGAACGAATATCAGCCAACATCAGCAACATCACATCAACGTTCTAACTTCTCACTCGACTCTCTTGCGTGCAACACGTGTTCCATCGCACTCGCACGCTGCTGAATGAGAAATTGTGCTATCGATGCGATGTTGCTGTTGTGTAGTTGCCGGGCTTCCTCTGTCATTCATCCCGACGTAGTACGTCCTTCGACTCGCCGGCTACACGCGCAGCGTCGTCGAGGTATCCTTCGCAAAGAAGCCGGCCCACGTAGGCCGCCGCAGTCTTCCAGCGGATTCGCGACAAAGTCACCTGATTATTTTCTACTTGCGAGCGCGCTATAAATATAAACGCGCGCGTGGTACCTTCCTTCTCTCTCTCTCTCTCTCTCTCTCTCTTTCTCTCTCTCTTGGCGGTGGCCGTGTAGGCGTGTTGCCTATACTCTCGGCGCCGCGCCGCCTATACCTCGACGGCCGTTACTGCTTTGTGCCCAGCGTACGTACGTACGTACCTACGTATGTACGTGTAGTATCGATCCACCTGGACTCATTTCTCGGTCTCGCACGCAGCCAGCTCCGCAGGCACGGCCCGAGCCGGAGCATCGCCGGCGAGATCGGCGATCGCAACGAGAACGCGACGAGCCCGGGCTCGCTCGCGTCGGAGCCGGACTCCGCGGACTTCCGGCTGGCCGAGGACACCACCACGTGGTCCTCATTGGCGATCGCGCGCGACAACGTGCAGCAGAGCAACTCGCCGCTGCAGCAGCCGGTCAACGTCAACAATAATCTCACCGAGCCGAAGATACAGAGGAACAGCTCCGTCGAGAGTCTCGCCGATTATGAGGGTGAGTTTTGCTCGCTCGTGTATGTGTATGTGCGTGCGTGTGTGTGTGTATGTGTGTCTCGTGAGTCGAAAGAGGAAAAGATGGGAAGGGTCAGAGGAGAAAGGGAGATCATTGCCTCCCTAGAGTCGCGGGAAAATTCACGTGGAAGACGGTCGAGACTTGGCGAGGAATATCCTTCAACGAGCCGTACAGTTGTTTTTGCAGCGAGTATGGATCTTTCTTTTTATTCGAGGGTTGCGTAAGATTGCGCAAGTGCCTGACAAAGCGGGGTGTCTTTAACGGAACGCGCGGGATAAGTGAGGAGGAACGAACGTTCGTTTCTCGTTAACTTTTTTCCTTCTCCCTTGATGCGCGTATAAATAAGTTACTGGATCGAAACGACAATGGCGCGCTCAATGAGACGTCACCGTCAATTATCCGACGCGTTATTAAGCCACTTACGCGCCGCTCGGATCGTTTATTTCAGCGTGGAAAACGATGATCCGAATGGCGCTGGACGTGTGAAACAGGTATTGTAGCGCGCTTGATGAAGTGACCGATTCGAGTTTGCACACGTTGCCGCGCGCGCGTTTGCACTCGCCGGAGGGAGGACGAGTCATAGAAATCCCGCGAAACGGATTCGCGTCTTTCATCCGGTGGCGGGTGTGTGAGTCGATAAAGAGCGTGATAAAGAGGATTTTCAGCGGCGGCCACGAGAAAGAGAAAGTAGCTTAAAGTCGATGACGTGTATTATTAGGCACAACCGAAGAGCGATCCGCCAACGTAAACAACAATCTGACTGAGCCCAGGATACGAAGGAACAGCTCCGTCGAGAGCCTCGCCGACTACGAAGGTGAGCTCCTTCGTCCTGAATCCATTCATGGTGTCCAGGATGTCCGCCTTCTCAGAGGAATTTTCTCTCGACTGACTTGAAGCTGCTGACGAAAACGACACCTCTCTTCCTTTAAATTCCTCGGAGTTAAGAAAATATTTCCAAGCCAAATTCTCATTAATGCGCTTATTTTCCGAAATATTTCTATTTTCTCTTTATTCTTGAATTTTTGGAAATTTTTTTAAGATTTTACGAGTCATATACTTACGATCAAGGTCCTTGAAAGGAGCAACTTGCAGGAAGACCACCGAGAAAAGCCTTTCTTCAACTTCAAAGGGTCAGTCTCGAGAGGAGAGAGAGAGAAGGAGGCAGGCAAATTTGTTTCCACCAGTTTCAAGTGAACTCGAAAGAAATCCCCCTGAGATGGCGATCCTGAGGACTCTGTATACACGAATCGATCCTGCCGAGAGGACGCGACGCGCCTCTCGACGATCGAGTCGCGCGCACGTAGTCGTCGTCAGAACTCACACATAAACACATAAATGCAGCCGCACATAAATTTTATACATTCACGTAGACATGTTGCAATTTCATCCTGCAAGCACGAGATCATTCACGTAGGAAGAAAAAGAGGATGATCGATTGAGGCAGTCGGGCGATGAGAGACAGCGAGGCGAGCGCGCGCGCGCGGAGCAACAATCGTGCGAGCGATGACTGGACGGACGCGCGCGCGCTCGCGTCTCCGAATCACCTATTAATATCGCGGATCATCGCATCTATCGGACATTGAGCAATTGATCGCCCTACTTTTTACTCACGCTTCTTCAGAGTGCCGCACGTTGTGCGGAACGTCCGAGATTTTATTGGAAAGTAATGGTGGTCGAAGGTTTCGTCGCGCTTTCGCGACGCCACGGCCGCTCGTGGCGAACTTCGATATTTTCCAACGGCTGCCATTAATAACGCGTGGCGCATCCTTGACATTAAACCATCATCCGCGATGAGGCGATCCGGAATCGTGTAACTTTAGGTCGAGATCGAGATTATCGTCGAATTGGGCGTCTCGCCATGATAATTAGCTCGCGGCCGCCGCGAACAGCTTCGGACTGCGCGGACGGGAAAGACAACTTTGTACCGATGTGAACTTAGCGCCCAACTTTAAAAAATTTGTTTAATGTTTATATCATAGGTTTGTATCTTGTTTGTACCTGTTTGTACCATATTTTATTTCGTTTGTACCTAAAGGGTTAAAAAGTTATGGAAGGATAAAAAATCGCCAGCGCCCAACTTTAAGATATCTGAAAACGGCCAACGCCATTCGAAAGAGCATCGTTTGTACCCGTTTGTACCTCCTTTCAAATCGTTTGTACCTCAAAGGGCTCGGAAGTACAGGCTTTTCAAAATACGCGCTGAAGGTACTTCCGCCATTTTTCAAGATATTTGAAAACGGCCAACGCCATTCGAAAGAGCATTCTGTACTTCCGAGCCCTTTGAGGTACAAACGATTTGAAAGGAGGTACAAACGGGTACAAACGATGCTCTTTCGAATGGCGTTGGCCGTTTTTAAATATCTTAAAGTTGGGCGCTGGCGATTTTTTTACCCTTCCATAACTTTTTAACCCTTTAGGTACAAACGAAATAAAATATGGTACAAACAGGTACAAACGAGATACAAACCTATGATATAAACATTTAAAAAATTTTTTAAAGTTAGGCGCTAAGTTCACATCGGTCAACTTTGTGATGCCCCTTTTCACCGATGTCGATGAAACGTTAACCCGACTTCCAATCTTGGTCCGAATAGAGTCTAAACTCAGCTTTGATCGACGTCGGTAGAGACTGACGTTGCTGTCCGCAAGTGGATTTTTCGCATTGTCTGCGGACGAGAAATGCTAAATCATTCGGGTGTTGGGAACAGAGAGACTCTGGAGTCGTTCATTCATATTAACGCCCGACTTTTTTATAAGTATTTTAAGAATAAAATTTGAATTTTTTTGAACTGAAACTATAAGTAGTGGTAACCAAAAAAGATATCAGAATTTTATATTTACGAAAAACTACTTTCTGAATAAATGAGTACGTGAAGTTTCCGCTTTTCGTTTGTCGGTTTCGTTAGTTTGGTTTTTTTTATCGTTCGTTTTTTGTTTATTGGTAAATATAATTTGGATATATTAAAGCAAATACGAAATGAGCAATCTATACAGAGAAAAATGAAGGGTAATCTATACGACATAACTCTGATAGTCAGCTTGACATTTTTGAACTGAAATTTTGCTATATTTGTGAGTGAAGTTTATCATTCAGAGCGTTAAGCTTACTATTTCAGAAGAATATCTTATAGATCATCATTTAGATAGTCAATCGTCCCTTCATTTTTCGCCGCATAAAAAACTGTAGGTCACCAGGTTTCACGAAAATAGCTTGATTTCTTGATTTTCGTGTCATATTGGATTCGCCATTTTGAATTTCTGTATTCTTTTAATTTCACACTTTGTATCTGAGAAAGCTTCCAAATGTATAAAATTATAACAGATACCAATCTATTCATTTATAGTGCACTTCTAGATGTCAGTAACAATGCTAACTATGCCTACTTGGAATTTGACAAAACATATTATCATTAAAACTGAGCTAAGAATAGACTAAACCGAATCTACATACAATCTATATACCATTTTTTCGAAGAAGAATTCACCTTTACGGCGCAGGTGCAAAGAAAACGAAAATATCTCCATTTTTGACTAAGTTATGGATTCTTAAATACTTTTCTGGTAACTATAGTTACTAGTAGGCGTTAAAGGGTTAAAGAGTAAATTCACCACGAGCGACTGGATGATCTGAGAAAACGATCATATACCGAGAACTGACCGAGATCGAGAATTATCCGAAGCGGCATGGCGAATTGTCCTCATCATCACCCGCGAGAACGAGAGTTCTCTCTGTGTGTGTGTGTGTGTGTGTGTATGTGTGTATGTGTACGAGCGGCGAGGGTCTTGCGGGTGGGCTGAGAGGCGATGAAAGCTCCCTACGAGCGAGCACGAGCCAGTCTCTCACTATGATGACGATGAGTCACGTTCCGACGAGACGTCCAATTATTCGGTATTCCGGCCGATGCTGAGGCAGAGTGCGCGCCAATTGTTGCAGGACGCAACTCGCCGCAGGAGAACTCGTCGCACGAGCTGACGCCGTCCGAGTGGTCCGACTGGTCCGAGGAAGGGAACCTGCCGGCGGGCTGCCGCGGAATCGTCAACCCCAACTACCCCGGTTTCCAGCACCTGGCGCCTTCCTTGCTGTCAGACACCGACCTGACCGAGGACGAGCACGACAGCTGTTCCGACTACCCGCCGCTCTACCCTGGCATCCACCAGGAGCAGGCGCCATTGGAGAACGGCAACGAGTACAACAACAACGTCGACGACAGCATCAATCATCTGTGCGGCCAACGGAACGACCGCAAGGTCTTCTACGAGAAGCCCAAGTTCAACATACAGGTGATGTGCATTTTTGGATGGACCGGCCGTTGATTTGACCTTGAAGGGCAAGTTTCACGTCGAACCGGAAGCCCTTCATCGCTCTGCAGCGAACGAGTAGTAAATCGAATCTGTCATTAGTGAAACGGCGCGCGTCGACTCGACAAGGGCCGTGCAGCCAGTCGAGTCGACTGTCGGTGGTTATCAACGCGTAAAAATAATCGAGCGTACTCCTACGAGCGTACAAGCGTGACATCATCATGCCGCTCTCGTCTCTCTCTCTCTCGTTCCAGACTGTGACTTCTCTGTACGAGTCGGTGGTGCCGCCTTCGGAAAAGTGCATCAACTACGTTAAGAGCGTGGAGGTCTCCAGGTCCGAGGAGAAGTCGCTGTCGCCGGAGCCGGAGGTCGTCGTGAACGGCGTCGTCGAGGCGGAGACCCACTTGACGGTCTTGGAGCCGGAAGAGGGCCTGGCCGACCAGGTGGACCAGCACGCGCCCGAACTGTCGCAGGCAGTCCTCGAGGATAAACGGGAGCGCGAAGTGCCGGTTGAGGTCGAGCTGGTGGAGCTCACCACCAGCGTGAACGAGAGCCTGCAGTTTCCGGAAATCGAGGAGATCGTGGACTCCAGCAAGACCAGCGAGATCAGCGAGGTGAGTGTGAATTGGAAGTATTTTGCTTTTAATGATGACTTCGATATATCGAGATGCTAAATATAACGATGCCAATTAAAAATCAAATTTTGCATCGATTAGGCGATTAGGAGAAATGTTGGACGAAAAAGGGCAGGAAAAAGAATAGGATATTTGAAAATTATTTGATTTCGCCAGCGGTTTTTTTTCTCTCTAAAGACCTACCGAATTTTTAATGTAACCACCGAACAATTGCGGTCGCGTTTAATTTAACCTCGATTAACATTCAAGCTTCGCCGGAGCGAATTAAAGCTGCTCATTGTCGCTAAATATTCCTCGATCGTTGCCCGCTCGCGATATTTAATCTCGTCTCGCGAGATACGCAATTCTTTTCGACCTACGTGCCGACTGAGCACATTCCTACGACCGGCTGACGCTTCCTCGACGTTGCCCGATTAATTTGCACGACAATCGCGCGATGTGTCTCCCGGCTAATCCTACTTCCCGTCACTGCGGCCGACTCGCGCCCGTCCTAACTGTCGACGCGCTCGAGCACGGTCGATTAAACGCGCACGATCTCGGTTGGCCGCTCAGACGGAGGACGTCGCGGTGGAGCACATCGACCTGATACGCGAGGCAAAGGAGTTGCCTCACCCAGCCCGGTCCAAAATAGGCAACCGTCAGCCGGTGACGTCGGGCGGCTCGGCCGACGACGACGAGTCGGAGAGTAACAGCGACTACTCCGAGGGCTTCGCCGAGGAGCGGCCGACGTACACGAAACTGGAGGAGATCGACTTGCTGTCGAGCATCGGTCGGGACATCGGCGTCGACCTCGAGAAATACGCCCAGCCGGTGCCGGACGTGGTCGCGATGGAGTCGATCGAGAGCATACGCGCTCAGCCGCGATCCACCTCGGTCATCAAGGACCACGTGGAGGACACCAACAAGCTACTGGACCGTGAACTGCCAGAGGCCTCCAGCGTGGACGCTCGGAAGAAGGAGAAGATGGCCAGAAACCAGGCCAAGCGCCGCCAACAGCAGCAGCAGCAACAGCAGCAACATCAGCAGTATCAGCACCCACGAATCTCCAATGTTCACAGACGTCCTGATAAGCGCAGAGCTGACATCGAGAACGGGCCAGGTAGATCTTTTCATGCGAGTATTGTATTCTCTTGTGTATGTGTGTGTGTGTGTGTTGGGCTGTATTTTTATTTTGTTAATTTATTTTTATCATAATCGTCGTTATTGCTTATGCGGGTTTTTTAACCGCTACTAGCGTGATCTTTATTATTATTATTTTCTTTTTTTTGAGATATTAAATGATGAGCGTCAGTAACGTTGGATGTATGTCGGTTATTATTAGTATTATTACTGTTAAATAAAAAGAGGAATCGATACTAAGGCAGCTCGAAAAGCCCGCGATAAAGAGCACAGCGGGAGATTCGGGACAACGGGTTGTGCAACGGATACATATTTAACGCGCCTCGTGTAAAATACACAACCGGACAAGATAAATCGTAGATTTCGACCTCTCGAGATTACGTATGCACGCGATGCTCCGGCACACTCGGCAGTTTCCGTTCAGCTGTTTCGGTCGTACCTCCGCCTCGTCGCTGTAAAGGACTCTCACGTTTGACATTTGCGCACTGTTAAAGGCGGCTTCGACGTTTACAACATCGAGACGGCGATGCCAAAGATCGACTTGGACGCTATCGAGTCACACCTCAGAGCCGCTCGCGAGGAGGAACGTCGGGTGAGTGATTAGCAATTTTTCAAGTAATGATTATTTCTCGCGCGCGAGTGTGTACGTAGCGACTTCAAGTCTCCGTTTAACGTCGCAGGATAATGGTGTTGCGATTAGGAATATTTTTACGATCGAAATATACCGTGCAAAAATTGTGCATTCCTTTTTACTTGGCTGCTTCATACATCAATTTCTTCTCTGACGCTCAATGCAATGCCATCGATTTCCAGTCTTTCTCTCCTCTCTCTCTCTCTCTCTCTCTCTCTCTCTCTCCTCTCTCTTTTGCTCTCTTGTACAAAAAAATACACTCTTGAGCCAACTAAAGCTCTGCCGGATCAACGAAAGTCTCCGGTTTATTCGCGTGTAGTCCACTCGTGCGTCCACTTCAGTGTTTCATCCGGTTATCCGCTCGAGACTCTCTTGAATACGTTCGACAAACAACATCAATTCCGCGTATCTCTAAAGTTTCACGTTTGCATCGAATGCACTACGCGGGGGCATCTATGTGGTGGGCGGATGCATATGTAGGTCTTATTCGAGTACCTCGAGCGAACGTGCAACAGGACTTAGAAAGCGTCATCTCGGGAACGTCCGATTTTCCGGAGAGATTTCGCCGGATTTTCTTCCCGGAACTGTCTGACAGGCGACATTATTTCCTGTGATTATATCTGCATGCCGCAAAGCGCGATATATTTCGACACACATAATTATTATTGGATACATCGAATAATACTGCAATTTATCCGCCTAAATTAGCAGCGACCGCGTATCCAAATTTCGGCCGTTGAAAATTGATTTGGGCTGAAGACGTCACGGTTTATTATTATCAATGAAGGCGCGCGCGCGCACACGCGCGATGTTTTGCATCACGCGACTGATAAACCCTGACATGTTCGAGGATTTCGAATGACGAAGTGCAGCGAGCGATGCGATGTAATAAATTGAGCTTGTGTGCTGTGCATTCGGATCTACCACGGCGGCTGATAAAAATATTTAGCGGGAGCAATTAATATACGTACGAATCCGCTCCGTGTGATCTTTTATTTCGCTTTCTGCAACGTTCTTCCCGACGTGATAACGTTTTTAGGCTTTTCAGTCCACTGGGATCGCGAGAGAACCGTGCATCGCGCTCCGAATGTTGAATTGCGCGTAGGTCAGAAGTCACGCATGACCGGTCAACCGAAACGTTTTACGCACGACCCCGAAGATGACTTAACGATCTTTTGTTACAACGATGTAGCCGACGCGTTGCAGCCTGCATAGTGCATCAAACACGAAGCATTTCTTCCACGCGGTCAATTATTAGGCTCTCTAGACTCTCCACCTGATGGCAGGCTCGTGAAAATTGAATGTATAACTTGCTGCATTTTATGTGTTTAATCATCTTCGGATACATATTTTTTGTTCGCACAATTATCCGTTATTATACAGCAGCCACAATGTATTGTGTGGCAAAAACTACTGTAAAAATAAATCAGATTTTTTCTTTTCTGCTCATCGAATGCCTGATAGTATAGCTTCTTTCCAACATTAATTTCTTATAAAATAACTAATAACTTAAAAAAGAAATGTTAAATTGAAACGTTGACATATTCTAATATCTCACAAGAGTAAGATCCAATCGGAATTATTTTGATCGTTTGCACATCTCGCTAGGTGTAATATCCGAGGTGGAATAACTGAAGCGAGGGAAATCGTAAAAAAAAAAAAACAAAAAACAAAACTGTTTTCAAGTGACAAAAAACCGAGGCCGAAGCAGAGACAATCCTCGTGCGGCGACGAGCGAAGCGTCAGCTCGGCTCAATGACTTAATACCCGAGTGACGCGTCGCGATTTATCCGCACGCGGCATCTGGTGGATACACTCCACCCGTTTTACGCGTGTCGTAGAGCGAATTGCACACGCGAACTCGGAAACGCGGCCGACACGCACTAGCCAACACACTCTCGTCCAGCAGCACTTTCACCGAGAATCGTGAGAAGCGCCTTCCTAGGTGCTAGGCCAGGTAGAGACTCGTGCCGCCGCCACCTCCACGACCACTACCACCACTACCACCACCATCACCACCACCATCGCCGCAGCCGCTACCTTCGCGATCGAGCACCTCCTTCGGCCGGCAAACCTTAACGAAGGATCTCACTCGACTCACCTCGCGACTCAGTCTCGCGCCGTCTTTGTCTCGCGCGCGCGGGTCTCGTGACTCGCGAATACTCCTCGGGGTCATCACCAGCCTTCGCATCGACAGCCTTGCTCGTGCGATATCGGCGACTCCCTTTCTAGATCACGATTCTCTGACCGGTAGCGCGAGACTGCGAGAAAGCGAGTTCGCCGTGCGAGTGAAAAGAGGCTCTCGAGGGTGACGAGAGACTCGTGGAAGCCCAGAGAGCGGGACAACACCTGAGACTGCAGCTGGTGAACGCTGATGGATCGGCGCGGCTAAGTCCGTAAGGGAGAGAGGAGGAGGAGGAGAGGGGCGAAGCTGCGCTCGTATTTTTCCGATAAGGACGAGATCAGAGCAGCAGGTGCACGACGAGAGAGTGCGCGATCATGGGCAGCAGCAACAAGTCGCGCAAGCACTACAAGAAGGACTCGCGATTCGTCGCGGACCTCTACACGTTCACTTACGACGACTTCGATCTTGTAAGGAGCGCGCGCGTGGACGAAGGGCGACACGGTGTACCGCATCGCGCGTTTCGCAAAACCGACGAACTGCGGCTTGGACACGGAGGGGGATACAGGGTGTCCTGTAACTCGCGCTCATTGTTTACGCAGCGCTGCTTTTACGCGGACTCGTCAATTTTCTCTTAGAACATCGTCGAGGTATCGAGAGCTCCCGCGAGGACCGAAGAAGCGGAGCTTTCCGCGAGCTTTAAGCCTTGGGCGACCGAATGGAGAGGAAACTGATCTCTTCCGATCGACCTCGAGTGAACTTTGCTTCAGCCGAATTTTCATCTGAGGCTTGCCTTCGAAAACGTGTTGTGTTGAAATTTTTGAAGAGTCTCCGTGTATGACTTGATTTTTCTGCGGAGGAAACAATTTTCACGAGCAACTGCGCTGTGTGAATAATTCGCGCGAGACATCCTGTATGCAGGTACACTAGGAAAAATGTATTGTTGCGTGAACCAAAATTTTGTTGTAACAACAAAGTAATTTGGTTAAAATATGCCCAACAAAATTGTTTAGTTCCTGTAAACAAATATCTTGTTTGATTACAGTTTGTTCGTATAACGTAATACTTTTGTTACGGCAACAAAAAGCTTTAACTATATGAATTTTGCTAAAAATACTATAATTTTTTCTTAATAGATAAAATCTAAATTTTAATGCACAAAAAGGCAAAATAGTATCCATCGGGCATTATTTTAGTTTATGTAAAATAATATCTCGTTATTGTGTAATTTTTATGGATGAAATAACTAAAATGCTTAATTTTTATATATGAAGTCTAAGAACAAAATTATTTGGTCCAGAGAACAAAGCAGAAAAATATATTTAGTTGAGACAACTAAATATTTTGTTATATAAAACAAGATATTTGGTTGCTATTAAAAAATCAGCCTCAAAACTAAACAGTTTTGTTAGAGATACTAAATTTCTCTTCCTAGTGTACGCGAGTAATGAAAAAAAAAACGCACCGATTCAAGGGAAAGAGATGTTTTTGCTGATAGTGTCGCGCTGAGACAGAAACGTTGCGATAGCAGACGGCAGCGAAGCTTCGCTCGACACATCTCGACAATGACATCAGAGTCGCACGTGCGCTCTGCGCGATAATCAATTATTCGCGAATCTGACTCTTTTTAGAACTTCTTAGAACTTGAAACAGCGAAGCGAAACGCGCAACCGTTATCAATGCATTGTCTCATCGGCGTTCGGCTATGGTGAGTCATTGGCTCACGGGCAACTCGGTCGCCGCAGTTTCTTGTACTTATCGTTGCGCGGCAGCCGACGATTATTGCGACACGCTTAACTTGGACGTACTAAAAAGCGTAAGCGTTACCGCAGGAGTTCGAACGCAGGATACGAGTCGAGCCTTGATGCTCCATTATTTTACGTCAGCGTAGAATTTCAAGCGCAATATTGCAAATCGGAGTCGACTGATCGCAAGAACCAGGTGAATTTATTTCAGATTATAAATTCTCCCGTTTCTTAATTAAATCTGTCGATTACCATCTTGATTACCATTAATTATTATTATCAATCGAGTGAACCGGTCAAAAGAATTAATCACTTATTATGAATACATTAAAGTCCCGCGCTTATCACCGCTCGACCGATCTCGCTTACACATGATGAGCGCACGTGTCGAATGAGCTGGCACTTTGTTACGTCTGACATCGGGCGATTTCGATTTAAATTCTTGCGCTCCTGCTGTCCTTCCAACAGGAAGGTCGACGGCCTGGGCGATTCGGTACACAGTTCCAGACCGGCGCAGGCGTGAAAGTGGGTCGCGGAAGTCGCCGTGCTAATCAACAAGCTAAATTTTAGCGTACGTGTGGAAGCGGACGTTGTTGGTGCAACATCGGTCGAGCTGCTGTCTGTAAATTTGAGCTCGCGGCATTTCGGAAGTGCTCCGTACACACACACACACACACACACACACACACAGACGCCCGATGTTGCATCTCGTGGCACCCACAATACTGTCATCATCACAAGATGTAGATAAAAATCCGAGTCAGTTCGGGGGGGATGAGAGATCATGATCGCGAACGTGTTTTCGCGCGCGAGCTGTTAAAACTCAGCTCTCTCGGTGGCTGTTTCACGCAATATTCACACACAAGGTGTGGAGAAATTCGGGAGACACTGCCTCTGCCTATCGTGACCCACGCGTCTCGAGTTCGCGGACATTGGTCGCCCTTCGCGAGACTGCAAAAGCGATATCGCCGGCGTGTATCACGTCGGACGAACGAAGTGGAAGGTGCTAATTTGTGTGGCATCAGGATGACGACAAAGAAACCATCGCGGAGACGGACAAGCCACCGGAAGCGAGCGTGGCGGTCGAGTGGCGGCCGAAGGAGACGAAGGAGGGCGAGAGAGAAGATCTGATCACGCGGTTCGACAGAGTCGTACGAGGCGAGCTCGATGACAAGCTGCAGGTGTGATTTGATATAATGAAGATGCGAGAAGAAGAAAGAGAAAGAGAGAGAGAGAGAGAGAGAGGGAGAGAGGGAGAAAGAAAAGAGGGAACGTGAAGAATTCCGCGACATTGAAATGACCTCGAAGAGAATTCGTGATATCTCACTTGTCTGAAATTGCTGATTATATTTTATCTATATAGAAATTGTTAGTTATGTCTGAGCGTTGTCTCGGTCTGAGGTCCTGAGATTCCTCGTGTCTATCGGCTTTCAGGCTCGATAGACTTCGCGATCCTTGAATCATACATCAGCCATTCTTCAGATTCCTCGGATATTAAAGTTACCTTTTCGAATGTCTCTGTTCACAGCGACGGAACGATCGCGAGGAGATCAGGAGGAGACTCGCGATGGGGCCCGATGCTGAAGACCTGCGCGCCGAGCGCGGCCGAAAGCCGAGTCTTCAGTCGCGTCTTCAGAGCGGTTCGTATCGATCGGAATATCATTTCGCATTGCGTTTCTCCCGCGTTGGCACCGCGAGCAGCTGCAGCACGAGGAGACATGAGCGCGACCCGCTCGACTTGTTAAAGCCACAGTTTACTGAGTCATTAATGAGCGACGCATACGCGGAAGCTCGACTTTCTCTCGTTTTTACTCTCACGCTCTCGCTTCACCTACATTCTCGATGTTTTTCTTGTCGAGTCGCGACCTCGTGCTCGAGTAATCACTGGCCGGACCGATCGCGCCTCAGAGCGTCGCACGATGCATCACGATGCAAAACGCAGGTCTCGCCTTCGCAGGAATGAACCTGCAGATTTGCTTCATGAACGAGACGTCATCGGACACCGAGTCCCCGGGCTCGGAGAACGACGCATCCCCCGGCTCCACGCCGACATCCCTCGGCTCGAAGCAGCTGGGCAAGCAGCAAGCGCCGTCAAGGCCGCAGGTGTTGAGCTTGCCGTCCTTGAGACTCGACATGAGCTCGAACTCCACACCGGTCGACGAGGCGGACTTCTTCGCGCGGCAGGCCAGGTTGCAGACCGAGGCGCGAATGGCCTTGGCGCAGGCCAAGGAGATGGCGCATATGCAGATGGAAGTGGAGAGGCAGAGGCTGAAGCAGAGTCCTATCACCGAGATGGTACGGTGCAGCTTGGAGAAGGTGAGCGGAAAAGAGTCCCGGGTAGACCGCGAGGGTCAAGGTGAGACGCGGCGATGAAAGTTTAACAGGACGACAGCAGGAAACAAAACCGACGACCACGAGATGAACTTTACTGCTTGGCTTAAGACATGTATTATTAATTTATTAATTTACATTTTCACGGCGAAGTTACTAATCGATCGTTAATGGGACATTCACCTGACCTTGACTCTGTGTTTTGTTTGCATATTTATAGTGGATTTCGCAATCAGTTAACTTTACAATGTGACACTCGCCGGGGTCGTTCTCTCTCGGCCGGTCTAAAGGTTGCTTGAATCTTCCACTTCTCAGGTCGGTGTTCAGTTGGGCGAAGATAGACGCAGGTTATCCCGAGTGCTGCTCACGGAGCTGAACGTCGCGCAGCTTCAGGTAGTGGCGAACGACCTGCACGCGAGGATCGCCGCTTTGAATGAGGCGCTCGTTGAAGGGCTCCTGAGGAGAGACGATCTGCACATGGAGCAAGATTCGATGCTCGTCGACGTCGAAGATCTCACTCGATACCTGTGAGTTCCCGTCAAGTTCGCTTCACGAAGACAGTTTGTTGATGTCCGACGTTTCTCGCGAGAACCGCTTTCGACCATTCTTCAGTCTTTCATTTCATTAATCCTTCATCGTCATTAGATATGTCTTGCATTGAATTAGCGAAGAACGCAACTCCCTTTGATCAGCCAAATCTCACGACGTTTATCTCACGACGAGAACATTGAGCGTTTACCGTCACGAATTATCGCGATGTATCAAGCGAAACATAAGTGTAAAGAACGATCAATTCGTTTGCACAGAGGTGCCAAGCAGGAGTCGTTGAAGAAGAAGCAGAGCATGCAGCAGCCGACAAATCGGAATCATCAGCAGTCCTCTGCAGCTCCGATGAAGTTGTCGATGAAGCCGAAGCTGACGCACCTGAATCGCGGTCTGGTCGCTTTTGTCAGAAAATAATCCTTCGCCACGAGACTGCGCAGTCTCGTCGGAAATTGAACTCCGAGCGGAGCAACGCACCATGGACGACTTTGGAGACGCGAGAAAGCAAGAAGAGAGGAAGAAGAGAGGAGAAAGAGGAGAAACAAGAAGAGGCGAAGAAACTCTCTTCAACAGACGAGAAGGCAGTTTCTTCGTCGAGAAAAGGGGAAGATGAGATGAAATCTTTTTCTTTCAACGACGAGGCTTCCCCTCAGAGAGAAAATCGTTGAGGACGAAAGGACGGTCGCGTGTGAAGCCGCGGTGTGCATGCTCGAGAACTCCTAAAAAAGAAAAAAAAAAGAAGGAAAAAAGACGATGTTGTGAGACGATCGGCTTCGTTAAACAGGTGGGATCGTACTCCACCTTTAGCGCGGGCAGGAGGGAGCAAATATCTCTCTTTCTCCCTCCCCCCGAATTTCCAAGAGTTTTTACAGCTTCGTCGTTAATCACGTGGAAGTAGAGATTTTTGCGTATGTGCGCGTATCGAGCGTATAAAATGAGCGGGTAACGACCCTTCGTTTTCGTATCCCACATTAAGGATTCTCCGTCTCGTTCTATTTCCTCTCGTCTGTACTACTTGGCCCCGTAAGCTCAGATTATGTCCCCCCTCCTCCCCCCCCCCGCGACATGCATGCATGTGTCTACGAGTGTATCGATTATCGCCTTTAAACACAAAGAAAAAAGAAAAAAAAAAAGTAATAGTGTAATCATAGCGCGAGGGCGGATCCTTTCTCTCTGTTGTACATATAAACGAAGATTTATATCAGATTATTATTATATATAATATATAATATATATTGCCGTATCTTGAGATTCCATGGTGTTTGAAAGCGCTTCGTTCTGGTCGTGCCACAGTGTAAGTGATCCGCGCGTGTGCGTTTTGATGTAACGTTAACATATTCCGTAAAAACTCGAGGTCACTTTCGACCGCGCGCAGACGAAGGAACATTTTCAACTCAATCGGTCCATCCGTAGATCCGCGAACATCCGGCTGCGCGGGTATCGATCCTCGCTTCGGTAGAGATCTCCAGATCTGCCAGATAGAGAAAGCCGTCTTATAGAGTCTCTCTTGAAGTCGCGAATCCGCCGCTTCGAGAAACGTCGTCGCTCATTCATGGCACATGAGAGATTCCGGCGAGACGGCAAAACTCGGTTCTTATTTATTGCGAGCGACGTGGAAGGCGCCGAAAGATACGCCATTCCCGGAATAACGCAACGCTCGGCAAGGGAAAGTGCAAAGAAGACAAGCCGCGGCGGCGGCGGACCGTGCAACGACCGTGAAGAACGAAGAACGCGTTACATATCCAAATAAGCGGTTTAGTAAATGCAAAAAGCGATTAGTCCATATGTAGCGACTATGAAAACGTAATCGAATAGAGAGACATACTCGACATAGCCGAGCGCGCCGTTTTCAGCCCGGAGAGTTTCCTCGTTACAGTGCAACAAGAAAGAAAAGACAGAAAAACCACAAAAAAAAAACAAAAAAAGAGAGAAGGAACAAGAATCGACTCGGAACTCGCAATCAAAATTATATACTCATCGATATGGATTATTCGGTTCTTGCATCGCGTTGTTTTTTCTGCATGTCGGTTTCACACGATCTCATTCACACGCAAGACCTCAATTGTAGCCGAAATAAATCTCAAGGTCTAAGAAAGCTGCTGTGCAGAGTGTCATTCGTAACAACTTCTCGAATCCTCATCCCCGGTTAAAACGGAAGATGAAAAATTCAACGCGGAAAACAGCCTTACGTTCTTTGTATCCGTACTATCATTCGTCGGATCCACCGAAATCACGAATGATGTAAAGAATCTCGTGAAAACGATACTTATCGTTAGATCCTCGATCTATTCTCTCAGGCGAATTTAAAGGAAAGTGATTACTCGTGTGTCTCGATTCGATCGCCATTAGCCCCGAAGAAATTCGCAATCCTTGCGTGTGTTATGGGAGTAGCCAATTTTTCCTCGCGATTTGACAGATCGAGAGTGCACGTGTTCGTTCTTTCCTTTTTTTTTCAGAAACGTCGAAATTGCTCAGATAAAGTAATAGAGTCCCGCCGCAAGAGCAAGACGACGAAACGAGAGTTCACCGTGTCTTAATTCCGTACTGAATTCAACAATTGCCAGATTCTACGATTATACGAAAACGTTGCGACTTGTACGATTGTCGACGCGCAATCACGTAGGAAATCTCTGACTTTAGTTCTACGAGACGAATTGCAAATAAAAACACGCTCGCCCGTGATCGGTCGAGAACGGGGGCGGTTTTCGAGCCATCGATCGCAGGAAACCTCAACCAAACGTAGAAAACAACGAGTGTGAAAGATCGCTCTCTTTCGAGCGACGGTCGATGGAAGAACGATCAACCGCGAAACATCGAGCTCGAACGCAATCACGCAGTCGATGGCCGTAGAGACGTTCATGAAAAAGCCGCGTATTATCTACAAAATACTTTTAATCGTAATATTAATTAATAATATACAGATTGTAAATAACTAAACAATAATAAAATATGCTGTAACAAGTTCTTCCTTTGCTCCTTCCTCTTTATCACTCTCACGTTCTCACTCTCTCATGGTCTCGCTCTCTCTCTCTCTCTCTCTCTCTCTCTCTCTCTCTCTCTCTCTCTCTCTCTCTCTCTCTCTCTCTCTCTCTCTCTCTCTCTCTCTCTCTTTCTCTCTCGCTTTTATTGTTAGTTTTCTTCCAGTTTCGCCTTTAAAGAGGACCGAAACTGCGAAGAAGGCACAGGGCAGTATATCGGATGGTGTTCCTTTTTATTTCGATGTGAACCTCTCTTTCTCTCTTTATATGTCTCTCTCCCTTCCTCTCTCTCTCTCTCTCTCTCTCTCACTATTCCAATTATCGACGGCAAGAAGCATCGGCAGCTCCTCGCTCGCTCTCGCCGCTTCGCCAAACCAAAAGGATGGATGGGACAGGGGGAGCACCATTTTAAGGGACGTCTCACTGAGTTCTTGGGATCAATTACATCGATAGGTATAGTTAGCCAACTTCGATTAGCGATTCTCCGTCCCTTATCTAGGCAGAGGGCTATAATACAGATGGAAAGAGAGAATTTAGTTAACTACAGTTTAATTAAACGTGATGGATGTAGGTATGACAAACTTTTCTTAATTGGTCCTAGCTACAGATTTCCTATTTCCTTTTAAACTTAGCTACTATCTAAGTAAAAAGGCCGTTTTTTCCTTCATCGACATTGATTAAAGTTAAGTGAGACTCGATTAACTCTCTCTTTCTCTTTCTACCTTCGAAAAGAGAGAAATTGGAACTTTCTACATTTTTCACCTGTCTCTTTCTCTAAATGCCGCAAAATTAGAGATAAGTTCCCATTAGACTCTGTCCGTAGAAAAAAACAGCTGTTTGATCAGTGTTGAAATTCATTTTACCTTAACAAGTCTACAAGCCCGGCCCCATAGAGAAGGAGAATTCAGTTAACCGCAGTTAGCTGACGATGCTGTCGCTGCGACCGGCTCTTCGCTCCAACGAGAGTATCGACACAACGCGATGCCTCGTGGAGGTATTTTGGAAAGAACACAGACGGCGATGACGCGTTAATAATAGCTAACATGGTTTCTACGATCGTTTCTTGCTTCTTTTTTTTCCCGTTTTGTTTCCTCTTGTCGCCAAGCCGTATGGCACCATGACGAAACTTCTAAGTCTCTCGATTATGTTTGCTTCTCTCTTTAGTTCGTTTTCTCGTCTTTTAGTTCCTTTTTCCTCGTTCTCTCTCTCTCTCTCTCTCTCTCTCTCTCTCTATCTCTCTCTCCTTCTCTCTTTCTTTCTCTTTCTCCCTTCCTATGTCTCTATTTTACTCGCTCCTTCTTTCTTTGTCGGATACAGCGGACGTCGTTAGCTCGTGTATCATCGTAATAAAAATTCTTAACTTACAATCGTAATTATTATCTCTACTATACAAATGAAGCCGGCACTCATTCCGCTGTGCACTAGCATATTTAGTCCTTGCACACGTCGCATGCTAGTCAATCGTACAACCGGTCTCCTTCTCTCGCAATGATCCGCGGAGTCGACTCGCCTCTCATATCCGATAAAAACACTGCTGTTGGACTCTCGGGCGCGCGTGGCTCGGTTATTTACACTCTTCGCAATTCAATTTCCGCGCCGGAAAAAAGGAGAACACCTCGACACTATCGACTGTTAATCAAAATCCACCGCTAAGACGCAAGAGTTACGTTAGAAAAGCAAGACTCCTGGCGCGCATCTAATGACACACACGCATTCTCAGAGAACAATCTGTATATAAAATAATTTCAAAATACTATACTCTCTCTCTCTCTCTCTCTTCATAAGCTTCCGAAAATTCGGTTTTAAAGCATCGAAAAAACGTGATCTTCGCCTTACGCTAAAAAACAGTTCCACGATTTCATTAATCGTTAATCCGAAGGCAGTAAGAAATGTGCGTACAAAGTTAAATACAGTCCCAATCTGCGGAAATCACTGCAATAATTCCATCCTTTTTTTTTCGTTTTCAAAAGAGAACGCTCTTACAGCCTGTCGCAAATACATGTATATCTATAATATCACGAACACCATACGAAGGGAAGTTTTACACCGTGTCATCGCACACGATGAAACGATCCGGCAATTCCGAGGAACACGGCGTATCCCCGTGACTCACGTTATTGTCCTGGAAACGACTATGGCGGGCGAAGGGATCCCGAGCACGGCGTCTTGTCTTTCTTGCTCCTTCTCGTGCATGCCCTCTCATCTCTCTTAACCCTCTCATCATCCGGCATACGTGTAGTAACCCTGTTTTCTCCAGCAGTTCTCAAATTTGAGTTTACTCTTAGCTGCAAACGTAACGCCGATCGCGACGATCGATCGCGATCGCTGTGTCCTCCTTCTCCCCCCCTCCCCCCCTCTCTCTCTATCCTCGACCTAAAAAAATTATCAACAGTCTACTTGGGTCGCCGGAAGGCGCGAAGAGAAAATCGCGAAGTCGTGGCCACGGAGAACGATCGACTCAGCGTCCTCGCTGACTTCGCTGTTATCGAGGGCAAACGGGGCAACTGATCATAACCAGAGTTTCGAATGGCCAGCGGTAGGATCTTCCAAGATCACTTGCCCATACTGGCGTTCGCTGGTAACGTCGCGGATCGTTGCTGCACCGTCAAGTATGGCTTTAAGGTCGACCTCGTGGATTCCCTGGAAAGGATGAACTATCGTCACACAAGCCTCGCGAGTGATACATATATCATAAAACGAAAGCGCTCGAGAAGTCGTCGCAGATTTGAAGCCGTGAAGCGCCGAGAGAATACGATAGTGTGCGAATTGAAAGATGTGTACAGGCTGTAACTCATCTCTGTAAATAAGCTCCGGAAGCTACGGTTTCTACGCACAACGGAATGTCTACGTACAAACATGCTTCTTTTCATTTCAGACACATTGCTCTCTGACACACTTTATCAGTTTATTTCGATTATTGCATTGATAAATCACTCGAGTAAACGATATCGTGCAATATGTCAAGGTAAAAATGTGCATAAGGTCGATGTAAAGTTGTAAGAAAATTCCAGATGCTACAATGTAATTTGACGCTGCTATAAATAATAAAAAATAAGTTAGTATTGCAGATTAACTGCAACGTCGATAGCGGAAACCACGATCGCGTTTTGATGTTGTATAAAAAATTGTATCGTTGTTTTACACTGCACAGAGAAAACTCGCAAGTTTCTATACTCGATGTATTTTGCGTAATATGAACAAAACTCAAAGCGCCGTCGATATCCGTCGACTTCGGTTTTATAGATAAACGAGTCGCGACAGTCATTGAAAGCGGGAAGTGCTGGAAACGAGAAAAAGAGAGAGAGAGAGAGAGAGAGAGAGAGAGAGAGAGAGAGAGAGATATATATATAGAGAGAGAGAGAGAGAGAGAGAGAGAGAGAGAGAGAGAGGGAGAAGGGGACTGAGAGAAAAATCAAACGGGTCTAACCTCTCTACACCCAATCATGCGACGCCACAAAATAAGAGAGCTACTTAGTCCCCGCTCGCGTCGAGCAGCACGGCTACGCTACCTTGGCGAGACTCGTTGTCCCGTGCCGTCCACGTGCGAGTTTGCTTTGTAACCGCATTTCTGGACACGTCTGGACAGCCTCGAGACCCAGTACTTCTGATCCTCGGGATTCGCCGCGAGCAACAGCAACTCGCGCGCGCTGTTCGGGTCGTAGTGCAATTTGCAGGGGGCTATGGCATCTTCCTTCTTATCCAAATGTTCCTTGTGAACCTTGATGCGACACCCTGCGTGTACGATATTTGACTTGTGTATCACAAGAATCTCAAACGTCAACGTAAATGGGCAGGTGGAATTCACTCGACGCAAGATTAACACATACTTCGGCATTCGAGGGCCGGCGAAGGCCGGAACATGTGCCAGAGTTGTTTCGAGCAGACTTCGCAGGTCGTCGGCATGTGATACGATATTGACACAAACTCGTGGCCCTTTAGCGACTGAGTGCCGGGTTTGTCTGTGAGCTGCGGCAAATCCACTCCGGGCATTGTGTTCCCTTCGTCGCCGGGTCGCCTCGCTTCACCCTCGCCGGCATAAAGTAACTGCACATAAGATTAATGTAGATTGTTATCATGTACGTACATGTACAATGAGTGAGATCTTTAGATGTTGGTTCATTTTCGCGGACAACTGTGAACGCGTTAACTAATTTACATTTTGTGAAAAGAAAAATCGCAAAGTAATAAAAGAATGTTTTATCAGCGTTATGAGCAAGACATGACGCGTGCCTACCTGAAATATTCTGGGTATATCTTTGGCATTGGCTCGGATAACATCACCCTGAGTAACGGATCTAACGTGGAAGACTTTGTTCAAGTCTAATATCAGGACCGGGTCGGCGTTCATCTTGTCGTTCTCGCTGTTGTAGAAGATTATTTTCTTAGAGGAGACCACGACATACTGCTTCTTCCAGCCGTGCCGCTTAATATTCTGCTTGTTTGGCACATTTAACCAGCCCTCCAGCCTCATCGTACCGTGCTCGGATAAGACCGAGTCTTCCCCGTCGTTTTCGATCGACGAGACACTGGCAGTTTCCGAATTGAGCGACGCGATTTTCATTTGCAGCGTTTCTATCTCCGAGTCCTTCGAGTCCAGTTCCATCTGCAGCCTTAGCTTCGCCTGATTCTCCTCCACGAGTTGCGCCTAAGAGGAACGGATTGCATTTATTCGACCGATCGAGGTTACGCGTTATCCTCGCTAAAGTCGCGAGTGAAACAGCACTGGCTCACCTGTATATCCTGCAGATCCTTCTGCCACTTAGCTGCCAGCTGTCCGTACTTCTCCCTCTCCTGAGTGAGCTCCTGCTGCAGCCGCCTGCAGTCTTTCTCCTTCTTCCTCAGATCCGCGGCGGATGCCTTGTTCTTGTTCTTGCCACTCGACGAGAGATCCTTCCGGTTCATGATCTCGGCTAACTTATTGACCGCCTGCTGCTTCAGCACCTGCTCGGTCTTCAGCTTGCTGCTGAGCTTCTCGATCTCTTCCGCGTTGGACTGCGCCTTGCCGAGTTGTTCCTGTAGTTCCTTCAACCGCTTGCTCAGGTCCTCCTTGTCTTTCAGAGTCTGCTCGACCGACTTCTTGAACTCGCTCTCGTTCTCCTTGAGCCTGTTTATAAGTTGCTCCTTCGCGTTCAGTTCCTGGTGGTGTTTGGCGACCCCGTCTTTGTACTCTAATTCCTTCATAGTTCTCTCCTTCTCCAAGTCTGCCACGGTTTCCTCAGCTATGGATCTGGCTAGCGCTTCGCTGTCACCGCGTGCCAGCGACAGCTGCAACTGATGGACCAAGGAGCTACGTTCTTCCTCGAATTCCTGCTGCAGCCTCACTTTCTCGTCCAGCTCTTCGCGCAACTCTTGTGTCTGTGTCTTGTAAAGAGTCTGTAGAGAAAAATAGGAAAATCAGGATCTCAGCTGACTGGTTAGTTCAAGATAATATTTCATGCCATGTCGATTGAAAGTCTAAATTCTCATTAAGTTCCCGTAATGCAACTTTGAGAGAGCTCTGTTAAATTTTACATTTTACATTCCTCGCTTTACATTAGCGGGCAGCTAAAAATTCATTATATAAAGCTGGACTTTCACTGATCGCTCACCGAGAAGTAAGCTTCGGCTTCCAATTGCTCTTGCAGTTCCTTCGTCTGCAACTGATCGACGTTCCTCTGCGTTTTCAAGTGATGCAACTCCTCCTCTATTTGTCGTTTAGCCTCCCTCAACTGAGCGACCTCTCCGACCAATTGTTGCTCGCGAGCGCGAAGTCTTCCCGCTTCGGATGTTTGTTGACCCAGCTCGGTTTGCAAGACGTTCCTCTTCTGCTGCTCCTGCTCAACCTGGCCCTGCAGTACCTTGACCTTCTCCATCTCCTGCCTGTGCTCGCCCTCCAATTTCTGCAATCGTTGCTGTATCTGTCTGTAATCGACGGAGAGCATCGACGTCTGGCGCTCCTTCTCCTGTGCGAGCAATTCCGCGCGTTGTCTTCCACTTTTCTCCTCGTTCAGTTTCACTTGTAGAGCTGTTTGCAGTAAATCGATAGTAAAGCTCAATGTAACGGAAAGAGCACGATACACTTTAGTAACTCTAGATGAGATGAAAACCATAAAGGTATACGTACGCAAATAAATATGCAGCCATTATAAATGTGCAGCAATAACGAGAGGAGACAAACAGATTAGCACACAGACAAAACTCAATTTATATAAATAAGAAGATTAGGCGATTCACAGGCATTCCGATGGAAAAAAAATGCGAGTTTGCTAATCATATATGTTACCTTCGAAAATCCCGTTCTTTTGTCCTGTGTCGCGTGAACAAAGTGAAACGTACTTTTATAAAAAAAAAAAGACAATGTCATTATTTGCATATAGAAATTGCGGTAAGTACCTTTGACGACCTCCAGATTGGCCTCTTCCTTGGAGAGTATGCGCGATCGTTCAGTTTCCTGATGCGCCACGACTTCCTGATTGTACCTGGCTTGTGCGGCTTTCAGCTCCAGGGTCAAACTAGCAGCTTCCTTCTCCAACGCGGAAACCCTTTCGTTCAGTTGCCTATTGTCCAGAGTCGCCTTCTCTTCTTTTTCATGACTGCGTTCTAGCTCAAGATGCAAGGCGGAGAGACGCGTCTCCAGCTCGGCCGTCAGCGACGACGCTTGCGATCTGGAACTGCGTTCCTTGGAGAGTTGGCCCTGAAATAAACCAAAGAAAAATGTACATCACGTAATACATAAATCATAGCGTTTAAAGTATTCTCTACTTCAGGAATAAATTCAAGTCACATTACTCTTCTAAAATAATGGATAAACGATATGTGATATTCTGCATAAGTTCCCTTAATAAATTAAATCATACTATTCTTTTAAATAATATGTAATATTTTATATTTTCTCAGTCTTATTTTTTTTCAAGTTAATTAAATATTAATACAAGAAGAAATATATGTGATTGTAAAACACGCAAGTGGAGTTAAAGACTGCCGCGATCACGGTTCTTATTATGTTCTTGTAATCGCGCAAGTAATTAAACAATACCTGTAGAGCGGCAACCTCCTGCTGCAAGTTGTCGCGCTGTGCTTGCAGCTGAGCTCTCACGACTTGCAACTCGCTCGCCATTTGCTCGGCGGCCTGACGCGCGACCGTCACTTCCGTCGTCTGCTTCCGCAGTCGCGTCGCCGTTTCAGTTTCTCTCTCCAGCTTGCACTGCATCTCCTTGAGCTGTTTCTCCAACGTGGTCACACGCTCGGACGTCTGCTGCGAGTTGCTGGCGTCTCGCACTCGTCTCGTCTGCTCCTCGTCGAACTTCTTCTTCAGCTCCACGAGCAGCGACTCCGCCTTTCTGCGCGTCTCAGTCTCGTGTTCCACTCGGCGCTGCGCCTCCTTGTAGTTGTGTCTAAGCAATGTCAGTTCCTTGTCCGCCCTGCCGATCTCCTCCCGTAACTCGGCTTCCCGACGCGTCATCGCATCCAACTGCGTATTCAGCACCTTTTGCCGCGACTCCATTGTCTCCACTTGCCGTCTCTCGCGGTCCAACAGATTCTCCAGCTGCGAGATCTTCACGTCGTCTGTAGTGCCGTTGTTCACGTGATTCTCCAGCCCGTCGACGGACTCTTTGCCATGCGAAGCCATCAACTGGTAATCACCGGAATAAGTAAATCCGATGAAAGGCAGGTGGTTACCGGAAAAGGCCTTGGGCACCGGGAAACTCTCCTCTGGCCCGTCCTCCTTATCGACGTCATCGAAATTGCTTGTATCGTCGTCGCCAGACAGTTCAGGCACCACCGGCGGCACGCATTCTCTCAGGTTGTCGAAGGTCCACTGGTCGTTCTTGAAGAACGTATGGCTCTTAATCTCGTCCACGCCATTGCGGCCCAAACGCTTCGTTCTGTCGGTGAGGAAGCCGCATATCAAGTTCTTCGCCGAGTGCGAGATGTCGACTTCCTGAGGAAAGTGCAGCGAGTTCCTGTGATCCATGATCTTCGAATATGTGCCGACTAAGGAGTCGGCGTAGAACGGTGTGTCGCCGACCAGCATTTCATACAGAAAGACACCCACGGACCACCAGTCGCATTCGCGACCGTAAACTCCTTCACCGCCTTGCGACTGCAGGACTTCCGGGGAGATGTAATCGGGTGTGCCGACCGCGGTGTCGGACCGAACCAAACCGTCCTGCGAACAAACGGCTCAATATTATCAATGGGAAAGCTTTAATCGAGAAAAGTTCAGTAGCAGATTTGGAGCAAAAGATTTGGAACATGAATGAAACTTACAGCATCCATCCTCATACACGTGCCGAAGTCGGCGAGTTTTAAGTGACCGTGCTTGTCGAGCAGCATGTTGTCCGGTTTCACGTCCCTGTGAACGAAGCCCATCAGATGTATCGCATCCAATGCGAGCACCACCTCGGCGCAGTAAAATTTCGCCCATTTTTCTGGCACGTCATAGTTCGACATCAGGTTCACGAGGTCACCGCCTGGCATGTAATCCATCACCATGTAGAGATACTTCTGGTCTTGGAACGCGAAGTGAAGCTGTACTATCCACTGGGAATTGGCGTGCGCCATTATATCCCTCTCTTCCCAAAAAAATGCGGAGTCTGACCTTTTGATCTGGATAAACGACGAAAGGATAAGCAACGACGCGGTATAAGGGTGTAAATTTGCAAGGAACGAGAGGTGAAGGAGGCAATAAGAGGCACGCGGTCTCACCATTTCGAATTTACTAAGCAGTTTCATGGCGTATACTTTCTGCGTAGATTTGTGTCTGACCAACTGCACTTCGCCGAATGCTCCACGGCCGATTACTTTTATCAGAGTAAAATCGTCCGTGCGCATTCGCATTTTATATATCTCTTGAGCTACGGAGTCATCTGTAAGCACACAAGCAAAGCCTCAGTCCTCTACGGACACGACGGACTCGTCATCGAGTCATTGAATACACGAGTTACCTCTTGTACTCGCAGTAAATATAGAAATTGAGCACTTACATCTATTCATATAAGCTTCTATGTTTTTCATGCGTTTCACACTCGCGTGATCGCAATCCGACACCAAGGCTTGAACCGTGTCCAACAAGCAGTCGATATTCGTGACGCTTCTTGGATCCTTTATACGCTCCTCCAGAGCCCGTAGGCGTCTCCACCTATCCTCATCCCGCACGACATCCATCTCTCCTGGTAGGAGTTTGGACTACTATGCCACACGACAATGTACTACTTCTGTTGCATCAAAGACTATCCAAACTAAGGGCTAAATGTAGTATTTATTCGAGCAATGTATGACTGTGACACTGAGTGGACGCTCCATGTTTCCTGGACAGACAAATGTTGCACGTACAATAACAGATTAATCCGGTAGCAAACGAGGCTATATACACATGTAATATAATTCTAAATTTTACATAAAGTAATAAAACTAAAGAATGGATATCTGGATGCGTTGTGTATTTTCCTAGTATATTAATGGCATGAAAGTATTTCACAAATCTTGTTAGAGAAGTAGAAGCAGGTGACATGTACATGTGTGTGTATGTGTGTGTATGTGCGTATATGTGTGTTTGTAGCTTGGCAATATTTCCAGTTCTTACATAATACATAGCATATGAAAGAAACACCGAACATGTTATGATAGTATCATAGTACCGAATTTCGACGAATAATTGCAGCGGTTAATATCGGAATTTATCCTAACGATGCGCAACGTATCGCGCAGACATCTGCGTAAACAGAACCGACTCCAGAACCGAGCCCGCACTCGTGACGAAACGGAAGCCAAAAGTAACAAGGATGTACCGCTGCGGGAAAGTACGCGGGGCACGTGCGGCCGTGTGTTCAACGGGCAATGACTCAGCTGCGTAATTTACAAGGTGACAGTGATTCGCGCGTGTAACAAAGAGCGATGCGCCACGAGACGGGCCCGTTGTCCCCGAAGCGACAGATCGCTCCGCCGAGACGTCAGCTCTTTCCCGAGGGGCGTCGCTGACGCATCGTCGGATCGTATCCACACGGCTCGTCTCCGTCGCACTGCGCTCACCCGGAGGGGAAAAATGCCGAGGGTCTCTCTCGTCGACGGAGAAGCCTCTCGCGCAGGCGAGTGGTCGCGCGAGCGAGGTTACGTCCGCGACTTGACACGTCGTGGACGTCACACGGGAGCGCAGAGAGAACTTCGACGCGCTCGGTCTCTCCCTGAGAAAGCCAGCCGACGGGGAGTTCACGCGATACGCGCGATACTCCGCAGGACGCTCGCACCCGAGAACGCCTGTCAGCGAGGCTGCCAACGAGGTAGCGGTGTGCACCACCCATGTTCCGCGCATCCCCCGGCGCGACCGAGTGCGCGATAACCACCGCCGAATGATCGCACGTACCTACGCTCTCACCTGCACGACGTCCCGGCACTGGCGTGCTCACCCGGACGGCGATCCTGGCAAGCGCATCACTACGCGGTGCGTACAGGACGCACACAGCTGAGCCGTGCATGCGCCATTGGGGGAATTCACAACGGTCGTCCGCGAGCCGCTCCGAGAGCCGCCGCGAGAATCCGCCTCTCTTTCTCTCTCTCTCTCTCTCTCTCTCGCTCTCTTTCTCTTTCTCTTCCTCTATCTCGTCCTTTTCCTATCTCGCTCTTTCTCGCTCGCCCGCTCTCGTTCGCTCCGTCCTTCTCTCGCGCCCTCAGTCCTCTGGTAACGCGCGCCGTGTTCGCGCGACAGAAATCCGATCGGCGAGGTCCCCTCGCTCCGAGCGTTCGTTCACTCGCGGCGACGTCGCATCCCGACCTCGGCGACGTGTACGTGGTCGGCCTGTTCCGCGGCCGACGGGTGCGACGAGCACACACGATACGACACGGCGCGCACGGCACTTCCGCGGCTTCGATCCCTCGGTCGTTCGAGCGAGTCTCACCGAGCGAGATTATCGATCGTCGCGGCGGACGTTTTCGCTCTGAAATCAGCCGGAGTAGACTTCGCGACTGTCGCGTCGCGCGTTGCCGCCAGCGAGGGGGCGACGGCCACAGAGCACGTAGTGTCGTAGAGAATCGTCAGCGGGCACGGCGAACGAGAGGAGCGCGTCGACCGCTCCGTCGAAAAGCGTGACGCTCTCGTGACGCGAGCGGCTACGAGGCAGCGCTCGTCGGCGATGGAAGGGACAGCGAAAGGAAGCAGAGGGGAGGCTTCGTCATGAGTGCTGCATATAAGATGGCGTAACGTGCTGCAGCGCGATGTCGTTGACGTGCAGTGAATCGGTCGAGTAGCGATCTCACAATCACGAGCAGCGACGAGCGGCGACGTGAGAACGATAACAACGAGGCGGCGGTGACGACGACGACGACGACGACGACGAGGAGGAACACCATCGAGCGCGCGCGCACTCGTTCGTTCTCCTCGAAGTGCCTCGCGCGAACTCGCCAGTTCGCACGACGGCGAGGACGTTCGAGCGAAGGGTAGGCGGCCGGTTTTCCCGCGTGTCGCTGCGACCCCGCGACGGCCGTTCTTCCCTTACTTCACCTCTCCTATGTTTACGTGTCGCTTTTGGCCAGCGTTGATGTCGCGCGGCGTATTTATAGCGAAAACGCGAAAATAGGTGAGTACGTACGCACGTCTGTCCGTCAGCCGGGCCGTAGTCGAGCATCGTGATTCACGGCGACATTCGGCCTCCTCGACGGTCGACTATCACCAACCGTGGTACGTGTTGACGGCTCGACAAGCACGCTCTCGTGTGCGTCGTCTTGTGCCCGGCGGCCGCGTTGTCACAGCTCGTCGCAGCTGGGGGCAGAGTGTACACGCGTATATCTCATATAGCAACGTACGTATACAACATTGCACAGAGATGGGACTCCCTTGCGACTGGCAGAGTAACAAGCAGAAGCTCTCGGAACGTGGTCAGTACTTGCTGGAGACTGGACAATGGTCGGACTGCAACTTCATTGTGGGCCAAGAGCCCCATCAGCAGACGCTCAAGGGCCACAAGCTGTTCCTGGCAATGTCCAGTCCAGTCTTCGAAGCCATGTTCTACGGTGGCATGGCTGAAAAGAATGACCCGATACCCATTAGAGATGTACAGCCTGAGGCGTTTAAGGCCTTCTTGCAATACATATATACGGATCGTGTGGAACTAGGCTCCTTCGAGCTGGCCTGTGAACTATGCTATTGCGCCAAGAAATATATGCTTCCTTGCTTAGTGGAGGAGTGCACAAAGTATCTGTGGTCTGATCTCTCGCCGAAGAAGGCCTGCAGAGCATATGAGTTTGCCAAACTCTTTGAGGAACCTGTACTGTTGGACAGATGTTTGCAGATCATATGCACAAAGACCAATGAGGTGCTGAAGGAATCTACTTGGGAGGATGTGGAACTGGGCACGCTTGTCACAGTATTAGAGCAGGATAATTTACAAATTACCTCGGAGATAGAATTGTTCACTGCAATGGAGCGATGGGCCAAAGCCGAGTGCTCCAGGAAGTCACTCGACATAGCTAATGGGAAATCGCTGAAGTCTGTCATCGGAGACGCGCTCTCAAAGATCAGATTCCTGAGTCTGACACCTCAGGAATTCGCAGAGGGGCCCGGGATGTCTCCCTTGCTGACCCAAGATGAGGCATTCGCTATATTGATGAATTTACTGTGCACAGGCAACAAGACACCCATGCCCGAAGGTTTCTGCACCAATTCGAACAGCAGAGTGAAACCAGTGAAGGCTCAGACCACGAGCATAGCGAGTGTGTCGGTAAGTAGCAGATTTCGTCTCTCTCTCTAAGGAGGTAATTGTTATCCTCCCATGTACGCTCATCTGATTAAATTCTGATGTGCTCTTCCAGAAAATCGGTTCAGAGAGGAAACGACCGTTCGGCTTGGAACGCTCAATCGGCGACAACATATACTTCAACTGGAGCATGTCCCGGCAGTACGGCTTCCCAGCTCACGGCGAGTCCAGCAGCACCGTACGAAGTTCTTCGCCGTCGCTGATGGACGTGGACGTGCACAAGGACTCTGGAAACTTGCCTGTCAACAACTCTTCCTCCGGTAACATCGAGGGAGTCATACGCGAGAGCACCAAGTATTACTGCCTGCGATCAATATTGCAGCAGACAGACTGCTTAAACACGAACGTACTCGACTGTTCCGTCACGTTCAGCGTGGACAAAAATATTTGTGTGACCGGTGTGCAGGTTCCCACGCAAATCGCCACGGCGACGGTGAGTCGCGAATCATATGTCGTTTATTATAACCACTCAGCCTGTCGCTCGCACGTGACTCACATTTCTCTCTCATTACAGTCGAATAATTTCGGAGCTCATGCCGCGGACCCCGATACGTCCTACACCGAGATCTTGTACGCCCACCTCTTGGATTGCGACGGCACGCGTCTTACGTACACGCACTTCACCACCAAAGCGAACTTTGGTACTCTCGTAGAGATCACTTTCAATCGACCGGTTTACATCCAGAAGCACAAGGTTTGTCATTGTTTTCTCTACGATTCAGTCGATTGTCGAGATAAAAGTGCCAGTGCCGAGACATGCCGAGATCTTCGGATACTTGTTATTTCGACTTCTAAGTACGAATATTTAAACTTTCAACATAAAAAAATATATGCGTGTGTGCATACATATCGAATAAATACATACATTCCATGTTGGAAGTTTAAATATTCGTATTTAAAGGCTGAAGTGAGATCTTCCAGAATTAGACGTGTGTCTCGACATTGGTGTCTGAAAATTTGTGCAACAGGAAAACACGCCTGGAACTTTCGCCAACGTTACTTTTTGTTTTTTAATGCTCGATTGATTGCAGGTACAAATATATGATAGCTTGATACGCAAATGTCGCTCTGTTAAACAGGTTTATCGAGTCGGCGTGGTATTTAATAAGGTCGGCTGGTATCCGGTGGCGATCTGCACCCAAAACATGGCCTGTGATTCCGTATTCTTCTCGTTCGGAGTTGGTAACAGTGCACACACAATTCGCGAGGGTCTCATTCGATCGATTGTTTTTACGTATCATTAACGCGACGTCGAAATAACTACATGAATCTTTTGAATTTGTGATAAGAGTGTATTCTTTATCGTTGTATCTCTTGTATTATTGTTATATTCTATTATTTTTCGAATCTCGTTTGTCTCACAAGAATTTTAATGAAAATTGCAGAAAAGAAATTTGTACAAATATATTTATTGGTTTTGTTCATTACGAGAGAGACGGTTTATTCTATACAAATAACTTTTCTCTTTTAACTCGTACGACAAGTACCAACTTCGATTGTACAGAAAGGAGAACCTGGATTTTACTGTCTAAATGCCTTTATTAAATGTCATATTGCACATTCATTTTCTCATATTTTCATTTTCTTTAGGATATATATTATTTGTTGCCCAAAAAAAAATTCGATACTTGTATAAAGTAATTACAGATAAAACTTCTATAATATATATATCTTAATCAGATTTGCCAGAGATTTACAACAAAAATTTCAAAAAATATACATCGAATTATTAGTTGCAGATATATGACAGTTGCGATATACTTTCTTAAGTATGTTTGCCACTTTCACAGCTTAAAGATTAAATAAATGCATAAGATTTTATAAAATAGAGTCAGTCTCTCTCTATGTGAGCACTTATGTTTAACTCTACGATATCAAGAGATTATCGCTATATATATTTACATACTTTCTATTTTTGTGGCATTCTTTTATCGTTTTTCATATAAAAAAATATTTTCTCATACGTTAGACGCAGTAACATTCGTTAAATTTCTTTATAAAATCACGTTAATTCGTTATAAAATCACGTTAATTCGTCAATTTCGTCAATTTCATTCATTTAAACGACGCATAGCATTTCTATGAAAAATATTTTTTGTTCTTGTAACAATGAGTTTTTTTGTCACCTTCGAATACGGCGAACTTTCATGTTTTATGTACAATGAAGTCCCAGGTATCTTTCCATCTCAGTCTGATCACATCCTTGGCGCTAAGAGCCAACGTCCCGTAGCTAAGTACGATGAATTTCTTGAATACATAGATGACAAACAGCACCCAGACGAAGGTGCTGCATCTGAGGACGTACAATAAAACACTCCACGGACGATGAGAGCTGAAATAGAAAGCGACAAGTTACTTGCATTTTTACTTTCTACCGAGTCGAATAGCACTTGGCCTTGCAGGTTACTCACTCGAGGATATACTCGGTCAGATAATACAGATGGTCGATCGTGGCGGCTGTTAACAAAATTTTAAAAACAAAAGCCGGCAAATAATGATGCAGAAACAAAGTTCGTTCGACGAACAAGAATGGCAAAAAGTGAAGAAAATATCCGGCTAACAATACGTAAGCGTTGTTAACGAACTTTTCCCATTCCTCCTCAGCGATGTCGAAGCATTTTCGCCTTCTCCTCATCAGATAAAATACCAGTAATGTAGAGTACACGATCACCGAGGTCGTGCCGGAATACCAAATCGCAAGGTTCCCCAAGAGGTGTACTTGTGCCTGGAAGAACATCAGAATCGACATGAGGACGATCAGCTTAGCTTATAGACAAACATTACTTTACAGAACTCGACGGACTGGTAATCGTGTAACAGTAAAATCAAAATTAGAAAGCAACACATTACTGTTACTAGTTACTTTCTTTCAGTAACTACTTGACGTAGTGACGTTATCTTTTTTTCATTAGTAACGAAATTAACGACTCGTTATCTGTCGATGACCAACGATAACGATAACGAATAATTCTCTTCTTCAAAGGGTAACGAGTTCCTTTTCAAAGGCTTCTTTTCCAATGTACGAGTAAAGTGTAATTATAATTCACACGCATCGATCGATCGACTCACGTTGCTGTCATTGGACACCCAGTATGCGATTCCCCGGGACATTAGCGGCCACTCGAGTGGCCCGCTGGAGTACATGTGGCTGTTCTGGCCTTCTTGGCCGCTGAACAGCATCTTGACCTGCAGTTCCGCGAACTTCTCCCAGAAGCTCAGAGCAGTCACCTGCAGCGGTATCATCTCCGCGCTGATCAGCTCGCGCTCGCGCTGCTTCTGATCCTCGCTCTTGGTGTACCGGTGCTCCTCGACGTTCCAGATTGAGTTACTCTGATCTGCCAAGCGGTCCGCGACTACCTCATGTTGATTGAAGCCCCAATCGGGCAGCTGCCTGCCGCTGAATTTGAGCGCGAACTCCGCGTTCACGTGCATGTGTATCAGCCGCACCTGGCTCTGAATAGCATGCCACGCGTCGCCGGACTGATCCCGGTTTGCGATTTCTACGCGCCAGAGGTTCTGCGCCGGCATCGATACATTGTAATCGATGTAACAGGACACTTCTTGGCTCTGCGGCGTCATCGGTGCCGCCACGTCATGGGAGTTCAACGCTCTACTGGTGATCCCGTGCACCAGTTGGATCACGTCGCCATGATGGATCGGCTCGCTGGGTTTCGTCACCACCAAGTCGTTTCGGTCCGGTCTCTTCACGATCCACCAGTTGTTGACGTCCTTGAATGAGTAACACGTGACCTGTTGCTGATGAGAGCTGCCGCGGCCATCAGGATAGCGCAACGGATACATGTGGCTGTGGCTATGCAGCCAGCACGCTCTACCGTACGTGTGTCTGAGGGTAATCTGCGAGCCGTGCGTCACCTCCAAAGGCTGGCCCTTCGTGATACTGGCGAGTCCTCCTTCTAGACTCGCTTGGAATGCGCTGGTCATCACCGAGTCGTGCGGGCCTGCCTTGGAGAGTATCGCTAGGTGCACGTAAAATATACTCAAGTACACGGTGGATATGACGACGATCAACACGACAAGCCTTATCAGAAGGTGGAGCCACAAGACCATGTTCGACAGTGACCTCCTCGGCAACAGGGACCAATAATCACGAGCAATCAGGAAGATCGCGAGGACCATGGAGTAGAATCCGACGTACTTTACGCTGCAAAGAGAAGCTTCGGTTATGCGACACGAGTAGGGAGTAATTAACTGGAGAGACGACGAGAAGAGGGTTCGAGCTCATACCACAGCGCACACGTCAAGTTCACGGTGCCTAACGTCAACCATATCCACCAAGACACGGACGTCGGCTGGTCCATGACCTTGCGAAACTTCAAGATACACAACAAACCAAGCAGCGAGAATTGCATCAAGATACTTTCCATCAGGATGAACCTCGATTGCGTCAACAACGCATTGTCTAAAATATAGCAATACGTGCAATCAGTCGGACAGGGTGCGTGCGTTACAGGATCGCAGTGACAAGACTAAATACAATAATCTCAGCTAAATTTCAAGATAAAAAATAATCTCCAGGACGAGCGTAACAATCTAGCGCAGCGATGGTGTTCAACAAACTTGATTTTAATCACGCGAATCGCGTTGCGTTTTTACGTGATCGCATCTCATATCAGTGTTATGCTTTTAATTTAAGAAGGTGACGAGGGCAGGCGAAGGCGCGTCACAGTCGCGTGAAGAATCTTATGCAATGCACTTTCTAATCTGGGAGAGAAAATTACCGAGTAACAGTAAGATTCCACCGATCGCCGCCGCCCATTGTCTCAGGCCCAGCTCCAGAACGAGGTGATATCCCGTGGGGATCAGCAGACTGCCGCATATCGCTGGTATCAGACGTAGCGCGTACAAAGGAACCGCTTCGTCGTAAGGACTGCCGATCCTGTCGAACTTGAACTGCCCGTCGAAGCCCGCGAGGTATGCCGCCGCGGAGATCAGTTGCTTCCCCAGAGGCGGGTGGGAGTCGAAGAAGAATGTCTTCTTCATGTACAACCCGACGTACCTGCCGTAATGCAGCTCGTCGAAGCTGCGAAAAGTTGATTACGATGAATAATGTTACAGATGTAGCGACCGAAGTCACCGTCGCTCTATCATACACCACTAAAACGGATTAAAGATGCCAGAAGCAAGACGTAATGGACGTTAATCTCGCTCTAGATTATGTTAATTATAAATCCTCGATGATACAAGGTGACTCATTTTAAATACTCGTCTAAAATATCCGTTTTATTGTTCTCTCAGAACCTTTCATCTCAAACGTTTTTTCGATGTATTTTTTTCCAAATATTTTAGGCGGATATTTAAGATGAAACACCGTGTAATCATATGTTAATGGCAATTAATATATATATATAATTAATTAAATAATCGTGTATTTATAATTGATTAGGTAGTTTAATGTCATATAAATTCTGACGTATTCACAGATCGATGATTGACGGACGAATTATATAATTACTTGTTATACAAGATAAGGAAATTGGGATATATCGGCACGAGTGCCGATATCTCCGTATCATCTTAATGATATGATCAATGAAAGCATCAATTATGAGTCATGAACTGCTCTTTCACGACACCGTGTATATTATATCTCTCACAAAATTATATGCACACTTACACTATACTGCGTGGTTCCTCCAGACGATAAAGGCGAGTACAAATGCCTGTGATTAACAAGATCACCGCTATCAAGTCGATCTCCAGGCTGATTCTGATCCGAGCGCGAATCGCGTCTTTTGTCAAAAGTTTCTTCGACTCGATGGAATTCGATCGATTTGTTTTGTTACTTTTCACCAAAGTGTCCGAGGCAGCTTCTCCATCTCCCTGCAACGAGATCGTCGATCAAATTCGTCTTAACCGGGGATGTGTAAATTAATTTTCCCTTCGTACAAATAAAATTCTTAGTTTAATTATAATTCATTTTATTTCAGAGTTAATTCCTCGTTAAATTCTCTTTCTGGTGAAGTATATAAAAAAATAAAACCGACTTAAAATCAGCCGAAAACGCGCCACTATCTACCCGCAATTTCGGAGTTTGACAGTCGACTTTAAACATTTAAAAATTTAAAAATCCGCGGGCGTGCCACTTTCAATTCTCGACGGTACGAAAGTGCCGACAAAGCTGTTCCCACATAATTGCGAAAAGAACAAACGAGATAGATTGTAACATAAAAAGATCATCAACGCGAATCCTCAAATGCCGAACTATTTGTAACAATCGCAAGTTTCGAAGAAAAAAAACGAAAACAGACGTCTCGGTGCACTCCGAATCCTTCTTTCCGCTCCTCGCTCCCAACTTATTCGTATTTTAAATCCCTCGAGACGTTCGCCGGGATTTACATGAGCTGCGCACGGCTCACCTCGTCTCGTTGGACGATCCTCGAGCGGTCGGCCGTCGCGTCGGCGTCGCATTCCAAATTCCCGCTGAGCTTGCCGTCGGTCTGCAGTCTCGCTCGCCTGCGGCGCACTTCCATTGTCATTGTTGAGGCCGAGAAATCTACGGGAAGGCACGCACGGTCGCAAATCTGCGCAGCGGATAAACTAGAGAATGCTCCGTCGGCCGGCCGCGCGCTGTTTCGCGTCCGCCACGATTCCTCGCTCTCGCTCACCTCACCGTCGTGGTTGTGTTTCGCAAGAATGCGGCACTACTCTTTCACCAGTGCGTGGTCCGTCGGTCGTTTTAAAGTTTAAAGGGAAGACACCTGCGCAAACTTGATCAAGCACTCCACGTCAGCGTCCGCTCGCCGCTCCGGCGTGCCCCTTTAACGCGCTGCGCGTCCCGCTGCCGGAGATCCTCGGGAGCCACGCGGGACCTTCTTTCCTGAACGCCTGCTCGCCAGCTTGACCGATCACTCGTGACTATCGACGCGATTGAAAATCGCGCGGCGATTCGTCTGAGACGAAGGGTCAAAGATTACGCGCGCGCGAAGCCGGATCGCGCTTTTCCTCGCGCTCACACCGACAGGAGCGGCTGTTTAGGTTAGCATGCCGAGTTTGACATAACGGTACCGTCTCCGAGGATCCTCGCTGCTCACACGTTCTGCGCATCGCGCGGCAATCTCGTCGAATCGCGATATACTTGTTGCTTTAGAACCGGCACGGTGTGTCGTCCTTGTGTGATTTCTCGGTTGTCTCGTCTTTGTCGCACAGTCTTTTGTTCGCCTCCGTGGTGGTTGGATGTGATTTCTGTAACTACGCATATTTTTGATTTTGGGGACTGCGTACACGTTGTCCCTGTTTCTCTTTTATTTCCAAAATCGTTGTGATTAGCGTAGGAAAAGGAGTGTAATAACTCTGCTCAGAGCCATATATTGAATGAATGAGTGAATGAATGAAGTCATTGTTGCACATTTTTCCGCAGTTTGTTTGCGATTCACGCTACGTCTTCACCACGACGGTACTTTCGAGCGCTGATGACCTTCGAATAAAGGGGAGAAATTCGGAATCGTACGTTGCAATTTCTCGGCTGTAAACATGGATGATAACAAGATGCCGTGCCCGATATGCGGCAAGGAGTTCGCTTTCTCCGTCATCGAGTCCCACGCCAGCAAGTGCTTGTTCCTGAATGAGTCCGCAGCGGATGAAACTACAGCCTTGCTGAAGGATTCGAGTCCCATCGCTAAGAAAAGTAAAGTATTGAGACCAACGAGCGCAAAAAAAAATAATCTGGTGGCTGTGAAGAGAAAGAGTTCCTTGGAGCAGTTTTCCACGCAGGATGTCCAAAGAAACGAGGAGGATATCAGAGATGTTCAAGATGTTATGTCACCGAAAAGTGTAACTGTTAGTGTGTTTTGTTTATTAGCAGAATTAAACAACAGAAATATATTGTGCTTTATTTTTCATTGAGCTGTCGGATCCAATTTTAATTTCTATTTTAATTTTGCATTGAATATACAGTTTTAACTATATTTGTAAGGGGATTGCTATTTCATAAATTTTCTTTTTCAAGAATAAGTAGAAAATTGATCCGTTTCTAACAAGATAAATGAACATTTTAGTTAATGCTATAATAGCTCACCGAGGATTAAATTATAGTAATCAGTTTTTCTATACATGATAAATTTTTTGTGCATTATAATGCGAGAAAGGTATAGTTAAAAGTGACAGTTTTAATTGTTACATTTTACAAAACAAATATTTATTTACAGACATACAATGGGAATAAGAAATTAAGCAAGAATGAACATATACCTCTCGCAGAACAGATGAGACCCACATCGCTCTTGAATTTTGTTGGTCAGGAACATATCCTTGGACCTCATACAATGCTCTCAGAACTCTTACAAAAGGGGGAGATACCTAATATGATTCTCTGGGGTCCACCTGGATGTGGCAAGGTACTTATTGCATCCATGTTTCTGATAATATCTGCAAATGCACACAGAATGTACATTCATTTATTTTCTTTTCAGACATCTTTAGCTAATGTAATTGCGCATAGATGCAAGAACGATGCGAGTCATAAGCTACGTTACGTCAAGCTCTCCGCGGCGATGGCTGGTGTCCAAGAAGTGAAGGAAGTCATAAGTGTTGCCGCTAATCATGTAAAGTACGCGCAGCGCACGATAGTGTTCATGGACGAGATACACAGGTTCAACAAGATGCAGCAGGACGTGTTCCTGCCGCACGTCGAGTCGGGATCCATCACTCTGATCGGCGCTACGACGGAGAATCCCTCGTTCAGCTTGAACTCTGCACTGTTGAGCCGATGTAGGGTGACAGTTTTACACAAATTATCCATCTCGAATCTGGTGTCGATCTTGAGGCGCGCGGTGACCTCGCTGAACGGTGTAACTTACTTGCCTGAGAAGGATGAGACCATGGGGAACAACGCCAGGAAAGAGAGCACGTCGATGGAGGAAGGCAGAATCTTAGGAGAACCATCCTCTGACACGAAATTCATCGTAGACGGACCGACATTAGAATGGTTGGCCGGCACTTGCGACGGTGACGCTCGAATAGCATTGGGAGGACTGGAAATGGCGGTGCGGTCTAAAGTACCGAACCAAGAAGACTCACCGAAGCCCGCAATAATAACATTAGGTGACGTGAAAGAGAGTCTGAAGAAAACACACATGTTGTACGACAAGAAGGGCGACCAACATTACGACATGATCTCCGCATTGCACAAGTCTGTCAGAGCCAGCGACGAAAATGCTTCGCTATACTGGTTAACCAGAATGATTTCCGGCGGTGAGGATCCGGTCTATATCGCGCGCAGATTAGTGAGGATGGCTAGTGAGGACGTCGGCTTGGCCGACCCGAAAGCTCTCGGTTAGCAAATTTTTATTTGTAAGAATAAAGCATATAAAGTACATTTTTTAATGATTGTATTATAAAGTATAGTTCTCAATAGTATGTGGCATGATTTATGCACACACACACACACACATGATTTTTGCGGAATATACAATTATTTATGATGGAGAACGCTTGCATGTAAATTTTTTAGATGTGAAACTTGGTCAAGTTTATGTCAACAATATTTAAGTTTGCGAATAATACTGTTTGCAGGTATCGCGGTACATACCATGCACGGTTGCAAAATGATCGGCATGCCAGAATGCGACGTACTTCTGGCGCAGTGCACAACGTACTTAGCGAGAGCACCAAAGTCTAGACTGATGGAGGATGCGCTTAGAGCTGCGCAGCGAGCGGTAGCTGAGCATAAAGGTCCGCAACCAGGGGTACCCTTGCACTTGAGGAATGCCCCCACGAAACTCATGAAAGATCTGGGTAAATATTTTATGCTCTATTCGCTCCATTCTCTTTATTCTCTTTTTAATTAAGCACATGTGCTCTCAATAAACTGAGTTTATTCTTCTTCAGGATACGGTAAGGGATACAACATGAGATATAAGGAAGATTCCGGATTAAATTATTTACCGGAAGGCCTGGAAGACTTGGATTTCTTCGGAGACGATGATAATTCAATGTGAAATGATACCGCGATTAATGTCACACTTTGTTCGATGTGATGTTGCGTCAGTGCGCGAGAGGATATATTTTGTCTTATAAGTCTCGTATTTAAAAACAGATCTCTCAGGGACTAAAACTTTAAGCGGTGTAAATATACTTATATAAAGTAAATTGTAACTATATATGTGTATACATAATTGTTAATAATTATATAAATCTTGTAAATGAGAGATACTTTTAACGATAATACTGAATATATGTATAGTGAGTTACAGAAATATTACAAAGCGTGTCCAAAATTGCGGCCATGCGTGCAACCGAAAAGAATATCTCAATACTGATTCTACATAAAAACTGATCTATACATTTAAGCTTGTATCTCTCGCGCATATAGCCTAAGTCTTGGCACTTTTGCCATCCGTTGAAGATAGGTTTTCACCTATTTTATTCATGTATTTCTTCCAAATAATCGTCTTATTAGAAGCAGGCATGTCCACGATTTCCACGATATTTATATCGTTTTTCGCGGCCAACTGCTTCAGGTCCTTTATATCTCGCAAACCCCACTCGGGGTTTTGCGATTTTAGCGAGTTGTGGAATCTCACGTTACTCTCCGGGTAGATCATATTGTCGCAGGCGTATGGCCCGTATGTTATCAGCAGTCCGTTGTTCTTCAGCAATTGACCCGCGTTCCTGAACAAGCCGATGGTGCATTGATACGGCGAGATGTGCATCATGTTCGCGTTGTATATGTAGTCCAAACTGTTCGGCTTGAAGATGCCGTTACCCCACAGTCGGAAATCCGTCGTGATGTCGATCAGCATGGGCTTCCTTATGTTCGAGTATCCGTTTGCGTGCGCACCGATGCTGCCCAGCAGATGCGACTCATACTCCGATGGGTAAAATGTGACGTGTGGGAAATGCGGCGCGAAATGCGCCACGTGTTGGCCCGAGCCGGAGGATATCTCCAGGCAGGTCTGATTGGCGCCAGGCTGGATGTATCGTTTCAGTACTGACAGTATCGGGTTCTTATTGCGTTCCGCCGCAGGGTAAACGAGCTTTTCGACGGCCATAGTGTGCGACCTTGAAGAAATCACAGCTTCACTTATTTAAAAAGCCTGCAGACGCTTGTACAGTATCGCGTGATATCTCTTGAAAAGTTCAATATGTACGAGATTCGAACATCGACTGTGCAATACAAAGTGGCGTGAGACAAGTTTCTGCGGAGTTTATTAAAGCATCTTTCTATCTTGTTTATCTTATCCTTTTGCCATTAAAAACGCGATGTAAACACCACTTTGAAATTAAATGTTTCACTATATTCAACGAAGTGGTCATAAGTGAAAAGTTGTACGAATCTCACCTGTGATTAGCAGCGTAATGAATGATATTCATTTTCTACGTCATGCTAGCCGTGATATTATTATTTATGGCAAGGAATCGCGCATGCCCTGAAAAATGTGAATTATACATTTCTTATTTGTATAAATATACTTCTTTACAAATTGGCGAGTGAGAAAAATAAGACAGTTAATTTTGGGAAGCGGATGGTTTTGTAAATAAAAATAAGTCGGATATTAATTCAATGACATCTAATGCCATTATGTTTATTGGCAGACATGATAATTTATTACATGAATAAAGTTACTTATACATACGTGCAAAGGTTGTGAGATATTTTAATTTTCATTTCTTCCACTGTAACATATTCATTTAATAAGTCTCTGTTTTCTGATAGATATAATTATCGTAAAGGAGCTAACTATCTTAGCACCATTAATCAGTCTAAAATGATCAAGTTATTTCAATGCTTCTGTCAGACTTGACCTTATGGAGTATGCATAGGAACATATAATGCGCATATATATACAATGTATACAATATATATATATATATATGGTGTGTGCGTGTGCATATATATATATATATATATTGTATGTATATATGTACTGTGTTGTTATATGTATAAAGTCAAGTATATTTTCACAAACATACGAGCAACTTTATTATAAATTATCACGCCGACCAATAAATACAATGCCATTAAATTAATACTAAATTTATTTTGATGCTTTTGCTAGACTTGACTTTATACAATACACATTACACGTACAATGTGTGCGTGCGTGTGTATGTATGTGTGTGCGCGTCAGTAATGCTACAAATCTGTTGTATGTGTATATCTATTGGACAAAACTATTTTTTTCATGCCACTTAAGAAGCAGTAAGTTATTTGTATTCGATGAAAACAACCTCTCTTTAGTTACAAAAAGGAAGAAAAAAATGATATTATAAATCTAGATAATTTGAGTGATATCGAGTCCATGTAACAATAACGAGTCCCTGTAACAATAAATTTACAATTGATATTTAACTCAGTTCCAACAATTCCTTCTGCCCAAAATGCATTTCGCTTTTATACAGTTCTTTCTTCTCTGATGGGTTTATTTATAAATATAGTTTTACATCATATACAGAGATCGGAGGAGTAGAATAATGCGGTTTTGTTAAGGTACTTTGAGTCCTTCCTATTGAAAAGGACCAACTTGCACGAGAGGAGGCGACAAACCGCCAAAGTCCATAACTACCTCCATGTTAGTATATACACTATCCTCGTCCCTCCATACATTGTCCCTTTTTTTCTTCATGAATAATTGAAGAAAATCTAATGACGTCGAGTCATTTCCCACTTTGCTATCTGCTTCATCCTTCTTTTTGCTTTTCTTCTTACTGGAAACCGTTTCATTTACATTGCTAGATTTGGCTTCTGTCTTCAACTTGCTATTGCCCTCGGCTTCCTGTTTCTCCCCGTCGCGTGATCGCGTGTTACTTTTCTCGTGTTTAGTCATCGCTGTCTTTCGTTGCTGCAACTTCTTGCGCTGTTTCTTCGACTTAAACCACATGTCTTCGTTAATACTCTCTGTATTGTCGTCATCATTGACATTCGGCACGGGATTAGGATTCAGTACGTTCTTCTTCCTCCTCCTCCTGTTCTTCTTCTTTTTCTTCTGACAATCCGAGCTGGCTGCTGCCTCCTGATCAGACATCAGCTCGTCCTTGGAAGTTACAGCCTTATCTTCTTTTCCGCTCTCGGACAGACATAAGAAGCAGTTGTAATTCATCCGAGATCTTTCAGTTAACGGAACATCTTCATCGTTTATCTCCTTCTTCTCGTTCGCTGACTGACAGTCTTTCGGATTCTCCTCATCGTCCGAAATCAGTTCGTCGTGAGAAGTGTCGTCATTATCCTTATTGTCAGGTTCCTTTGTGTCGTTCTCGGGAGGATTCATCAAGAAGTCGGGCACCTGCGAATCAGTGGCCAACTTTGGCTCATTCGGCGTGGTTGACTGACAGTCTTTCAAGTCTTTTTCATCGCCCGAGTTGAGTTCATCGTGGGAGGTGTCCTCGTTGTCCTCTTCATTATCATGTTCCCTCGTGTTATTTTCAGAATCTAACAAAAAATCAGGCATCTGCGAGTCAGTAGCCAACTTGGACTTACTCGGCGCTGTTGACTCTGTACTCGATGAGTTAAACTCTTGGGAACTGCTACTGCTATGAAACTGCTTATCGTCTTTCGTTATAGAGGCCTCTAGTATGCTGAAGTTCTCCTTATGTTTTCGCGAGTTTTCGTGATTCATGTAAGCCTTGTGCGTCTTGAAGATCTTGTTACAGACGATGCAATAGAGCGTCTTGTTGTCGTCCATGTCATTGTCGTCACTGTCGTCACCGAGGGTCGCCTCGATCTTCCTCAGTTCCGCCTCGATGTTCGAGAACTTAGACCATTCGGACTCCGTATGGTCACGCAGAAGCTTTTGCCGCTCCAGTACCTGTACCTTTTTACGCTCCTCCACTTTGCGGGCGTTTTCACGAGCGCGCTCCGCAAGTTTCGCTGCATGAGCCTGTACGCGCTTGTCGCGCTTGCGAACGAAGGCAACCAGATTGCGCACCTGTTCGTTCCTCTCGCGCCTGGCCTTGTCGCGCACCTTCCGATTCTCCTTTTCAGCGAGACGAAACACGCGACGGTTCGCGGCGTTTCTCAAGTCGTATGGGTTCAGCCAGGCAAAGGATCTCTTGGTACTGTAACTTTGCCAGTAGGCGTAAAAATTGTGCACTACCTCCTCGTACGAGCTCTGAGAGTTTCCGAAGCCAGGCATTTCCTCTTCCGACTCGCTGTCCCTGGTAAACTCTGCATCTTCCTCAACTAATTTCTCAAAGACTTTGCGGTACACAGTATAGAAACCATTCTCGTCATCTCCATAACCCTCAAAACACATGGTGGTGAAGTATGAGAAAAGATTGATGGAGTCATCCTTGTAATCCTCCGTTGTACCCTTCAGTATTGCTTCTCGGTGATTGTCATACCAGGTTCGCTCATGAGGATCACCAAGTACGTCCCATGCTTGCTTGATGCGTTGGAACTGTTTCTTAGCTTCATCTGGATTACTCAGGTTTTTGTCTGGATGCCATGTTAATGCCAGCCTTCTATATGCAGCTTTTATATCGTCGTATGTGGCGTTTCTAGTGACGCCTAGTACTTCATAATGACATTTCATTGTAAAGCTGTGTACGATTACACACAATCGCCAGACACAATTTCCCTTACTCTTACACCACAAACTGCAAGCTAAAAGGATTTACACTGTTAAACCATGAAATCAAGCAGGTGGTTCAAAATGATTTAGGAGCTTATTGGTTCAGTTTCTTCTCATCGTATTAGCTTGCAGTCTGACAAAATCTGTAAGAGGAACAAAGAACAGTACATACTGTTAGAAGATGTTCCAAGTATTCGAAAAGAAATTCAATGTAACTCTTAAATCTTTTGCAAATGCACATCGATATCGATTAGATATCTATTTGTTGAATATTACAAACTATACGATTCATTGCGTCACTAAATACGAATTTGTTAGAATTCGCAAAATTCCGCAATTTGATTAACGCAATATATGCAATGAGCTCGTAAATTATTTTAAACCGAGATGCCACCCAGCTTCATCGCCGCAGTTACTTATAAAGTAGTTTATCCGGGCTGGCGACATACGAAAACTGCTCGAAATTTTAATTATTAATTTCAACTTATTGATAATATTTCTAGTAACTCAAGAAGTGTCCTTACCTCACCTTGATGGTTACAGTTTCCTCCGTTGACAAATTTGTTCGTAGTTATAATTGTGGTGCAGTCTAAATCTCGTGGTATAATAATAATTAAAAACGACGGTGACCGTTCCTCTCGCCTGAGGAATACGATTTGATATAATGGCTCCTTGCCGCTTTTTCATAAGAACGTGAAATCATATGATTATCTCTTCACTTTACCACATTCTTCAGCTTTCAGGTATACAAGCAATATCACATCATAACTGAAAGATCTAAACTTGTCGAACGTTGAACGGGTACATTCATCATTACGGGCAAGTTACGTTCAATTGCGTTCCAATTTCTCATCCGAGGGGAGAGAATACTATAGAATATGTAAGGATGTAAAGTCAGCAGCACACGGTGCTTGTTATTGTGCTGGATTGCTTGCTGGATGAAAATACTGCGTTCTGATTGGTGCATTTCCATCCATCTTCGGAAATGCACCAATCAGAACGCAGTATTTTAATCCAGCAAGCAATCCAGCACGAAAACAAGCACCGTGTGCCGCTGGCTTAACTTACTGAAAATTAAACAAGGACAAAGTACACTTATGGCGCTAAAAGTGCGCTCTCCGAACGCACCTAAAGAAAACTGTTTTGCAACTGTTGTAAAATTTGTTAATTTGATTGGTGCATACTCTTGGATTTAGTTAAACGCAACCATTGGTTCACGTTCAGCCGAGAAAACTGCTCCACTTCCACTCAAGAGCAAATGTTCATGATTGGAGAATACTTTTAAATCTTTGGCAGGTCCGAACAGACGTACCAATCAGAGGCGTTTGCTACGGAACAGTAGCGGAGCAGTTTCTTCCGCTGAACGCGACCATTATGAATTTCTGTAAAAAATTAATGTACAAGATGATCTTGGTTTTCAAGTGGCATATATGAATCGATGATAAAATACTAGGAAGATAGCAATTTACTACATCTGAGGTTTGTTCTTTTTCGAACAATTTTTTTGAATCGCGGTGCACACTGGTGCAATTAAGTTAGAACGAAACAAATGTATTTTATTTCATTCTAACTTATTGCACCGATGTGCACCAGCGCCGGCACCAGTTTAGAAAGTTCCTCGAAAAAAGTACAAACTGCTAGTGATTTGGAAACTTTTCACGCGAAACAGCTGATTGCTCACACCGCACTGTTCGACATCGTCTTCGACAGCAAGATGGCAACGATCGTGAGAGCGCATTAAGGAACGAGCGATTTTCGGCAAATATCGCCAGTTGCGACGTTCTGAGTGGTTGTCAGCGGTATTCATTGGCTCGTGGTAATTATCTTCCGCCTCTCTATCCACACTATCGCCGTCGACGTACTAGAAAAAGTCGTTCACAGAACCGACAGTACGTCAGTAGCCTTGATCGCTTGTGACATCTCGAGAACGTGATGTAGCAGACGCCTTTAATTACTCTCGGTCGACTACGTTTGCAATATTAATGATTTCGACGGCACTGTGTGCCGTTGAAGTCTCGCGCGAATCAAGTTCGGAGTTTCTCGTAGACTCGCTCTGTCAAATTAATTCGTGTGATCTATCAACGAATCAGAGCCTCTGACAGGTTTGTCACTTTAATGTGTGGTTATCTTGTTGTATCGGATACCGATGATAGTGTTGTATGTCAAGTTGCACAAGTGCCTTTATTCTCTATGATTTTTAAGCTTACATTTACGTGCAAACATGGTGTACAAGGTTGAGAATTATAATCCTAATTACAATATCAAGGCACAGCCTGTAAGCTTATTCCGCTATTTTATATTTTGATTTTAAAAGGAGAGATATCAAGATTGAATTTAGTGAATATAGTAAATAGAATTCATTTATTGTTTTATAATAATTCTTATAGATTGCGTGTAAAGATGACCGCAGGCACCAGTTTAGTGGTACCCATAGTGTTATGGGGTCGTATAGCACCGACCCACTGTATCTCCTGTGTCTATTTGTCTCGGGATCAAAAGACACTGGTAACAGGATGTTACGACGGGCAAATATGTCTATGGCAAGTGGAGCCAGAAACATTGAAGGTACATGAAAGAACAAATGGTTGTTTTGTGATTTACTTTCCAATGTTCAATATATTTTACAATCCTTGTTTTAATACAGATGACTCCAAGATGCTTGCTTGTGGGACATACTGCTCCTATCATGTGTCTCAGTCGTGCTAGCGTCGTAATGGAGCAAAATTTCATTGTGAGCAGCAGCGAAAGTGGCGAGATGTGCACTTGGGATCTAGTCGACGGAAAGTGTCGTGAAGCGGTGAAGCTCAATAACATTCATACGCAAATGTTGCCCTATGTTTCTGCGGGCGGAGAAGACGTTAGACTATTTTGTTCTGGGTAGATATCGCTCTGTTCACATCAGATCGCGTATTAGATCCTTCGCGTATTTATCGGAAATATTTTCCTTTCGCCATTTCAGATATTATCCCGAAGTTTTAGTGATGGATCCGTTCAGTCTGGAAGTACTGTTCACCCTGAGTTCTCGCGTCAATCCGGACTGGATTAGCGCCTTGCACGTTTTGCGGCCGGCCAAACGGAAAGGTCGGTTCTACGTGCATACAAGTTAGTTACAGTCCATCACACCTACGCTTTATACCACAAATCGCTACCTTCTATCAACTTTGTTGCCGATAGATACTGTGTGTAAGGGTCAGTTATGTAACATGTTTTCTGCAACAAATTCGTAAGTTCTTAATACGAATTAATGGGGCAATCTGAATGTACCGTTTTGCTGTAATTTAAAACTCTTCATCTTCTGTCTTCCATGATGTTCTTCGAGCGATATGATCTTCCATACGAATCACATTCGATTACTCTTTTCGCGGTATCTTTTGGCATTTCATTATCTTTTATATGTTCCTTTTTTTATGTCAAGAATTGCGGTTACTAATGATAAAGATTTCTTGTTTTCGTTGTTTCCGTATCTGTTTTGAGAACGAGATATTAAGTTGGACATAGTAATTCTTACCGTTTGTGATTGTACATCAGTACAACTTGAAAATAACTAACGACACCCAAGGCACTTTACAGACGTTTCTCTTGTATTACAAGTCACTAGTCTATCACTTTTTTGGGCGATTAACCTAAAGAAGCTTTATGCTTTGGGTACAGCAAGGACTCTCCTATTAGAGAATATTCTGCGCGTCACCTTTCGGTGATCCGTTACGTAATTCTTTTTATAAACGTCCATATGTTTTGGACATAACCGGTTTGACAACAACGGTTCTATATACCTAATGTTTGGAATGAGATTACATTTAATAACGGTTACATTGTTACAGCATGTTAATGAAAGTGGACACACACCAGTGCGCTAGCGCTCTGGTAGCGGCTGTATCACTTCTCTCTATTTTTCTCGTTTGTTTCTTCTTTTTTCTTAAATCGTCATTCATACAATCGTCTCCTCCTTGCACTTCATTTTTTGCAACCATTACTAACATCTCGTTTCACCCCTTCACTTTTTGTTTATATCGATGTACCTCTCATCTCTAATCCTTACACACGAATGACACGTCATTTACATTCTTTGACACATTGTATTTCACTCGATATTCACTACGTTCTCGTAACACTCTTACCTGGTACACTATTTTTCTGTCTATCCGTAAGTATATATATTAATACATATTTACACAATAATAATTATAGACTGCACGCTATACATTAAGGCTAAACTCAATGAGAAGCATGCCAACGTTCTGACTTATTTCAATGTTATTTTGTAAATTGAAGATTTCACAGTAATCGCGGAGAAAAGTCACTCAATGTTCGGAAATTACACATTTAATATTTCCGCAACATATTTCGAGAGGAAAAGAACAAACGTCGTTGAAGTGTCGAATATGTAATTTGTACCGACTTTTTAAATTAATTTTTTATTTTCACAATGCTGCTTATATGTTTATTTCACGCGTTACGTTAATTTACGGCCCGCTAATTTATGTGTTTGATGCATAAAGTCGGACTAAAAGCTGGACGTATGTAACTAGTCGAAAGGACATTGAGAGGAGGAACATTAAACAGTAGACAAAAAAGGAAAACAAAAAATGAGATTGAGGAAACGCGAATTCTTATCGGTGCGATTCCACAAGATATCATTAATATTGTCTTCTAATCGACACTTGCGGTCCTTGCGGACTTCGCTCGGCCAAACAAAGTACTCGAGTACATACATAGTTCCTGTGTAACTGGAATAAGGCATAACTTCGCAGTAATTTAATACGCGTCGCTTTCTACTCTCCGCGGAAACCATCTGGCATGCGCTCGTAAAACCAGACCTTACGCATACGGGAATTATTATCGCTTGATGACGGCTCGCGTTACACTTGTATCGCGACTAGAATGACGCCGTTTCTCTAATCATCTGTTTAACCCGCTGTTTTGCGCCTCTAGCTCGCACACAACGATAAGAATGACCGTCATCGTTATTATTAATTGTAAATTAATGTGCCGGAGCTGATCCGATTTTGTGTTTCGTTGCGTCGGTGTGTGACAAACCTGACGAAACGCTCTCTCTCTCTCTCTCTTTCTCTCTCTCTCTCTCTCTCTCTCTCTCTCTCTCTCTCTCTCTCTCTCTCTCTCTCTCTCTTTCTCTCTCTCTCTCTCTCTCTCTCTCTCTCTCTCTCTCTCTCTCTCTCTCTCTCTCTCTCTCTCTCTATCGCTTCTTCAAACGCTACAACGTTCTCCTAGATTAACTTAACGCGCAACAGGCGCTTCCATTCATTTAAAGACGACGTCGTGCTGGCCCTGACGACTACCGGCATGGTCAAGGTGTGGACGCTCTTGGGACACGAGAATCGGAATAGCGAGCCCCTCTACGAGCACGAGAGCAAGCAGATACGCTGCTTGAACGCACTCGCGATGACTTGTTGTCCATACAATCAACGAACGGTGCTGATTGTGTGCTCCAAATTTTGGCAGGTAATTAGCGTCTTGTTATGCCAGCGAGCATGTAACGGGAGAACTCTCTGATCACTTCCCCCGTGATATCGTGAATATTTAAAACATCAATCTGCAATGATGCAAAGATGTTTGAGGAGGAACCGATCACAGATGCTTCTCTAAGAATACTTATTTGTATTGTATTTATGTACTTTAACTTTATTTAACACGCGTGTTTTCATGTGGATTTAACCTTAATATTATGTATAATGTTAAAGATTGTATCAATTTATTGCAAAGATTTATGACGCCGGTGACTTCTCGGTCCTCTGCTCGATAACGGCCCCGCGCGGCGAGCGTTGGATGGCGGGCGATTTTCTGGCTGCTGATCGAGTCATCTTGTGGAGCGATGAAGGTCATGGATATCTGTACAAACTTCCGGCCAAGTATGTACTCTCGCTGCAATACGATACGATATGATATGTTCAAAAGAACTTTCCGTCGATAAACGTCACTGATTGAGTCAAGTGTCGTGTAAAGATACTCCTTTTCTTCCCACTTTTGGGAGAGTTCGAGTTTTGCTCCCTGGCCGATAACGCGTTACTTAACAAATAATCTCCCGTCTTGTGCCTCGCGCATTTAATACTCGCAAGTTGAGTGACATTATATAACAACTTGATTGAAGTATTCGACTATGGAATTTTATTGATTAGCTCATATCCCTTTGTTACTTCTAGGGTTCTGGTACAACTTGACAGGTAGTTTCTCTTTGCGCATACACATAAGTATTGAAATCCTGCTGCAGACATAATACTCTCTAACAGATTGTTCTGCAAAGAAAATGTTCTACTAATTGGCAGCGAATTTAGTTTAGCCAGCATGGTTACGGTTACTAAAGCACACCTTTCTTCTCAACTGCAGTTTATAGCGGCTAACAGATGCTGAAATAGCGATGCCGAAATCAGTTATTAGCGTGTCTTTAATACCTGACTGTGATTAATGCGATGATGCACCTTCGGCGAGATGAAAAATTCACGGATGTCCTTACCGCGTGTTATCGTACTTTGGCGACCTGTGTTTTTGATCCTCGGTTGTACATTTCACGTAACTCTCGCAAGGGACACGAAGAAAGTTGATCCCTCGAAATCGCTTAGATTACTCGTTACTTTGTCGTGAACCTCTAACACATGTAACCGTCAGGCATATTAACTTACCAACACGAAAATGAGCTTTCCTCTTTCAATTTTTCAAAGGCTGAATGCTGTAGCGGCACTTGCTAGCAATGCACACTTTCGATATTTTAATTTCTTACTTATCTTTTTTATGATCATTTATCATGCGCCGACATGTTCGAAGTCGTGTAACCTTGCTTACTAAAATTCCATAACGTTTAATACAAACCGCCCTTGCAAAGTAGATCGAGACATTCCCTGTGTCATCCACTCTACAGTTGCTGTTATGACCTTTTACTCGAATCACAAGCGAAAATCCCTCGAAAACGGTCATTAGTACAAAAAGGTTGACATCAGGGAGGTAACCGTTGCGGTGTTAACGAGACAGAGATTAAGTTGCTGTTGATAAAGTAGAAACAAAATTTAACGAAACGGTAATCGAGACCGGTGCCGGCGAATCAGGTAAAATTCCTCTCTGTGGCGTTTTATTCTTTTTTCTTGCATTTAAAGATAATGAGAGAGACGCTTAGAGGGAACTCGCCGAGAGTATACGATATGATCCCCAGAGAACCTAATTTTCATATATGCACGTGAATTAACAATTAACACAACGGCCCATCTTACGGTGATGTCTTTTCCATATTACACATACTGCATTCTACGCGGGATCTCTGGTGTTCTTCTAGCAAGCTGAAGGGCAAGGCTCTCAGCAGGTAACCCGCATTACATCACATTCGCAGTACAATCTCTTTTAATATCTCTCTCTCTCTCTCTATCTCTCTCTCTCTCTCTCTCTCTCTCTCTCTCTCTCTCTCTCTCTCTCTCTCTCTCTCTCTCTTATCCTGTCTTTCTCTGTCTCTTTCTCTTTTTCTCTCTCTTTTCGTTCAGTGTTTGTTTCTGTCGTTATTCTCTTTCATTCTTCCATGTTCGTAAACACAGTGATTCGCTTGCACTCTTCCTTCTTCAGTACGAGGATGTGCGATAAATCATACTGTACGTATATATATACAGCTAAATTCGCGCATTGATGTCATCGCGGAGGCAAATAAAACGCGGAGATGCGTCGTATTTGAATTTGAAAATATTGGCTTATGGGGGAATTACGTATGGAAGGTTAAAGCTATTTTTACGAATTTTTTTAATAGAAACAGTAAGATCTATGGACTTGAAATTTTCAGTGTATTCATTAATGTTGTAAAAAGTATAAAATAAATTTTATTAAATCACAAGAATCGATCCCATTTGTAATTATACATAAAAATGCGAGTTCTATGTTTGCTGTCGATATAATTCCGAGCCTCTCACCACTCTGAAACCAAAAAATGAGAACAATTTTTTAAATATATATAGTTGTCATTATAGCCCGTACCAAAATGAAGACAGTAAAGCCAAGTTTGGAAAAATAATGACTGTACAAAAAAGAAAGTATCGTAAATGAAACTTTTTTCAGCTTGTAATCACGTTTAAAAAAAAATGAATAAAATAAAATATAACTGTGTTCGAGGCAGGGACGAAAACTACATGTTTACTGTATATTGTGTAAAAATTTCAAATTATTCAATCTTTCAATATTTCAATTTTTCAAATTATTCGGTTCAGTAGTTTTTGCGTAATCGTGTTGACAGTTTAAGAAAATGGTGTTTCCAGATAAACGCGTTTAAAGTTTTATGTGTACTTTCCACATAGATAGTAGCAAATTTATTTTATACTTTGAACATTCATGAATACACTGTGAAAATTTCAAGTCCATTGATTCTACCGTTTCTGTTAAAAACGTTTGTAAAAATAGCCTTGAAAACGGCTCCTTGAAAAATGCTCCGCATGTAATTCCCTCCGTATTGCATTGTAATGCAAATTGTACACGCATGTCGTCGTCGACAACGACACTCAAATGTGCAGGTGATGTTTTTACCTTTTCGCGCCTGTAACATTCGTGAGAACACTCACCCACTCACAAACAAACACACTCACACACACACACACACACAGACACACACATACACACGTACGATTTCTCTTATCAACATTTACATGCAAGTTTGCAAATATCTACACTCGTACGTGATTACACGCGCATCATGATCATTGGCAACCCTTAATCGTCCAAACAGATAATGTGAGCGAGATGAAAATACAAAGATGCGCCGCGGAGGAAGGTAAATGTGACAAAGAATCACGTATATCGCCATATCCCCTTCTCATTACTTGTGTTCTCACATTTCTGTTCGCTTTGAGTTGCTTTGCACTGATCTTGTTAAGTCTGCGATGACACAACAGACGCGACACAAAGGTTGAACGGAGGAGATCCTCCTGAGCGCGGTGAAGCATATCTCCGGTGTTTCTGGACTTGAGGAAAGAGAAAATCCGTCGCTATTGTTCTCTCAGTCGGAATGCACGATATTGACGTAACTCGGGGATTTCTACAGATATCTCTCTGCCTTTGTGTCGTTCGTGACGGTTCGAAAATGCTGTCGCTTCGCGAGAAGGCGTTTACTCGCAGCAGCGTTCGCTTGCTAGTAAACATAGATAGTGAATAATCATGCATATTTGAAATTACTCGATGTAATACGAAGCTTATGCAATGTAATAGAATAATTACTATTCGTGGACATGCGTATGTGCGCCTCCTCGCGCGAACATGTATAATTACGGTTCTCCCGATTTATCTCAGTCATGAGGGAAACGGTGTCCACGAGTAGTAGCTGGAGCGCTTCACCGAGACCAGGATGATCGCTAATCACAGGTTTTCTTTGCATGATACGTAGTAGCGTCGCGGACAACAAGAACTTCCACACCGCCGGTGCCGAGTACGATCAGCCGTATTTGTATTGCACGCTAACGCAGCCCGGAGATAAGGTGAGAAGCGTTTCGTCTAATAACATCTGGATCAATGGTAATAAGAAGCATTAGAACCCTTGGATTGTTTTATCAGGAACGCATCTTAATCGCTCGTTCCTCGAGTCTTTAAAGTAGTTTTTGAAATAATTCTCAGATACTTCGGTCAGCAGTCTCTCAAGATTCTTTGCGTCTTAAGAATCTTCAATCTTGAAGACTTTCGCTGCTGGGATCGCTTGTCTCTGAAATTTCCAACTCATTGAGTCTCTCCTGAGATTGTTTCCTCCAAGTCCTTTTCTAGTCAACCAATGTTCCAATTGAGCCAAATTTGTCATCACACTCTGTTAGCGAATCTCGCATCTCTATTAACAAGTTGCTGATTTTTATCTCATGTGTTTCAGCCTCTTTCATGTCCGCCGGCGATGCGACTGGTCACAGTGCAGCGTCAGAACAAGACCCTGAAGTACCTGCTGCGTGGAGACAGCGAAGGTGTTGTTATCCTGTGGACGGTGCCGGACATCACGACGCAGCAGCTCGCTCAGATATGTCAGAACGATGGGTCATCGCCACCCGCGTTATCACCGACCGTGAAGACGAGTCTTACCGCTGCCTGGGACGCGATGAAGCCACCTCCTGTGGGAATACTCGACCAGCTAGACTCCGGCGACGGACAGGGCATCAAGCTGACCGCTTGCATATACTTGCCGCAGCAGAGTCGGCTGGTGGTCGGTCGTGAAGACGGCAGTATCATCATCGTGCCAGCGACACAGACCGTGATGCTTCAGCTACTCCATGGCAATCATCAGCAGTACGATGGTAGCGTATCTCTTGTCGTTTTCGAGGAGTTTGCATGTGTGTACTTAACATATACTTGAAGACTTTCTTACAATCCGAATGTTCGCTTTTTCTCCACGTTATCAGATTGGCCACCGCATCAAGTCCTCCTAGGTCACTCGGGACGAGTGAATTGCTTGCTTTATCCTCACGGCGCGGCGCCTCGTTATGATCGCACTCATCTCGTTTCCGGTTCCGTTGACTTCGCCGTGTGCCTCTGGGATCTGTACGCCGGCACGTTGATCCATCGGTTTTGCGTTCACGCCGGCGAAATTACGCAATTGATGGTGCCGCCCGACAATTGCAGTGTACGACAATTCGTTTATTCTTCTATATCGTTGAGATAAGATTTATTTAATTTTTTTTTAATCGCCTCAGTCAAGTCAGTTTGTATTTGCGAGAAATATCGTTCCTCATTAGACCATTATTCGAGACTGATGTATTGAAAAATACTCGTTACATTTGCAGCCCAGGATACAGAAGTGCGTTTGTAGTGTCGCGTCGGATCACAGCGTCACGTTACTCTCGTTAGCCGAGAGGAAATGCGTCGTGCTCGCCTCACGACACCTTTTCCCGGTTGTGACTATCAAGTGGAGACCGTTGGATGACTTTATGATAGTCGGGTGTTCCGACGGAGCCGTATACGTCTGGCAAATGGAAACCGGTCACTTGGATCGTGTACTGCACGGTTTGTCAGCATCATGTTGTCTTGGCTTTTTAAACGAATCGTTTGTCTTTTCTCCGAGTATTTTAATTCTTAACATTTACGATTCTTACGTCTTTGAAACTTCAAATTTTTTTATCATGAATGATATTCGCACAATACTGCGTCAAGTATTGTTTTATTTGTATCGTTAAAATTTATGAAAATTTGAAAAGTAAAAGATATCAGATAATACAAAAAAATAATGAAAATATGAGAAAAAAGAGTATTATGTTATTTATACAATATGAGGTTAATATTTTACATGAAAAAATAAAAATCGGTAAAAATTTGATCATACTTATCTTTTCATGTGTAGAAATGACATTTGTAGAAATGACAGATTTTTATAGGTATTATCTTTTTACAGGTATTATTGCGGAAGAAGTGCTCTACGCATGCGACGAGAACACTCTAGCAACTGCCGGAGGATCCGGCGCTGGCGGTGAGCTAGGATTAGCCAATCCTGCCGTGCATTTCTTTAGGTAAATGAAATCTTGCAGCACGGATGGTGAGAATTTTGCGTGTTTTTAAGCGAAGTAAACCTTTGCGGGATAACGTTCTCCGTTACAGTCCGTCCAATTTTCGCTTCTCAGGGGTTTACGACATCGCAACTTGTCGGCAATCAGACACGCGACCCAGAGGGGGCTGCATCAGCTGCAGCAACTGCACGGCGGACATGGTCCCGATCACGGAAATCAGATAAAAGCCAAGGGCTCGCCGCTGATGATCCAAGGCTTCAGGAGTAATCCAAAGGACCCAGAGAGTCACATTCTGTTCTTCGACATAGAAGCGTTGATAGGTACGCAGAGAAAAAGATCATTCTACTGTGCTAAAAAATTAATAAAAAGAAAACTTGTTATAGAATTCGTATATTGTGTACATGATAATGTAAAAACGTATGCGATTCTTTCCTCTGTCACAGTACAATTACTCAGTGACGAGTACGGTGCCATGTCGCCCGGTTCTCTGGAAGCGCAAGGCTTGATTTCCGCCGCCGAGTATCAGAAAGTTGCGGCGCTCACTCAGTCCGCTAGTCCTGATGCTCACAAAAAGATTGTCGGTAAGAATTGTCTTTGGATATAATTTAATTATGATGAAATATGCTGTATAAAGAGAAAGAAAGTCCAATATATATACACGTGCATTTTGTAATCAGATCTTTCGCAATTCTACTTGCTTAAGAACCAAGATTGCAGGTATCTTCATTAATGTGTCCCTTTGTAGACTTTTTTGGTCGTGTCAAGGATAAAGCGGGCGATGTTGAGCGAATATTGAAGGAGAAGGATCGTCACGGTACCGTGCTTTGTTATTGTTATTTGTTCTGCAAATCACGCTGCATACCCGTCGATTTTATCTCACGCACGTCGAGAATGCCTTAAATCTTTAAAATCCCCATAAAATAACATTTGAGATAGAAGGTATAGTTTCTCATTTCTTCGTCTACGACACGCGATATAAGTTTTTCGAAGAGATTTCATTATTCTCGTAATCTTCTTCTTTCCTAGGATTCCTCGAAAATACTTGGTCGACGATTCGCTTTCCTCTCCGTTGACTGACATTTACAACTCGATATCGAGCTTATTTTTCATAAATCTTTTGATTTATGCGATTGTCACAATCGGAGTACAGATTTTTTAACGTCCGTTTTATATTTTATCCGCAAAAAGCGATTCCACGCACGAGGCTCGAGTTACGGTATCACGTCGGCTGTTACGTTTTCAGTGTGTTATCAGCTTTCTTTATTGCGTGTGTTTTCTGGAATTATATATATTCGAACTTTATGCTAATACCGTAATTCACTTTGAATTTTTATTCCATTTATACTCACATCTTTGAATTTTTATACATTTTCTAAGTTCTTTAATCCATCGTTTCTTAATCACAAAATCCTCATAGATATCAATTTTTTAATCCATTTCGGTCAACAGCTTCAAACGCAAGAGTTCCCATCTTTTTGTTCCTAATAGGTTGCAGTAATATTAACGTTCCTTTGTAGATGTCCTCGGTTCATGTATTCATCCAGTAGACGTTTTGTTGCGACTGTCCTTCTCGAGATTATCACTCTATCTAAAAGCGTAAATCTCTTTCTACATAGGTATATTGGCTAAGATGAAGGAGGGTGCGGAGAATGTGCACACTAAGTTACAGGCCAAAGCGGAAAGCGTCGGCCTCAAGCCGTCAACGTTTGACGGCAAAGGTTAGACATTTTGAAAACGAAAAGTTTCTGTAGTTCCCACACGACGATACTTCGCATGGACGTACTTTCCACTTCAGAATGCCGTTACGCTTTATGATTTTTCTGTGTCGATAGATAGAAATTGCGACTAGTTTCTTCAATGCACCTCGCTATTTTTCAGCAGTTTTCTTCACTATATTTGTCTAGATTATTCTATTCTTAACACTTCCATTAGGATCTCCATGCAAGAGTCACCAAGCAGAAAGGTAGACATCACTGTCGCCGAAGTCACTTTAATTTTGATTTGAATATGCACGCTTGAGAGCTTTCCAACAATATTTTATGTACTCGTCTTCACAGAATTATCACCGCTTGTCTTTGATTTTGTGACACTTGTGTACAACGTTTCCGTTCAAGGATCAAAGGTTATTGTGTGTGCGTGTATGTTTTACAGTCGCACTACTTTGATGTCGCCGAACACTTCCCGGGAATTTTCTTTAGTTGACTTTCTCACCAATATGTTCTGTGTACTTATTGTATTTTGTTGTTGAAGTTGCTCTCCAGTCGTGTTGCACCATAGTTGTCTTCACCGTTCCGGTCAAAGCATCAAGCACGTTGCAATATTAATATCGCTTTGACGCTTTGCAGGTGAAAATTGGAACAACAACGACGTGACGAAGAACAACTTGAAGCGGAATGGCGCGTTCAGCGAGCCCAACGCAACGATGGAAGTAGCCCAATTGCTGTTGAGCCTTTTGCACGCCTGGGGCATGGATCCAGATTTGGATCGGGTCTGCGAGGGAAAGCTGGGTTTGCTGCGGCCTATGGTTCCTGTATCGTTCGGCGTGTTGTCTAAGGGAGGTATGCTCCAACAAAACAGTAATATATATTTCTGTGCGTGAAACGATCATTTGGAAGAAACCGTTTGATGTTATGTATCGCCGCGATCAGAAAAAAATTAGAAAATTAATTTCTGATATGAAGCAATCTTCGTGTTCGAAACAGAATAACACTTAAAATTTGTTATTTCCTGATGCAAGATATAATATTTAGAAGAGACCGTGTATTACAGGTTACATGTCGTTGTTACTACCAACTTGGCAGACACAGCTCGAGCCGGTCGGCGAGCCCGCAACGCAGTTGGAGCAGCGCTTACCAGCTGAACTGGTCAGACAAGAGAGGCTCACTAGAGCATTCACTGCGAGAGCGCATTGGGAATTATCGACAACTTTAACGAGCAATCATTTATTGGCCGTGGTCGCTTTGGCAAACACTTTAATGTCGATGAACAACGCGACGTTTGTACCTGAACAAGAGCGAAATCGTAAGATGCACAGGTGAGTTTGTAATAAAATAAGAACGCAATTGAAATAGATATTCTGAGGCACACAATATGATGAATTTATCTAGTCTATACTTATTTACATCCTATTGAATGCGATTCATTATATATTTCGTGATGGTATGAAACTAAGTTAATGTCAAATGTAAAAGTGGATACACACCAAGAGTGAACAAAATTGAGAGATGAGAAGTAAATATCTTGTAAATAGGCCGGGAAATAGAGGTGCAGTGAACTGGAATAAAACGGAAGAGGAAAATGAGGAGATCTACACGGTGCAACAGGCACAAATCAAGCAGGGTTGGTCCCTTCTCGCAACGTTGCATTGTGTATTGTTACCCGATAAGGTCGCGACGCAAGGTGGCGCGAAGACTTTCAAGCGACCGCAAGTAGAGATGATGGCACGAAGATGGCAACATCAGTGTGTGGAGGTACGTTATTGAGATGAGACATTTGAGACAAATCTTCTTCTCACATCTATATATCATATTGCGACATTTTTATCACAGATTCGGGATTTAGTTTGGCAAGTCATTGAAAATTGCAAGTATTACACAGGTATTATTAACTTCGTTCTTAGTGATGATTTCTTGATGATGCATTCTTAGATTCGAGAAGCAGCGCAAGCTTTGCTGCTCGCCGAACTTGGCAGGATGGGACCAAAGGGTCGTAAAGCGCTTGTCGACAGTTGGTCGCAATATTTGCCAATGTACAGCACTCAAGAACCTATCGCGCCACAACCGCAGAGCCAGAACTCGCCGGCGCCCGGAAGCCCAGTGCCGCCGTCCGAATCGCAACCGGAGGAAGAAGATGAAGAGGAGGAATTAGCGGAAGGTGAGCTATCTCCAGTAATAAAACTGAATGCTAACCTGCATGTATATTTTTAACAAGTGCAAACTAGATCTGCAATTATATTTTTGTATTTCTAATTTTAATCAACGAGTCTCGCAATTTCTCACGACCTGACGAAATCACTCCGAATTAAGTACTACTACTTCATAATGCGTTTTCCTCAGCAGAAATGAGTATAGCCAGGAAACCGTCGAGCGTAGCGGAATTGAAACGAAAGCAAACCACAGCGGTGGTGCTGTTGGGCGTGATAGGAGCCGAATTTGGTCAGGATGTAACCACGGTGAATCAGAGAAGAGACAACGAGCAAAGACGGAAGAGCTCGATCGTAGAGGGCTTCGGTATAGGAAATAACAATCTCGCTAGGCACACCAGCATGGCGCTCACTCATCTCTTGCACGCGCCTCATTCTCCGAAGTTGCCAATGCACACTGCGCTACGAAGGGCTGCCATCGATCTCATTGGTAGGGGATTCACCGTGTGGGAACCTTATCTCGACGTGTCGAAGGTAAGAGATAATTCAAGATAACTCATGGAAATATCAATTTTTTTTAATTTTAAATTTAAATTTGCAACGTTCAACTGCACCATTTTTATGATTATTGCCACAGGTTTTACTGGGCCTATTGGAAATGTGTTGCGACGCGGATAAGTTAGTGCCGAGCCTGACGTACGGCCTTCCTCTCACACCGCAAGCCGACACTTGTCGCACAGCTCGTCACGCTTTGACCTTGATCGCCACCGCTAGACCAGCCGCCTTCATCACCACGATGGCCCGCGAGGTCGCGAGATTCAATACTCTTCAACAGAACGCTCAGACGTTGAACGTAAATTTAGGCGCGAGCGTATTGACCAGGGCGAAGCCAGAGATTCTCAGGATCGTGGAACAGTTGATCGACAAGATGCAAAGCGAGATGAGCGATCTTCTTGTGGAGGTACTAGCGGAATTTCACTTTCGCTATAATATAAACTCTCACCACGTGAACTTTGCGCGTGTATAAGTGAAATGATACGTTTTAATTCGTATCGTGCGGCTAAGTAATGATTGCTCGTTCTGTCTGCAGGTCATGGACATCATTCTGCATTGTTTGGATCCAGGCCACCTGAAGATGAAGCCTCTAAACGAAGTATTCCCGGCAGTGTGCAGATTCAATCAGGTAAACCAATCACGACATTCAGATCTAAGTTATGAGATCTTCATATCTTATATCAATCTCAATCTTGGTAATAGATATTTTTAATTCGGGCGAGTCTCAAGCCATGTAACGATCCTCGAACGTTGCAAAGTTCTGTTGCATTTTCATACTTACAGAGACGTTTGCGATTTAGTTCTTCTTTCACTTGTAGGTCAGTCACTGTCCGGCTACACGCAGGATAGCAGTTGGTAGTCGCAGCGGTCAGTTAGCATTGTATGAGTTAAGAGGCAACGTGAAATGTCAGACCGTCTCGGCTCATTCGGCACCGGTTACCGCGTTAGCGTTCTCACCGGAGGGAAAGTTCCTCGTCAGTTACTCTTGTTCCGAGAACAAGCTCTGTTTCTGGCAGGTGAGGGATTTTGCTTCTCCGCAGAATATGTTCGATATACTTGCTCTTGTCGCCAGCGCTTAACTTTCCTTGTCCTCTCGATTTGCCAGCAAACCAGCAGCGGCATGTTCGGCTTGGGTAACTCGCAGACGCGTTGCGTCAAGTCGTACAGCACAGCGCCTATCAACGATGTGGCACGATTGAATCCTATGCGCTTGGCACGGTTGATATGGATCAACAATCGCACAGTCACCCTGATGCTCGCGGACGGCTCGGAGACGCGTTTCAACGTCTGAACGCGATCGCGCAAGTTTGGCCGACACTCGCCGAAGTTCGTTCGGCGAGTGACGCGAGCAGCTTGCTCGCCGTCTTCGGCGCTGGCGCGCATTGCGCCAAACCTGGTTTACACAGTGTCTCCTTGTCGGCAGATTTTTTACGAGAGTATTAAGCATAATCAACGCAACGATACTAGCGACGCAATGTTTTTCTATGTAGCTTGATAGCACCCGAAACACTATAGAGCCGCTAACGAGTCGTTAACGGATTTTTTCAGAAGAATGTTAATGAGCAGAGGGGAAGGAGCGATTCTCCATGTGCGTGTGTGTCAAGCTTGAGGAAGCACGTATACAGCAGAAATTTAGCAGCGATTGTAATTGTATCCAGTTAGCGGGAGAGCAGCACCGTGTAATCCAGGCGTCGGCGCTGACCGCAGTTACGAAATGTTTCCTCTGTTTATTAGCATTGTTGGAAATGCAAGATTTAGAAGATCACAGCTGCTGAGCAAAGTTATGTCGGCGCGACTCTAGCCAAAGTATAATTCAGCCGAGAGAGCGCCGTCGCCGATATTCCGGCGCGTTCGTTGGTTATTTAATTGATAATGTTAGTATTGAATAATCCGAACAACTACGCTATGTTTCACCGTGAGCACTATGTTGCCGTCACATACGACCGGTTACCGGACGCTGGGTCCGGTGTTCGACACGGCTGGAACGTACATGGACCATCGGCAGTAATTTCGCACGGATCAGCCAAGCTTTCAGAGGGGCCGCGCGACACGAATTTGTTCCTTCCAATCCCCCGGAAGCCGTGGCGCTGGTTAGACGTATACAGTTCGTTGCATATTGTCGCGAGGAAGTTTTAGTCTTATTAACGATCGAATATTTTGTCATACACTTAGATACTCGGTAGGGGTAGGGGAGAAGTTGCAATCCAGTATCGTTTTATTCGAAGTCACGGAGGGACACACATTCTACTTGTACCTTTATTCTGTAAATATTGCTCGTGAAACGGCGACCAGCGGCTTCCGGGGGATTGAACTCACACGCGTCTCTTCGTCGCCTCCCTTCGTTACTTGGTTTCCTCTCGGTGGGTCTCCTCGAGTCTCACACGGGTTCTTCGGTCCGCGAGACTTTCGCCGCGTGTCTCTCGCTACGCTTACCGAGCAAAGCACTCATTAGCCAGATATTGAGAAGTCTACGTTGTCCCGATCGCGCATTTCTTGATTTTAGTAAGTAGCGAATGTGCATAAGGAAGAGACAGTTGAAGGAGGAGAGTATAGTTAAGAGCGCCAGCGACGGAAGCGCTTGTCCGCGGTCGTCGCCTTGCCGCTCCGCTGTCAGGTCTAACACTTGTCACGCTAATTTGACGATATTCCACGATTGACTAACCGACACTAGTATTTATTTCATCACCGTAGGATATGGAGTGAGGAACGAGTGCGCTCACGCTCTTCGAAGATGCGCCATATTAGCCATATTAGCCAAATTCTCATTGCTCGTCTAGACGGCGGCAGGCAAAAGTCGCTCGATCCTCCGTCAAATTTTGTCTGAACAGAGATAAGATTCACGGAGTCTAGACAGATAATGCCCCGCCGTCTAGACGGATGATGATGAGAACCCGGTCCAATTCGAAGAGTCGCATCGCCTCACCGCTCTTCTGTCGTTCTCTCTCTCTCCCCTCTCTCTCTCTCTCTCTCTCTCTCTCTCTCTCTCTCTCTCTCTCTCTCTCTCTCTCTCTCTCTCTCTCTCTCTCTCTCTCTCTCTCTCTCTCTCTCTCTCTCTCTCTCTCTCTCTTCTCTCTCTCTCTCTCTCTCTCTCTCTCTCTCTCTCTCTTTTTCTTTCTTTCCTTATCGAAGGTTTTTCTTCGTTTGACAGAGCGACAGAGTATCGCGTACATAGGATATACGACGTAGGATAATTTATATAATTGTTATTGTGTCCCATGCGCGCGGATTCAGTCTATATCAGGCCACACAGTATAGCCGGGTGTGCCGCAAATCGCGCGCGCGCGCGCGCGGTTCCTCTTTTCGTTCACAGTCGATTACAGTGGCCGTGAAAAATGGCGTTCAAGTGTAAGCATATTATTTATTACGATTCTATAGTTTAATTCTCTCATCCCGAAGGCGCGCGACTTACGGTACACCCTGTTCGTCCCAGCGGTCGATGAAGGATAACGATCCCCTTGCCGAAGTTCGAGCGATGCCCTCCGCTGACCTTGACGATTCGAAAATCGGCGCAAGGGTGTTCCCGATCGGTCGTTCGGGCTTTCTTTCGCGGCAGTATTAGCGAGAGGAACCGCAGGAACGTGTGGATAGCTTTAAACTGTGTTTCGTGTTTGTAGGACGGCGTAGGATTGCGCCAGCGGGCTCTACCAGACTTTTTCTATATTATTCAAGTCAAGTTGTCTTTATTGAAATTATATCGAAGTTACGATTTATGTGGATTGTCTTATCTGTGCTGGCTGTCTAGAGCCAACCAGCTAGGTCGATCCTGGATTCTGTTAGTAGTTTAATGCACATGTTGTAATTCCACACAGCAGACATCTCACGCTACTCCGTGAGATATTTCCCGATTGACTTTGCACGTATCATTGTTAAATTTATTGTTAGATATCTCAGTAACTAGATTTACTAGTATAGAGATCGATTTGATCTAACATTAGCGTGGTTTGCGAGATACACTCTGTTTGTTGTGAAAATTAGTTCTAGTTAAAGAGATTGTTGTTGCTTCAACAATTCTGTTAAAGAGAAATTAACTTTAGATTGAATTGCATTGAGCACTAACATCGTCCATCTAAGCGCTTTAAAGCCAATGAGCTTTCGGATCTGACTGGTTTGTAGTGTTAGACTTCGACCAAATCTGAAAGTATGCATTAACAAAATCCAGCCAAGAGCTAGTAGCATTGAATGCATGTGTTGTGTTATGAAAAGATAGGGATTCGTTTATCGATACAATTTGTTTTCGTAATTCGAAATCTTCTTTTCTGTCCCATAGTACCAAGTCATCATTCATTTATCGTCAGTCTGCTGGCGCAATCTTATTTAATCTTATGATATATGTAATATTACAAAGCCGGCCACGTCGCGCAGGCGTGTCTGTGATCGGCACTTATGCGTATAAATCACTTTTCCAAATATCTGTTGCGCTTGAAGGGGAGCGGTTTGACCCTTTGAATAAAACCTATATTTCTTCTTCTTCTCGCCAAATCTCATTTCCCATTGAAAATTGAAAACTGATGAGGAATAAAGATGAAGAATCATTATCAACCCGATCGACGTTCACTGTTTGGTTTTCTTTTCTTTTCTTTTCTCTTTCTCTTTCACACAATTGGGGCCGGCTGGGGTAATCGGCGAATCGCACCGAAGACGATAGACGAAGCAAACTTGGGAACGTCGGTTTGAAGGGTTGATCGAGACCAGATGTAAACGCGCTAACGCAACTTGAATCGCAGCCGACGCGTTGAGCAAATGAACATGTACTCGACTCGTCGTTGCTATCGTGTACATAATACCGAACTGCGTCTAATTGTATCTATGTAATTATTTATGTGTACATTATACTTGATTGCGCGTTACGCACTACCGTTCCATCGGCCGAATAAAGCGAGCGGCGGAGTATTATTATGCACGGGTGGAGCGCAATCGTTCACCTGTCCCGTTTCGCTTGTAATTGTCGACGAATGTAATAAAAGCAAAAACTCTGAGCTCCTTGTCGATTTGTTGAATGTAGGTGACAATCTGTTTTGTTTCCTCGTAAATCTATCATCTTGAACGACTGAGAGATATCCGATAAGCACGTTATTCTATACATACATGTATCGTATTGTATTAATGAGATATATATTGCTGTTATTAATATTAATGAATTAAAATATTAATAGAGTACTTTGTAATTAAGTCAATTAGATCTTTTTAAATGTGCCCTTTCTATGAAAAAGAAAAACGCGTTAAAAAAATTATCATTAATTAGTAAATTAATAATATATTAACAATATAACATCTCTGTAGTAGACAGTAAAACGTTCTGAATATGTTCAAAATAACTCTGTGAAACGTTCGATACTATACCTGCGTCATTAATAATACATTAGTAATATCACGCATAAGAGTTATTCATGAAGAAATCTTCATTCTAAATATCATTTTATTTGCTTTATCCTTCTAAACGTGGCGCATCCTAAAAGATAGTAATTGGAAGAAAGAAATTTTTCATAACGATTAAGACTCAACAATCGATAGTTTCAAATTCGATTCGATATTTTTATTACCTCAGGATAATTGTTTGTTTGTTAGAAATAAATTTATTAAACGTGCATATAAATAGGTTAGTAATATTATTAAAACACAGTAATATAATGATGATGAGGTGACGATAATATTTCAGAAAAATCAAATGATTTTAATGATATAAGTACAAGAAATGATTGAATAATTTTGTTGAATTGATCACATAGTGGTCAATTCCGTGATCAATATTCTTCGAGAATTTCTCATCATCTCCTATAACCTACTCTAACCTTTGGGTCTGTTTTTTATAGCTACACTACTGAACTGGTGCAATAAGTTAAAATGAGACAACTATATTTTTTTCGCTCTAACTTATTGCACTAGTTCAGCAGTGCAGCTATAAAGAACAGACCCTTTGTCTAACCTCACTCTTGAAGGAGACATAGACGGAATTGTTGGCGCGCAGCGCGCACGTTGTTGCATGTTTAGAACGTGGTCTGGAAGTAGCTCTGTTGTACGATATTCACTATAATTTTGTAATTCTTACTAAAGCTTATACCGATTCATCGGCAAGAAGTAAGTTAAATATCATTTGTTTGACATATGCAAAAATATTCCATACACGAAAGAGAACATATTTAATTTAATTCTTACTTTAATTCTTACACCCACATGACTAACCTCATTTCATTAAAATTCTTAAAACTTGTAATTTATATATATGTGTGTGTATAATCATAGTTTTTATAAAAGTTTTAAAAAGTTTTTGTGAAAAACTTTACATTTTTAATGAAAATTAAAAGTTTGTAAACAATTATTTATATTTGTATTTTCAGGATTTAAGTACGTGTCGATTCACGTACTAGCTATTGGTGGTCTCATTCCTTTATTTTTTGAAATATTTGTTTTAAAATGAAAACTAAACAGGAAGGTAAGAAAGGGAAAAAACGATCTTCTAAGGAGACTTCTCTTCCTGCAAGACTAGACCGAAAGTCTAAAAATATAGTTAAAATCAAGAATAAAAAGGATAAAATTGACAATACTGTTCAAAATGGGGACTCTATGCTTAAAACTAAAAAGAAAACTAAAACTATAAAGAAAGCTCTTAAGAAGATAAATAAGCAAAAGAAGAAGGAGAAGGAAATAGAAGAACAAAATAATGGAAGTATTGAAAAATTATCGAAAGCAAAAATAAAGACAAATATAAATGAAGAAATTAAATCAATTCCTATTGAATCGAAAAAGGAAACTCTTATTACAGCAACGGAAAAGAAATTACACCAATTAAAGAATAAACAATTAAATCGTGAGATGAAGAAGGCTTCTGTATCTTCATCTCCAACTAATACAGTTAAATCTAACAAAGCACTTCGACGTCAACGACGAACAAAATTTAATCATCTTAATATGGAACAAATGAAAAAAAAACTAGCTGAAATCAGGAGCAGAGAAGTATTAACAAAGACAGCAAAAAAGAGAATCTCTGTATTGCTTAGAAAGATTACAGTGTTGGAATCAGAGAAAAAACCTAAGAAATCAGACATAGTAAAGGAAGAAAAGACTAAGGATCAAGCCTATGTGTTTGTAAAGAATGAAGAAAAAGATAACATCATGGATAAAAGAAAAGCAAAAGGAGAGCGTGGCAAGAATAAAAAAGCTAAAATCAAGACAGAACAGAATAATCAAAATGACAAAGATAATAACGATGAAGATCAAAGTGATACAGAAAAGGAAGAAGAAGAAAAAGGAGAAGCTATGGATATTGCAAAAAAAGGTGTTGATATTGAAGATGTCGAGGATGAAGAGGACAATGAAGACCAAGAAGATGATGAAGAAACAGCCGTAGTGAAAGTTAAAAAAGAAAAGAAGAATATAGTCACACAAAGCGGTAAATCCTCGGATGCTCCAGAAAAGAAAGGAACGAAAAAAAAACGATATGTTCTTTTCGTCGGAAATTTGCCACAGAGGTAAGAATATTCATATTTTTATCTCTGTTTTTTTTTTTATTTTTAACAATATTCGATAATTTTCAGTATAACAGCAGATGAACTGAAGCAACACTTCTTGACCAAGGTTAAAACAGTGACCAGTGTCAGGATTCAAACTGATCCGGCTACGAAAGCATCACGTGGCTTTGCATATGTGGAGATGTCAGACAGAATAGATTACGAGGTAAGCAATATTATTCCCTTTATCATTTTATTTTTTATATTTTCTTCAAACCATGTTATTACATCAATACAACTTGATTTCATACTTTCAACAGAAAGCACTTGCGCTAAACCATACATTCCTGAAGAAGAAAAGAATAAATGTGCAATATACAGCGCCTAAAACTGCGAATAAGGCGAACATTGTTGCTAAAAATAAGAAACTGGAAGCTCTTCGCAAAGTTGGCAAGTTGGCCAATGTTAAGGGAAAGAAAAAATCTTCGAAAAAGGGAAAAGAGAAAATCATGAAATCAGAAATATAACGCAATCAATAGGACTAAAAAGTAAGCACACAGTTTCCGAAGTTGTATGGAAAAATTAATATCTTTAACATTACACAAATGTCACGTCAGAAGAATGGTTTAAAGCCTGTGTCACACTACGGACTGAAGATCAAGGATTGCGGATTGAAGATTGAAATTTGACTAATCGGAATAAAGTAAATCAAAACCGAAGTTCATCGATTTGTCGAAATCTAATCTTCAATCCGCAATCCTTGATCTTCAATCCGTAGTGTGACACGGGCTTTAGACATATTAAGATCTTACATTATGACAAATAGGACTGTTTTATGTGAAGAAAATACTTTACTGATTGTTTACTTTTTGTTTAGCAGATTCATATCGTTCAGTATGTTCATATTAATAGATCGCTATATTTTACTACACATCAGCTATATATTTGTGACTACTTCCTCAGTAATGAGAACTTTTTTCTCACATAAATATTTTAATAAATTACATATGCAAATATTATCAATATATTATACTATACATCAGCTATATATTTGTGACTACTTCCTCAGTAATGAGAACTTTTTTCTCACATAAATATTTTAATAAATTACATATGCAAATATAGCACCATGATTTTATTCAAACATATTAGATTTGCGCTTTCTCAACTGACTGGTAAATATGTCGTGTAAATGTTGCATTTTTGGCCATCAGTACGATCCTTCAAATATGTATACATATATGTGTGTGTGTGTGTGTATGTGCTCCACACTGTTGTATTCGTAAAACAAACGAACGCGCACATTTGTACTCCTATTCAGCGTGAACTCGTGACATTTGTCGTTGCAAGAAAATACGCTTCTTGAATGGAACGGGTCCTCATTTCTGACTTTCGTACTATTCTCTCTTTGTGACATCAGCAATGCAGAATTCTGTGTAAAAAGCGAACTCTTAGCAGAACTTTATGCAAATTAATTTGCGAATACTTATAAACGAGAATGCGATGTATTCCACGACTTATTTGAGATTGCTGCCACTTCGCAAGATTAGATCGCAATTTATTTGTTGAATATTTAGTACAAGAATGGAAGACAGTACGTGCGAACTAGAGACGAATGGTGCTCATGATGATATACCAGAGACTAAATTTGTAGAGGTATATATTTGTGTATATTCTTAAGTACATTGTCTTTAGTACGTTACTGAAGGTTAATTTAAAATCCCGAATCATATAACCCCTTGAATGTGTATGTACACGTATCGTAAATATTTCATCATGTTTCCCGATCGTAAACTAAACCATCGTTTGTATTGTATAAGTAATCCAATTGCTCGTAAATCTTCATACGTGCGACTTTCTCATAGGAAGAATATTCCGAACGTATCATATACCCGGAAGAGCTAAATAAATTCTTGCAAAATCGTATTTGTGTAAGTATAATTCTAACGTAGACATATGTGTATAACTGAGGAATAAAGATATTATTTAAAGTGAAAATGTGATCTGTTGAGTTTTTTCAGCTTATTTACAACTTCCCATTTCTTTTATTAAATTCCTTGTAAATAAATATTGAAAAGAGAGGCCTATGTCCTATGTTCTAAGGCCTATGTCCTTATAGGTGTGGTAGACAATATTTTTATTTCGTTTATACATCAGTCCTCCTAATATAATAATTAGCTTACCGCCATGGCCATACATAATATTTATGTAACAGGATTTAACGGCGGAAAATGAGTGTTTACGAGGCGCATTTGAGCAAGCGGAGGAGAAGATGCGACAATTGTCGCAAGAGAAATTAAATTCGCGAAATACGGTAACGGCGAGGAAAAAATCGACCGCGTCAATTGAGCTTAGCAAAAAATATAGGAACCAAAGCGCCGAGATAGAGGTGTTGAAGACGAAATGTAAAAATCTGGAAGCTACTTTGGCGGTCAAAGAAGATGAGTTAAAGCGACAAAGGGTGGAATTACGGCGAGTTAAGTCCGAAACGTACAAAAATTCCAGCGGTGGTTAGTTTCCAGATTGTTTCTCCATTTTACGAATATAATGAGACAAGCTGCACGTCTGTCTTTGTTGTAGACGTATTAATGTTGTCGTTCGATTAGATTCATTTAGAAAACAACTCTAAAGAAAAAAGATTTGGTGTTATGAGACGTCTAGCAATAAAGATGAACTATGTCGGTCTTTCTTTCCCAGTACTCGATAATTTAAGTATTCGCTTATTAAGAATTTCTCACTCACTTTTTACAACAGTATAACAGATTTGTAATATTCGTTTTACATATTTCATGTTAATTGTAATTTCGAAGAGAATGCAACTCTGGATAATGGAGAAGACAAAGACTCGGGGGATATTTCGGGTAAATGTGACGACGAACGGGTCAAGTGTCGGAAGAGCAAGCTGCAATGGACTCAAACTAAACTTTGCGAGTCGAGGAATATGTGTGCCACTCTTCGGCAAGAGATTAAGAAAATGCAGAAGGTATTTGTGTTCTTGTCGCTGTGTAAAAACTCGTGAAAATATGTACTCGATAGGTCGGACAAAACTATAATCGAAGACTCTCTCTGGAGAAACTCTTACCTCTTATTTTTTTAATCTAAATCCTCTTCTACGTTTAACGGACGATAGACTAAGAATACAAGTATCAGTTATTGTGCAGCGAGGTGGGCGAAAACGTGAGTGTCACCGCGCTTTCGAGCGTGCCGGGTGGTTGGCGCGGACGAGCCGAGCAAATCCGAAATTTGCAGCAGAAAGTGTCGGAATTGCAGGCGAAATTATCGGAACACGACAAATGCCAGAGAGATTCTTCCGGTAGGCCGAAAAATGACAGCATCCCATCTGTGTGTTTACCTGAATGATTCTTCGTAAATGTCATTTATATCGTGCAAATTATTTCTTGTTATTATTTTGTATCAAATTTATCTCCACGCAAGTCCGGCTAATTATTCGCGATACTCATTGTATGCACACATTCGCATTTATACACGTCTTCTGCAAGATAATTGTCGTAATTTATTTATTTTATCGCAACAAAATCACTTAGCACCCCTCGATCGACAAAATCTGGCTAATCTTCGTATTGCCGAGAAGGAGAGACGGCAACAGATCGAGAATACGGCGAAGGAACTCAGACAAGCGGAAGTAGCACTGGAGACCTCGAAGAGGAAGCTCGACGCTTCTAAGGCGAGAATAAGAGTGTTGGAGCACGAGTTGAATGTCGCGAGGGGAAATATCGCAATACTGAATGAGAAACGATCTCACGATGATCGTCTTATCGAAGTGTTGAACGTTAGTAAATATCTACAAAAATCTACAAAAAAAATCTTGCATGTATGCGTATATTTGTTTGTTAAGAACAAATGCGATTTAAAATACTATATTTATCGTATAGATTATTAATTCCATTGACACATTTGGATGAAAAACTGAAACAGCTTGAGGAAATTGACAAAAAATCGAGAGAGAGAGAGAGAGAGAGAGAGAGAGAGAGAGAGAGAGAGAGAGAGAGAGAGAGAGAGAACCTTGACAACATTTTATACTGTATTAATTATAGCGATACTATATATATTCTTTTTGCACACATTACATATTTTGACGATATCGTGACGTCAGTTGCGAAACGAGAAGTGTTGATGCAGTCGAGCGAATAAAGGATGTATTGCGGACACGTGCCTATTCGATATCGCAAAAAATGTGTCTACAAATGGCACGTAGTATATTGTGGACTTTCCGACCTCGATCCATTGAAATGGTGTCGCGTTTCTAGGGGCGACTGAAGATCGCCGAGGCGAGGCATCACGAGTACGAGGTGGAGGTGCAGAACAAGGAACACAAGATCGAACGTGAGAACGCGAATATCAAGAATGAACTGCGAGCTACGCAATTGCACGTCGATCGATTACGCAGGAGGCTGGAGGAACGCGAAACCGAAATCGACAAGCTAAGGTTTGTGCGAGCAATATTCGTAATTGTGTCGCAGAATTTATTTTAGTGGCGTCCACAGAGTTGTGTCGCACGTGGAAAATGAAGGTGGGTAAAAGCTTATTATCCGAAGACAACAATGAGATTAAATCTGTCCGATAAACAAATAAGTATTTTAGGTATTCGTTTTTAACAAACAAGTACACACGCATTTACTGTACAATTTTAGAAACAACATTGCGTCAGATGAATCTTTCAAGTATCGAGACTCCCTCTGTTCAGACTCCCGGCAGCCCGAAGGACGTCAGGTTAGCCCACCTGTTAGTCCACGATACTTGGGTGAACCCAATGAATATGTGACCTTAGCTTTAGCCGCCGAAGCCGAACGCGTGAGATTATTGGAATTGGTAACTTTGCTCAACCAACGCCTGGACAAGGAGAGAAACGAGACGCTTTCCCTCGAGGTAAGCAATAACTTCAGCATTGTGTTTGCTGAGAAATCTCAGAACGGTTGGTTCGACCAAGAGATTCGTCTAGGCGAAAATTGCGGAAGTGCGACAAATCAATCTAGTAAATTAATACATTGATTTAACAGCACAATAAATCATACTACTAATTACATACTAACTAATTTGTTGGCTTTATGATGAATAACTGAAAATTCGGGTGAGAGAGAGAGAGAGAGAGAGAGAGAGAGAGAGAGAGAGAGAGAAAGAGAGAGAGAGAGTAAATACGATCGTTTGACTGATATTAAACTCGCGTATAAAATGATTCGAAATTGCATAAAAGAAGAAAACAAAAAAATTGAGGATTCTTATTCTTCGGAACTATTGTCCTGGTTATCCCTTTGAAGGAATCTTTGCGTAAAGAAAAAAGGAAATGTGCGAAGTTGGAGTCAAAGTTGCGTGACTCGGAGAAGGAAAGGGTGGGACTCGTCAAGGTGGACACCGGTTACAAAGCGAGATCCCGTGCCAAGTTCACGTCGAGTCTACAAGTGGACGAAGAGTTCAGCAACCCCGAGAAAGTGCGCTTCAGGTAAGTTACGTGAGACCCAACGAAAGATTTTCCAAATCCTGGCGTCACACTGACACAGTTCTCCGCGGTGGAGGACGATTCCGCGCGTTTGACGTTTAGATTCTCGCAGATTGAATCGTAACGTCAAGCTCCCTCGCATGAATCTTCAGTGAATCTTGTTTCTTTCAAATGTGGAATGTCACTCGTGGGAAAACTCTCGTCGTTGCTTGCTCGCTCTTTTCCAGGCGTTTTATCGTTATCTTTGATTACGTTTTGACGTAGAATCGAATTGCTCGAAGAGGAGTGTCTCGCGCTTAAGGCCAGATTAGATACAGTACAGCAGGACAAAGCCAACGATCTCGCCGTGTACAAACGAATGCTCGATCAGGCCAGGAAGGCTTTCAAAGATGCGTGCAGGTAGGTCTGAGCCCTAAACCTCTCGCGAGGCGTGCGCGAGCGAAATTGAAATTCTCTTCAGGAACCGTGCAGGTGTCGAGATATGCACGTATGCCTTTACAATTACAAAGGACAATTGGCTAATCTTACGCGATGCTACTTTCCAACACGGCCTTCTAGAAATAGACTCCTCGTGCAAGAAACACGAACGACCGATTGTCTATTTTTGCGTGCTCGCAGTAGCAGCGGCCGATGTCGCTCCTCGAGAAACGTGCAGTTTAGTTTAAAAGTAGACTCCTGTCAAAATTCAGTCCTTTGCGCACATGATGGACGTCGCAATTGTTGCGGATTATTCGGATTTTCTAGAGTCTCAGATTTCTTCATCGGTCCCCTCAGGATCAAACGTCGTTGTTTGAGAAATGACGCCTGCGAGTCTGGATGTTTAACGTCGATCTCGAGAAGCCCAGCGATCGTTTCTCATTGTCTGCTCATACATGAATTAATTGTCTCTACCTAGAAATAAATCGTCAGCAGCCGGTGGGAGTCGTTCGACGATAACTATTTGACAACGAGAAGGGGCAAGAGGATGAAACCGGCGGCGGAGGTCTTCGGGAAGGAAAACCGACGTGCTTAATCGAATCGTGTGGCCGCGTTGGAGAAACAGCGAGCCAATTCTAAGGACATTCGGCGAGGAGTTCGTTAATCGAGCAGACGAGCGCCGTTTTCGACGGCGCGAAAGAAAACGGGGCCAGTCGCAGTCTCGCGATCGGAGTGGATGTAGCAGCAACAAAGCCGCGGCGTGATGATGTAACTAGGACACGAGAGATAAGGTGCAACGCCTCCACGTAAACCCGCGTGACACCGTCGGAGCGAAACTCGTCGTTTCGTTTCCACCATGCGTCGCGTCTCCGTCGTTGTCGTTCTCTTAACACCCCGTCGATGTTTGCTCGGCCAACTCTGTCGTTTGCTCTCGCCATTGATATCGCACTGGCGGCATCGCGGCCGTAAATTCATCCTGTTTCTTCTCTACGTTTCCTGATGTTACCAGCGAGAAGCTAGCAACACGCGACATATTCTCTCAAGCGCGCCGCGTTCGGATCTACTTATGAGAAGTTCGAAAGATCCGGACGATTGGTGGATTCGTGATGCCGTGAATTAAGATGCGTTAATTTTTTTCCTTTTCCTTTTTTTTTTTTTTAGTAGAATAGAGCGTAATTTCATGTGTCGTTATGTGCATTGTATTTGCAGAGTAAAGCAAATTTCTGGCTCGTGGTGGCTTTTCTATACGAGATACGAGTGAGAAGAATTTTGTGATAACTTGTAGTGGCACAAAAATAATGGTATACTTTTGATCTGTACGCTCGTATTTCAGTTCTTGCTTCTCCAAATTGATGAAATATTTAATTTGTGTCTTCTCGATTTACACGACTGTACAATGTCTGCGTGTGTGTACGTGTACGTGTGTCTCGAAAACTAAATCTACGTCGCAAACTACGTTGAAGTTTCCGACGTCCCAGTTGGCGTTAACAAAGCAACAATCGCTTTGTAGCGAAGCGCCTATTTTACATGATGTCCCATCTATCGCGGATACACTTCCGCTAAATATGCTACCACTCAAAGACCCATCGTTGACTTCATTGTCTCTTATACTCTTAGTTTCCTTTCTTATACAAAGTATTTCGACAAAATTGCCCTATAGAAGTAAGAAGTAAGGTGCAAACATGCTGGAGGGAAAGTGATGGTGTAACCTTCCGTTAAATGTGAAACAATGACGTTTACTTACGCGATGAAACCCGTTTACGGTATGAACCGACGAGATTGGACAGAATTTCATCGGTGGCGTTACATTTATTGCATTATATCTGCAAGATCAAATCGTCGAGTGAAATGGAAAATTCGGCAAAAATTCCAATGAAAAGTGACGTCATTTTGTATGTCTCGAATAATCGGAAGTTGTACGGTAATGCGTAGCGCGATTTGTCACTGTCCTTATCGAAGGCGCTTTTCTAGAACGACTAACAGCCAAGTTCCACAGGTGCATATGTGCCGAACGCACACACACACACACACACATATTTCTCTCCCGTTTGAGATAAACGTCGGAAAGAAGAAATAGAGGCTGAATTGAGTACAACGATATTAATAAAAACAGTATCTGCGATTAGAATTACGACACATGCGAGCAAGCGACGAAGGTATCGCTTGGAAAGTCGCTGAAAAATGCGACTTACCAGCGAATACCGTAATTAACCGAATACAAGACGCAGCGTCGACGATCTCGCGGGTGCAGCGAAAACTTCCGTCGTCATGTTGTCAACTCGTCGTCGTCGTCGTCGTTAAGCGAGCTGGGCGTGTTTCCGACGGAGCTTAAGCTCGCCGACAGGTGTGGGCTTTACAGGTGTTGGGCCTCCTGGCTGATAAGGAACGCGCCCGTGACGTCAGATCGGCGCGGGTAGAGTATATGAGTCGACGCCGTGGGACGTCCACGTCACTCGTTCTTGAACCTCCTCGTCCGTTCATTCCGTCAAGTAGTTCGCCGCGAATTTCGCCGTATCGCCGATCGCGATCAGCGTCTTACTGCCGTCAGGATTGTCGTTGGTCAACTCGGCCGAGGACTCGAAAACGGGGATCTACCTCGCGGCGCGAATTCCCCCGGCTCGATCGGATTTCCGCAGGTAAGCCAGATAGGTTGGCGCGGCGCGACAACCTGTCGACCATTGGGATCAAACTCCAGAGTTGGGTCTCGTCGAAGAGAGTGAGCAACGTGTCTGGTTGAAAATTCGACACCGAATGTGGCATTAGGCAACACGAAATCGCCCAAGTTCCGATCTTGTCGGGAGCCAATATTTCACGGTCGTTTCTTTCATTTATCGTGTTGCTCGTTCAGAATTTCGAAATTTAGACCTGGTTACGTCTACATTACATGGTTACATCGGTTGATCGATATGCCGATATGATAAAACGAGGCCATATCATCGGTTTCCCCTCGAAGCCTCTTCATGACTAGTGCTCTTTATCTCTCTTCGTCTTGCCTCCTCTCTCTCTCTCTCTCTCTCTCTCTTCTTTTTTTGGAAATGAATTTTCCCATACGTTCGCTCGCACTCGCTCGTCTTTTCATGTGCAAATTCAACGGGACAATTGCGCGCTTGGGGCGATACGAAACGTACACTTCGCTTTCGTTACGTAACACACAGTCGCGAGGTCGCCGTTACTACTTATCAGTTATGGAAATGATAATTCCGGGATTCGCACATGTCAATCCTAATGATACCAAAGATATGTTTTCTTTTTCGCGGAGGATAACTAGGAACCGTCCAATTTCGCGATTCGATACTGTCGTAATGTGAGGGAGAAACGTACATTTCGCCATTTATCGCGCTTCTGTCGCGGCGATTCAAGAACCACATTTTCTTGCACCATCGGACCATCCACCGATCCACATTATTCAATTCGAAGATCCGATTTATCGCATCGAGAATTCACACTATGAATTTTACAGGCGAGTCTTTGCGGAATATTTTTGTATTTTCTTTCGAATGTTGCGTTTGTCGTTCCTTTTTTACCATCTTGTTAGGTATTATTTATGATAATGTTCGCTAATAAAGGCGACTAATTGACTCGACTGACGATAATTAATATGATTATATAATGATGAAATTATGAATCACAAGACAATAATAATTTGCAACACGTGGTAAAACAAAATAGTATTTTAATGTCCTGATTTTTGCTATATGTTCCTAATATAGCTGAGAGAACGATAATGACAACAGATAATGTTTAACATTTCTCAAAATTTGTTATTGTATTTTATTCTACGCAATACACCATTACCAGTTAAGAGCGGTAAAAATCGTTCATTTTTAAAAGATGCATCGACTATTTCGTAACTACGATGTTGCTTTTGGTCTTGTAGAATTTATACGTGCATATTATGGCGCCAGAATTAACGATGTATTAGTAAAATATCTCCGACATATTGATATAAAAGAATGTTTGTAGAAGCTGATATTTAATTAAAATAAATATGTTGATTTTTGCCGTCTACAGCGAATCGTTACAACCGAATGACTTGTCAATGCTCGTCGACGTAATGATGAAATTATCGATCGGTAATATATAAAATTTAACGAGCAAAGACATCATGTAACGCGTTATTGCGGAATCGAGGTTATTGATTGGTTGAAAGAAATAACGTAAATGTAAATTTCTCCAAGTTGGGAAATTTTTAGACTCGACGCGGCGACTTACAAAAAACGTGAGATGCACTTATGTACTTCGCAAAAAATAATTATATACCACGAAAAAAGCTCACATAGCTCGTAGTTTATCTCTTTATTTATCAAGTAATATATAATCAACTAGAAGAAAATGATATGCATGTGTGTGTATTTATTTATTATGCTGAAGAATATTTCATTCAGCTTGTTACTTACATACGATATCGTTTAACTTTAGCTCTTCAAATGTAAAAGTTAATTTTAATTTCAATCTTTGACATTGACTGATATTTCCGGTGAAAATATTTTAATTAAACGAGTCGTCTCAAACAAATGGAGCTGCGGGCAAGACGTAATTCAATCCTATGCAAAATCATAATGCACAATCGTACGCGTTCTCATCTCTCTCAATCGTGAGTTTTCATAAAGTGGGAAATAAACAACATTATTAATTAACAACATTATATTAATAATTTTTTATTTATATAATTTATGAAGCAAAATATTGATGACGTGTGTGCTGCTTATTTTCGAGATATACTGCAATATGTAACACCGTATTATCGTAACATTTAAGTACAATCTGTCTGTAATAGTAACATAACGGAAAAGAAGCGCAAAGTATTTCACGTGAAGCATGAATAATCCTTGAAAAGTAGAATTACTTTTCACTTATAAAGATACGAGGAGCATCACAACAAGGACATGATAACGACGTAGACTTTCGGTACTAGTGTCCTTGATACCATGCAATATACATATATCTTTCTGAGCGAGATAAGAAAATAATGAATTGAAATAAAATCAATAATTAATCAGCCAATCGGAAGAAATGGACTTTCCACGAGGGAACTAAATTTATACGACACATTTGCATTATTTCTGTTTTCGTAGAGAGAGAAAAAGAGAGAGGTTTTTCGCTTTAAAATAGAATAAAATTTTAAATTGCGATATAGCAATTCTTAAAAAAGATTTTTGCAATTTTTGAAATATTAACATAGATAATAAAAATGTTTGAATTATTCCACCATACAGTCCTTCTCCGACGAAACACGTGAAAGACATTTATTTATTTACGGCTGTTAAAACTCTGTGTATATTATTATTTCTAACCCCATCAACACTTGTTAACACGTCAAACATAATATTTTAATTAGTGGATTAATCACTCGCGTCAGTTTTTGGCGCTTTACGAGTTACCATGCGAATTTCTTTGTCACAAGTGAAATAAACGCAAGCTCTAATTTTTATTTTATTTTATTTTATTTTATCTCACAGCCGAACAATTTTACGACAGTTTTCGCGGACTTCCTCGAAACAATTAGCGAAGATAAGATTTTGTTCGTGCGCTCCATCGCATTCATGTGAACACGATCGATATTGCATAGAACTGTGACATCACCAGCGAAAAATTTCAGCGGCGATCTGCTAATTCTGCTGCAGATCCGTTTCGACGACATCAAGAGCGCGATGTCACGAGACATCGAGTCGATCGCTCTCGCTTTTTAATTAACACAGGTGTCAGATCCCTTATGCTCGCACGTTAATTAACACACAGGTATCTCAGACTGCGTCTTGCGGCTTCGCCGGTCCTTTTTTTTTCTCTTTTCCGAGCAAACGTTGCGACAATTTCGCGTTCCGTAATGACCGTGCGCTGCCTACTATTGCAGTCGACAAAACACAGAGGGAGAGAGAGAGAGAGAGAGAGAGAGAGAGAGAGAGAGGGGGGAGAGTAAAAAAAGAAAAAAATGTGTCGTGCGTGGACGGACTAAAATCGATTACGTAATACAAGCGTGTAGACCGACAGAGGAGACGTGCAGCCACTTGTAAATTAACGCGGTTGTAATTAATGCAGGCCGCTGGCAGCTCGCACGAGCTAAAGCGCGCGCAACGTCCCGATGCGCGACGTTATGCGTGCGCGCGTGCGCGAACGCGCTTTATTAAAATTTACTACTCGAGTATTATTGCCGAGGTTGTCAGAGGATTTTCGGTAATACCACGAAGCGAGTCGCCTCGTTATCGCCTTATCGTATCGCCCGCTGATAAGGTGCAATCGCGACTCTCAAAGACGATACTTCGCACTCGCGCGTTTCAACGCATCGTTTATCAAACGGTAGAAAACTAAGCGTTAACGGCTAAGCTGCTTGAATATTGAAGATTTGAATGAAAAATTTTGGTTCGCATGCGCGCGACGCATGTGCGACACGTGTTAAATATTACCGCTAAGAGGGATATTTTGTTCGCACTTAACACAGACCGTGAAGAAAACATTTGATAATCACACTATCCACGTAGAGCGCCAGAGTGGCTTTTCACTCGTTTCACTCGTGGGTTTTCGAATTTGTCGAATCTCTCGCGGATTTTCGACCCTTTCAAAGTGGTAAAAAATTCCACCGTTTTTGCAGAAATATGCCGCTTCGTTATTGAAAAATGTTTTCCCACAGACAATTTCCCATCGTGTGCGTGAACGATTCTTTTAATTACGATAATTATTACGACGATTATTGTTTTCTCGTTTCTTCGGCCTGATATAAACGCGGGGACATGCGTGAAGAATGCGAGGAGCAATTTCTAAAGCGCAAATCATATTTCAACAGCTCTCGCGCTGCAATCACCGATTCAACGGCTGTTTAAGCAGTTGCTTGTAACCAGTGAAAATGTCATCTGAGCAAATAAAACGCAGACTGATCTCGCTCCATCGGGACGGTCGCGACGTTCGTTTATGTCGCGAAGGTTTGTACGTGGATTAGTCGAAACACGTTAATTACAGGTGACGTGAAGTTGGTATCGGGTCGGCTAATAGTCGCACCGCGCGTTTCGTCGCGAGCGATCTTACGAGGGTCGGATGCTAACTACCTTGCAATTTCATCGGCCAGAAAGAGTTAAAAATATAAGAATAACATTAGCATCTCTCTCGCAAGATCTCATCCTTATTATACTCTTGAATTTTCAGCAAGCGGATTACGCGGATCACGAAATTATCGCGATGTAGACGATCATGGAAGCAATATGGATTCAGAATAATCGACGGATTTATACGTTTAAATTTTTCCGACACAAATATTCTTTCTAAAGAGACGAGTCTTTAAATAGAAAATAAAAATTCTTGTGGTATTGAGAGAAGAAATCTGAAAACATTTTGATCGCGAATTCCACGCCCCGCAGTTTGCATATATGAATTTTTATCGGCTTGATGGAAATATCGTGAAAAAAGTTCAATTTTACGATCAATTTTAGGGGACACCGAACTGCACACACATGGTTTCTCGTGCTTCGCGGCGTCGTTGGGAGACCAAAGAGAAGTGTTAACGAGTCGTGGCACGAGCTGGTAGCGGAGCGGTTATGTTTGCGGTGCAATCAGGTGGCGGCGCTAAAGAGGAAGAGGCTGCTCGCACCTTCCCGATAACGAGACGTGCCGCTAAGTTCGAGCGGCCGCAACTTTTGCGCCGCGGGGGCTGTCTTCTTCCGTGAGTCGAGATCGTGGATCAACTACGCTGCTAGCAAATCTCCGACATTAGTCGGCGCATCGCAAACGAAACGGTACCGTCGAGTTGCGCGAGTGAAAACGATAATTATTCGTATTGCAGTAGCGAGAAAGTAAACAAATAGTCAAGATTCAGGCGCAGCAGCAGCAGCAGCAGCAGCAGCAATTACAGTTGGAAGAAGGCCGAGAATTAAGATCCAAAGACTGAGAGCTGAGAAATCAAAACTGCCCGGAAATATTTGACTTTTCAAAAGTGAGGGTGTCTGGAATTTCGTTACCGCTGACAAAAGAATGTTATCTCGCGGATTGATATCGTTAGGTAAGGAAACACGTACTGGTCATATCGTAGACGATGAACTTTCGCTCGTCGCCTTTCGCGCTCGTTTAGAACATTGATAATCAACAAGTGTGAGTTGCCGGCAAATATCCACGTGGCCACAGTAGCGAGTTAATATCCCGTTGATGAGGTTCCCCAGTGGCTCCCATGTTACATGGTGCGTAATGTAATGTGGCGGGTTGCGCATATAACAACTTGAGCGCGATAACGGTTATCGCGCAAAATTTATTGAAGTTGGTAAATAGATTTCTTTCCTCCGAGACAATTCTTTCGTGCGTACGCGATAAACGTTATAGTTAGCGCTGCGCAGGCTGTGTGTGTGTGTGTGTGTATGTGTACTAATTATTTAAATAAGATTTCGTCTGTTGATGATTATTATAGATAATATGATTTTTTCATGCGATGTTACTCGATCATCGCTGAAAGGAAATGCAGGACAAAGGTGAAGCGTTTGCTATGAAGAGAGCTATCCATCGACAGTATGGTAATGATAGACACTGTCATGGAGTTGCTCTCTTTGTGGACGTCGCTCGATACAACGTTTCAACGATTAATCCTTTATATCCTCGTGCGAAAATAATTTACAAGGAAGGGGACGAGTTTTCGATATATCCGTACTATTCCGACGTGTATGGACGTTTACCGATTTATACACGTGATTATACTTGTGTATTTTATGGATAATTTCATTTTTATTGTAATAAACGATACGTAATATCTACTAATATATATGATATACTATATTCATCATATTATAATGATACAGCACACGTAATGATATGACTCATCAATAAACTTATAATTTCTCACTTCACCGATCTGATATTTGATCTATTGAACACATCGATCGCGCGATATGCAGAGGTGTGCCTCTCTCATTTCCGCATTTCAGCTTTAGCTTTAATATCGCGCGGTGGAAAACAAGCAATATACTGCCAGATTTAGCGTAATAATAATCGCATACCTCTCGATGCAACTTTTTCCACGGAATTTGTTCTCGAGTTTCGCTAGTTTGTAAAAGTTCTCTCATTTAGTTTTATATCGCACCGCGTTACAGATTTCTGCGACAAAGTGAAATTATTCTGACGCGGTATACGAGGCTCATTAGCGAGTGATGGCGCGTTTATAAGTTGAACGAAAATGTTTGTACACCTTCGTGAGTCATACTGTGTACGTGGCTTTATGTAATTATTGTAGCTGCTATCCTTGACGCGTGCAGATCTACGGAAGTCGAGCCTCCGCTTCGCGGTTATACGACAAAAATTGCACCATCCGCGAGTCTATTAAAGCCGATCCCTCACCGCTTCACGGTCGCGCCGCGAAAATTGCGCGACACGCCACAAAGGGTTAATGCTTGCGCGTACGCGCGGTTTATTGCGTCTCCGCGGCGCGATTCAATAGCGCGCCACGCTATTGCGTTTTATTAGTTGTATGAATAGTGTATCGAAGTGCCGTGCTCGATCGATAGCCATAACACTTCCTACAGGTATAATCGCGAAAGGGAAACCGGTGAACCCGGAGGGACGACGACCTTATCGCTGATTACGACCAGCGTGACCATCGGCGACAGAAGTGCGGGACGAGGATTCGTCGCGGTGTTCTTCGCCCCGCGGACTTGCGGCGATAAAAATCTTCCTGTGATTATTAGGACTTGAATGCCGATGATAGAATTAGATGCTGTAAATTCAGCTTTCAGAAACACGGCGATAAGCGCCGGAAATATCGATCGAGGAGAAGTTCTTCCGTTTTATTCGTTCGCTTCAAGTCCTGTTGATTCTTATTATGAATATTGAAAATTATAACATATATGGTATGTAAGAAAAAGAAATATAGGTAAAATAAATCTGTACTATGAAAGTTGATAAAATTTTTATATTAGGGTCTTTTATACGAATAATTATGGTAAATTATCTTAAAATTAAGTTACTTAATCCCTTAAAGAGCAGCTTTTATTACATACAGACTCACGGTTATACTTACTTCGCCATCTACATACGTTAATGGAAAACCTAAGGAAAAGTTTATAGTTGGTTAATAATATGATGCGATTTGTAATGATTCAAAAAACTATTCTCGGTACCGTCATGAGTATCATAGATTTAACTGCAATATATTTTTAACAAGCAAAACAGCAACGAATAATATTACTATTACTAAAACAGTGCTGATAAAATAGAACTCTGCAGCTTTGCATGAAATTCTATTCTGATGAGCGCACATGTGTAAACGTGAATCTGTTTTGCCCGTTAATACACGAGCTCGATTAAAACGATTACTCATTTAATGAATGTCGTATCAAGATGAGAGATCTTTCAGTACACATTATACATTAAACAAGATAATAGCAAGCCTATGCAACGTTTTATTCCATGAAAAACACAAAATATTTCCTCGGTTTGACAGTCAAAGTTTCAATTCGACGAGTTGCGGAAACATAAAGGATCGACGGAGAATCTTGACCGATTTATCGATAATTCCGGCCATTAGTTAAATCGCATTAAACGCGCATTAAGCGTGTTTACAGTTCGGAGGTTAAAGGCTAATCAAAACTGTCGAAACAGCGCACCTTCCGAGACACCCAATGATTAATGGACCGGCTCCCTAAGAGGATCCTAAAAAAGACGCGCGTGCATGCGCTTGGAACGGCCGGAGGCGTGCTCCATTTTTAATTCGCTTCACCAGGAATCGCAGACCGCCGACGCTGACGGCGGTGACTGTCAGTAGGCCGGCGTCATGTCTGCTATTATTCGACGAGGCAGAGGAGAACCGGGCTCAGTCGCGTGATAAACGTGGAGCACCCAGGTAGGTGTGTGCGCGCGCCTGTACACGATCATCAAGCTCGGCGGATCCTGGATGTGCGCGGCACGCTTTTCTCACGCCGGGTTTATTGAAAAAAAAAAAAAAGGAAAAAAAGAAATCGGTCGAGTGATCGGGGGAAATTCGCTCGCCGGCCATTCATACCGATTGTGCGAAGATAGTTCAACGGTCTCTTCATCTCCCTCTCTGTCCTTCGACTTTGATCGCTGTTTAACTTCACGAGAGAAACTTTGTACTTTGCGCTTGTCGATGTAGGCAATCACGCGTGAGAAAAGTATAAAGTAACGCGATGTAATGTATTTGGTGTCTAATCAGTGCTTTTTGTAAAAGAACGATGTATAACGGTTGCTATGAATAATTAGTGCGCATGCTGCTATCGATGTGTATCTTCGAGGAAGATGTCCGAATTGTAATAATTGCAGTATGTATCTGCGTACGTATCGCGAACGAATCGCCGGGCTCTTTCGATTTTAACTCGCAACGTGCTTTCGCTCTTATTGAATTAGTTTGCAACTGACGTTATTGGTGCGTGAGTTCGTCTCAAATTATCTACACAGTCGGTGCGCACGGCCACTAGTAGACCGAGACCACCGTTAATCCCGAACAGTATAGTGTTTACTCCTGTCCCGAATAAAAAGTATCTCGCACGCGCGGGTACTTTCCAACATTTGGATAGAAAGAGATTTCACCTAGTCTGTTCCACGCGCTAAAATGTTGCTTCGGTAGAGGCTTTGATCCGGCTGAGGAAAAGTTTGAATAATTCTAACCCTTATAATATTCTAATTCTTATAATATTAAGTCGTCTTTGTGAAATCTCGCGAGGTCAAAATGAGACAGTAAGGAATATTATTTTTCTATATAGTAGAAAAATCTTATTTAACATTTAATAATTAAAGATCCTCATATCGTACATTCAGTAGGCATTCAGTAGGGTTTATATGCAGATGCAGATTAAAAAGAACAATATAAAGCCGTTTGATTGGATATATAGTAATCTAAAAAATGTATAAATTTTATACATCAAATAACTGATAAAACACATCAAACTATTCTTCTACATTGAATTTTGAAAATGAAAACATTTGATCATTCTAGAGTTAAGAATTCACAAAGATTCAACCTCTCGCGTTCAAGCAATGCGTTGAATAATACGTGTTGCTTTTTGCGCCTAATGTTAGCTAACAGCGCATAAAATACGTTCGATCTGTATTCACATTCCGCATCTGCTCGCGAATGTGGCTGCGCGCGATTTCCGCACGACAATGTCGGAAACGTGGTTTTCGCGTTAGTGAAATAAATCAAGCTAGCCGCATTTAGCACTAGATGCGCAGTATGAGTACGGGTCCGTGAATTTACGTAGTGACGAGCAATAGCCCGAAAGCGGCCCGAAAATGAGCTTGCGCTGGATTCACGAGAATCTGGAAGCGCCGACATGCGATGAGGAGTGCAGCGATATCGACGACAGCTGCAGCGACGACAGCTACGACACGGACCTGTCCTTTCACGAGGACAACGAGGTGACGACAGAAAACAGCAAAGGAATCACCCGTGACAACCGGAAGAAGAGGGAAACCAAAAGACCACCGACCACGACCGTCACCTTCGACGAGAACGGGTACGGGCAAGTCTGGACTCGTGATTAAATCGCGAAAATGAAGAATCGATCGTGACGTCAAACTGCGCGATCGGTCCGAGTTTCTCCGAGTGCGTTCTCGCACGCGTGTATGAATGCAATTGATATAAAGGAACATGTCCCAATATGAAATAGACAAATCGAATGAAACTAGCTGCTGGAGCTGTGCACGCTTGGAGCATGAAAACGACGCTATTTAATTCGTACGCGCTACGAATCTTCCGGTGCAGCGGTGAAATGTGTAATTCCCGTAAATGGACGAATTAGCATAATTACTGGAACAAGGTAAAACGCATCGACCGTCACTGGATACATGGGGGACACGTTTGTCTACCTAGTCGCCCTCCAACACACACGTTCTAATGTACATTCATTGATCACTTGACTCGATTAACTTTCTGCTCCATATCGCCGCAGGGTCAGCAGATGCACTAGGTGTAGTTTGCGTTAATAACGGTATATCAAACGAGCGCGCGCACGCTGCCGTACGCGCCGTCGCGACTATAATTTACCGCGAATTGCGCAACGTTTCGCCGCTGCGTAACGCGTTATGCGAAATTATGATTGACGCTGCGGCGGATTCGTCGGGATGCAATTTGCACCGTTCGGTAGAAATGTTCGGAAGCACCGTCTCGCCCGAGTGGGAAACCGAGCGGAGCGCTGCTTTTATGAGTTATGAGTTTCCCTCGTAGTGGAAATTTTCTAGTGTTACATAAGGAAGAAAATGTCCTTCGGAACAAATTGATATTCGAGAAAATAACAGATCATATAATTGCGATGATACTCGCGGGTACGTTCGCACGCACTCCTCGACTATTCTCTTAGACGCACTCGTTGGCCGGTTTTAAAATTATCTTGTAAAACTGCGCGCAGTTACCACAGCAGGAACAAAGCGAGTAAGTTAATGCTAAGAATATACGGTAACGGAAGGGATGATGCTTCTTTCTTGCTGAGATATCTTGAAAAATACGAGAGTGGTAGAAGTGGTGTATCTTTGGGGGGAGGGGGGGGGATAAATATACGAGTATTTCGTATTTCTACACGGGCAAGGATATTTTTAACTTACTTTGGATTAATCAAGATGGAATGGCGAACATCTGCGAGTCAAAGTTAATTTATTAACTTAACACGATCGAGTCGACCTGTGAAAGGAAGTTACCTCCAATTATGAGATACACAGAGAAAAACGTCTGGTTGAATGAAACGATTTTCTGCTGAAATATAAACGGTTCAGAAACGGTTCCGGTTGAAGTGATCGGAATTCAGTCGAAATTATCAAGGTTTCATTTCACAAACAGAATTCTGATATTCTCAATCGAAACATTCTCTTTCCACCAGGAAATTTCTAAATTATTCATGCTTCACCAAGAAATTGGTTTAGCCGACCAAACATTTTCCCCCGTGTACAAATTACAATTCAAATTGATTAATGATACATAATTCCATTCGTACACGTAATGCATGTTTACTACTTCACACACGTTTACATCTTCGCGCAACGTGTGTGTAAATGTGTCCGCGGGAGGTCATTGGGCATACCTTGTAGACGAAGCCATGTAAAATTAACTGCGTTAACGTGTACTTTCTGACGATGGCCAAGCTGTTCGCGTAACTCTCACACAAAGCCTATTGACATTTCGTTTCCTCCCCCCGAGAATCGGTTTAAAATTAACGAAGTGCGAGAGCGCGCCTACGGTACGGCGCGGTGCGCTTCATTCACGCGGCTTGCTGACCTGGAAAACCGGTCGACCTATATATTTTCCAGCGTCTATAACGGCGTGAACACCCCTCACGGCTGTGAGAAAGACGCAACCCTAATAGCCAGCTGCTTCAGAAATACGTTATGCTTAAAAGTCCTAAAAGCTAAAAGAGGAATATCGAAAAAAATACAACAAATACATATACGTTGCATGTCAAAAGATGTCAGGGGTATGCAAATGTTATATCGAGACTCGCACTGGTTCTATTTTTTATCTGCGTATTAATCTTTTTTCTGACGCGATTGCATTGGAAACAAATCTCTCTCTCTCTCTCTCTCTCTCTCTCTCTCTCTTTCTACGTCATATAATATGTATAATAATTAATCTTTTTTCCTGATGCGATTGCATTGGAAACAAATCTCTTTCTTTCCCTCTCTTTCTATGTTATATAATATGTAACTATATAGTAGTCACGTAGGTAACTTATGGGCTATCCGATTGCAATTATAGGACGCCGCGTAACGTCGACGCCAAATCGCGCAAGTATTTGCCGTACGTGATATGGGACCCTCGGCAGCCGGCGAAAAATCCCGCCTACGATTGCCGTGCAATAAAACTGTATTGTCGGACTGGGTATTATCTGGCAATAACACCGTCGGGACGAGTACGTGGATTATGCGGCAACAATGAGTCGCACGGTAATCCCCCCTCCCTCTATTTCTTACGAAATATTTAGCGGAATAATAGCGATTGGAATATCCTGAAATTAATGTTCCAGAATATACGCGAGACATATATTTTATTATTATTTTAATTCACCGTCATTATTGTTGTTATTATCATTGACATCGTAAATTGTCATTGTTAAAAAAGTTCTTATTTTGCAGCTGTACTTCACGTGACACCGGTGTCGTTTGGAGTTATCAAAATACAAAGCGTCGAAACGGGGCTATATCTGGCATTCAATAAGAAAGGCCGATTATACGGAGAGGTAAGAATAAGAAAATATTACGTCTTGGCTACTAGAATGTAAAACTTTGCAAATGTTGTCTTTCGACGAATATTCTTACTCCATGGTTATAAAAAAAGTTTTCGCTATTGAGAAACGTGGAATATAAACCATTGTACGATATTATCCGCGTCTACGAAATTTTGTGCATCGCGCTTTGTGAAATTCTGTACGGCATAATAAATTTTCCTCGACGACTTTATGCGCAAACTGTTTCTCACGACAATTTTACTGAGTATAATTCTACCTAATTTCTAACAACAGAGATAAAAATCGCAGTAAAAAAGGAAGAAATGCCTTTCAGGAATTGTGAACGATTCAGAACGATCGTTGAGACCTATCGTACAAAACTTTTTTAAGTAATTACGATTTCAGGTGAATGTGACAAATGACAATACCGAATGGGAACAGTGGAGCATCGGCTCCTACGACGCATTTCGATCGCGCAAATATGTACACTATGGATGGTGGATAGGAATAAAGAAGAATGGACGAGCGAAGCCGGGGCCGAAAACGTCCTGGGGGCAAAAAGCGATACAGTTCTCGGCTATTCAAGAGGATTAATCGGTTGGACGAGGAAGGTTCAAGAACGCGCGCATGCATGTTTCGCGATGTATACTTTTTATCTTCGATGACCACGCGTGTTTCGAACGTTACGCAGTCAGTCAAACTTCCCGGAAAGGAGTGTAAGACGGGACAGTGATGAATGAATGTTCTATGAGGAAAGAGATGACACCGATCGATAAGAAATAAGGAATTTGTTCAGACGGAAAATCGAGAAAAATGACCAGCCAGTAACACGTTCCAATAGAATATAATGTTTATTATAACACTGTGTCACTCAACAATGGGATAATTTGGGATTGTGCATTCTGCTTGTGCCCTCAAACTGAAACTCTATCGCAAGTCGCAGTTTCTCTTCATTTTGCAGTAAATATATATTTGTTAACATATATCAATCGCCAAATCGATACGCTTACAAGCAAGATGATTGCATAATTTGTGGTTTATGTAACTTGAAAATCGTTCCGTCGTAAACAGCGAAAAATGGCGGCCATCTTGCTTGTAGCGTATACGCGAATATCAATTTGTCATAATATATTATAGCATATTATAATTGTATATAATTATACGTCATCTCTTTTGTACATCTACATACAATGCATATATGTATAAATATGTCGAAATTTTCAAGCAAAAGTTTTCTATGAAAAAAGAAAACATTCTCCAACGCGAGAAGTACGTGACTTCGAATGCTTCAATATTTAGTTTTGCATTGCAAACGTGAAGTGTGCATGTCGAATAAATTTTTGAAGATTCGGATAAATGCAAAGAATAAACGATAAATAATTAAAGTTACCAATATGTTTTAAATAAATAATAAAAAATACAATTATCAAATTATTTAAAGATTCTTCCGCTTCCATTTTTACTTTACATTATATACCCGCTAATATGGAAAATATTCGAGGTAAATAAATCATATTATCTTTGACAGACGGTAGAACGATAACAAATATATTATTCTTATTAATTTCATAGGAATTAACCTAATCCTAATAAAATTAATCGTGTTTCGTATGGTATATAATAATAATAAATTATTATTTAGTAACGTTTCCTTCTTTAAAAATTTACTAAGTATTTATATTTTAAAGATTGTGAAAAAGAAAAACTGTTTTCTTCAGAGGTGCATAATAATAATTATAAGCATTCCAAGCGTGTTTTCAAGTCACAATCACAGTGGATGCATTATAAATAGTCTTAATTATAAAAAAAAATATTTTGATTATTCGGCTGAGAAAAAGTGGAGTTTTTAAGGGATATTCCTTCTCCTTCATAAGAAATATGTACAAGCTAACAAAAGCAAATTAAGCAATATATCGACAGATACTTTTAAAAACATCGCGGTGTCTTTTGCTAAGCTAAAATCTTGTAATTAAGCGCGCGTGCGCATATACTTTCCAAAACAGTCGAAAGAATCACAATTATTTCAAGATCACTGTAGCTTGTTTACAATTTCTCTAAGTTATTTAATTATTTCAGTATTTCACTTCTTCTTGGTGTTAGGACTTGTCGACTGAAACACACTGGATGCTGACATTAAATTCTCAATGTACTGGCTCAAAACTTGGTTCTCACTCCTTAATTTGAGATTCTCCTCCTTCACACTATCCACTCTCTGTGACAGATCTAAATGGGACACACATATTCAAATTTTTGTAAAATTTTCAGCATAAATTTCTTTTCTCTATTTCTTTTCTACTTTTTACTTTTCAAATCTGCACATACCATCTAAAGTATTTTGCAGTTCAAGGACCTGTGCGATCAGTCTAGCTTTCTCTTCTTGCTCATCTGGGCTAATGTCTGGATCTAAACCTGTAATTAATATTTTTGTGTTATATTAATATTTAAAGACTATGATGTATAATTCTCACATATTAACCAAATATTACATTAAAATTACAACTTCTTATATGAATATATGAAATAAGAAAGATTAAGAGATAATCAAAGTCTTACTTACTTGATATTATTTTCTTAAATTTACAAATGAATGAAATTAATATTATGCTTATTCATTTTAAAAAGTATAAAACATGAAAGCCATGCATCTCTATAATAATATGTGATAAGCTTACAATATCAATACAATCACTTACTATTTGGACTACAGCTCCCATTAGTAAATGTCGATGGAATAGAATCCATACTACGTCCTCTGCCTAATGCATCTGATATATGTGAGGCATTATCCAAAATTTCTTCTTCTGGTATTATCACTGTCAAAAATGTGCAAGAAATAACCCCAGCCAGATGTTATTTCATGAGAAAAATAGCAAAGGAATCAAAGTTCAAAAATTTAAGCACATAAATTATAGCATGGAGTGCATGGAACATGAACAAATACTAACCAGGTCACCTAAGTGAAATAATTTGTGAAAAAAAGGTTAATCAAAGGTCTAATTAGTGCTTCTTATTCCTTTCATTGTATTAAATGAGGTTTTAGCAGCAAGACAAAGTACATATCACAGCATATTTAATATTGAACATAAGATGCATACTTCTCTCTCAACCCAAATTTTATGCTGATATCAAATACGATATCGTAATTAAGATAAATGAAAACGACAATCGCACAAGTACAAAATCAGAGAAATGCTAAACTTATTGAAAAATCAGTATAAAGGCTTAGTTCATGCGTGAGGTAGGTTATGATTCATTAATGAATACAGGCAATACAAGAGGCAGCCGTTGGGGAATGTCGCAAAATACAACTCCAAAATTCTCACCTTGAGGATCATCGTCGGCTAATGGTATACTGTTCATGTCATCCTGGAGCTTGGCTGTCATCGTTGCTGACATTTCGACGGCGGTTAGGCACGTAGCAGTGAAATCGCATGCGACGCAAACCTGCGCGCAACGATAGACTTGACTTTATCGATCCCCGACGCGACCAATCGAGAGTCGCGATATTTCCTTCGCGGCGCCGTCAGGCTTGCTTATTATGAACGGCAAATAGACTTAATTCGAAAATTGACTATAATTCCATTTTATGCGTCATTACACACTTTTCTCGCGACCCGCGGAATGTCGATATTTATCAAAGCCACCATCACGGCGTGGAATGCACCGAAAATGCACCAGCTAGCAGAGGTGACGCGCAAAGTCGTATACACGTTTTCGCAAGAGTTCCGATAACCTAGATTTTGTCCGAGGCATACGTCACTCTCACGAGCGATAGCGTTTGTTAACAATATCGTGTAAGTTGACAGAGTTATTTTTAGACGAATTTTTTTCGCTTTTTTTGCGCCTTCGATACCTGTTTCGTTATATATACGTTCTGCACTTGTTCCGCTTTGGACGCGGAAAGTGCACGAAAATGCACTTCAGAGCAGAACTTCTATGGAAGTTGTGACGCTCTATAAATTAACATTGCGTAAAACGCAATAATAACTGCACTCATTAACGAGACATTACCGAAAGATATTACCGAGCGTGTGTCTGTAAGATGGATGCGATCGTCTTGGATAATTGAAAAACGACTTGACCGATCATCGGTGACTAAATGTGTTGACGAGGCGACGTACATCATTGTAATAAGTGTAAATCATTTCGGTGTATAGCGGGCATACAACAATACGAGTTCGATATATTGAATTAGAATAATTACCTGGGTATTCGATCGGTTTATCAATGGCTGCTAATGCAGCTGTAATCCACCATCGATAACGTGAGTAACCTAAACTCGAGCGACTCCACGTTGCAGTTCGACGGCGAAGGCAGGCTAACGGTATTTGCTGCACACGACACGACACGCGCATAAGCAGCAAACTTCAAGCAGTCGATAAATCAATCAATCATAACTGAGGATTTTGAAATATCATAATACTCGACTGTGATTGGTCGCTTGACTTAACATTGGGTTGCAGTGCTCGCGCAAACGTATATACTCTGCCATTTTGACCGAGGACGGAGGACCGGGTCAACAGGTATTTTTACACGGTTGTGAGTACTTGTAATAATAAATAGCAAATTTAATGCACAATTGTTCAGATATGCACGTTGGATAGCCGAAACAACACGTAGCGCGTCGGTGCTTTTCGCTTATCTCCTCATTAATAGATATAAATCTTTATTCAAATGTATAACGATTGTTCGTGGCGTCCTTCAGCGGTTGCGCTGAGAAGGTTAGAGAGAGAAGGTTAGAATTACCGAGACACGAAAGGTTATAAGCGCCGGATTTCGAAGTATTTCAGTACGAGTACCATAGATTTCTGATTACTTACAGTCCTAGTTATAAAGCGTTGTTACTATAAAATGATACATACAAACATGCAATAATAGCAAAAGTTCAAAAGGCATCTGGAAAAGATTAGGGGCGTGTTATTCGACGCGAGACCATGGCGTCATTTAGAAACGCTCGCGTCGTCTGATTTATGGCGGTCAATTTCGCACACGTTCTAGAATTATTTCAACGCGTAATCGTTAGATATGAGTTAGGTCAGGCTTGCCGCCGAAACCCGTGTTCTACGTGAAATATATAGCGATCGCCCTTTTTATTCACAAAAGCGAAAGGCAGACGAAAAATACGTAGAGGAAACAAAAGTTCCAATTAAAACAAATATATCTTGACAATATTTTTTTTTCAACGAAGATATAAATCACTCTGCTTCGCTCACTATCGCTTACGTGTTCGTCATTGACTTGGGAGGGTCGTCCCTTTCGTTGGAGCTTCATCCGCCTTGATCTCTCCGCGAATGTTTCCATCGTGTAAATCATCGTTTATCGCGGCGAATCTCACGGGTGACCTAATAATGCCTGTTTTAAATCAACTTTTCGACGGGTCGGAGCTAAAACGATCGCGCTGCCGTCCTCGTGTCCCGAGGGATGATCCGGGCATTTGCAAAATGAGAAAAAATTGCAAAGGGTGAACGACGCGAGATGGCGGAAGGCGCGGAAATAAACGCGACCCGATTTTAATCCCGGCCAGATTAACGAAGCAGTCGCCGCCGACGACTTTCGGCGGGCATTTTTCATTTTTAAACGGTGGGCTAGGGCGTGAGGTGAGGAGTTACAGAGTACGAAGCACGGAGGATCGGAGGGCGGGTGGGCAGGTGGGAGGTGCAATTTGCAATAAAGCAAACGGCGGCTGGCGATCGCGCGGCTTTATCGGCCACCGGGGCCTCTAAAAGCGCACTCGCCAGCCCCGCAAATTGCTCGTCGCGAGATTTTATCGAGCCGTTTAGCTCCTAACTCGACATCGACGCGCCGTGTCGTGTAATGCATTCCGGTCGAAATACAATTCGCATTATAATATCGCCGTTACAGCGGTCTGTTGTATCGATTTTCGATGGAGCGATGCGTTCTTTTTCGCGTTATTGCAGTAAAACGCTCTCCGCGAGCGGACTTATTTATTCATGCACGAGGCTCGGTTTTCTCGCGACACTGCATGTTTCGGAAAATCATTTGTAACTTATAATTGTTAAATTGTGCGCCGTGAGATGAGATTCGAGAGGATATAATCACGCGAAGATCTCTCATTTGCTCTTTTTGCAACCACTGCCAATGTAAGCAGCTCGGTGGAACGGTATTTAATGAGTAAACTCCATAACTTGCTCATTTGCATAACTCATGGTTTATTCTGTAATAATGATTTAAAATCTTTGCGCAATATCGTCCGTTCTCCAAGCCCTCTCTTACCCGTGTATCCAAATTAAATGGTACAATTTACTCGATCGTAGAATTTACTCGAACATCTGAATGACAGAATTAATGTAATTTTAATTTTGGCACTTCCCTCTGTCTATAATTTAAATTTGGGAATTCTATAGCATTTGCAATTAAGTCTCTCAAAAGTGAAGAGTTACGTAAGGTGAGCTCTGCCTTTGTGTTACAAAAATTCAAATACGTTGCATTTCTTCGTGAGAATTCATATTTGAAAATATAAAATATTTCCATTTTCTTGACAATAACTTGATAACAATCAAATCTGTAAAGTTTAATAATAATAATTCAGCGATAGAAAGTGGTTTCAGTTAAAAAGATCTCCACAGTCGTCTCTCGACCGACACGGGTGGTTTACGCGATTTTATTCGTCCGAGCTGCTTCATTAACATCCGCAAGTTCTATAAACCCCAATTAACGAGGAGCTATTCCCTGTATTATTCCACTCCTACGAACGGTTTCAATCTGATAAGGAATCCGTAATACTCGTGAATCGCATAGCTTCGAGCGTTCGCGCCGCGCCTCGACGTAGTAAGTTCCCGAAGAAGAACTATCCGTTCGTTATACGGAGCTGTAACTTCCGACAAAGTCAAACGGCACCTCGGGGAGGTGGCGATACAACTTTTGATGGGGCACGAAACTCTGGGGGAAAGGTACGCCGCGGAATTTTACCGGGACGGACATGTGGAACTGCTTTTGCGGCAAAGGACACGGTGACTCTCAGAGGGGCGACACACCTTTGTCGATACGTTCGACAACACATTTGTATACGCTTTCGGCACTCGTTAATAATTCTCTTAAAACACCGGTTTCGATGTTGCGCACTGCTCGTGAAACTTTTTGTTTTTTCACTTTGTGGCTTGCGCGATCTTCCTGTTTTGATCTTCTTGTCTAATATAACTTACGATTTACCAAAGAGATTTATATCACGTGCCATGTCGAAAGTTTTCGCATAATCAGAGTAGAAAATCTTATTATCTTAAGAGGTAAATGTCAAAGTCACATATAATAGTTCCCGAGTTATAAGCGATCCAAGTTTGCTAGTGATATAACGTGGATTTCTCAATAGCGTTCTCAAATCTGCAACTGTGCAAGCACGTCTGACATCGATTCGTCATCTGTCATTGATTTTTGCAGCACAGTTCGACATCGAATTTTATAGCTAATTTTGTGTTTTGCTTTCGTACGTGAGATATATGCTACGTACATTGTAATGGTCAACATGATATTGACAAGTTGATTATTGTAACAAAGCTTAACCGTTACATGCGAGTTGCTAAATTTTTTTTTTATTTAATAAAAATTTAGCTAATCGATCGTATATATAATTACCTTATTTTTTTATTTATATCCGTAATAATGAGAATTAGAAGAAACGAAGAAAAGATTTGAGATTTTAACGAAGAGCTTAGTAGTCGGCTCAGTACGATTACCGGGCATCTTTCAGCTCCAGTGGAAGCTTGGCCTTGTTCCTATAGCCGGATAATTCCACGTCCTTAATTTCTGTTGATCTTTGGGGATCAAGGATTCCAAGTTTGCAAGCTGTGAAAGTAAACGGTTTCTTTCTTACTGTAGTAACTTTGCTTTCCGAAACTTTACGGAAAGCATCGTGAGAATATTTCAGTGTGAAAGCACATCTATAATATATTTCGTACAGATAAATGTAATTTATCTTATAGACAAAAATAAGGGGATATATATTATATTATATGAGAGATATATATTTTTTTGTATATTATATTAAATTATATTATATATATGTAGAAAATCTAGAAAAGCGAGATGAAGTGGATATTTCTATATCAATAACCTAAATAATATTCAAATGTGTCTATCAATAATTTTTCAACAAACATGTTTCAATATGATTAATAAGGCTTTATGTGTGCATTATAAATTTTTTCATAAATATGTGCATATCATTAAGCATATTTTTTCAGTGAAATATTTAAATTGTTATGCCCAATAGTGGGACACAAGTATTGCAGCAGTAATAAGTAATTTAGGAATAAATAGATGCAAGTCGCGCATTTTTAATATATAACGCGAATAAATTCGAATGAAATAATTTAATGTAATAACATGCAGACATCTTCCTTTTTATTTATCGTCAAAACGACAATCGATTTAAAGCTCAGCTATTTTAATACGCGGTGCAATAACACCCATGCAATCGGCACAATGCCGCGAGTTCTTTTTTTCGCCGCAATAACGATCGCAAAACGATCTCCGGACGAGGAAAAAAAAACACGTCGCCCGATTACAAACGGAAACGCGGCGTTAATTGAAAAGTTCCGCGTGAAAGGAGAAAAAGAGAAAGGCGGAAAAATACGAGTAAGAGCCGCGGACCCCCCTCGTTTGTGAAACATATCCCGAAAAAATACTCACTCGCGTTTATTGCGGATTCGAGGAGTTGTACTTGTAAAATCCAGCGGAAGATGGCTATGTCGCGACGCGTCGTTGTTCTCGCCGCTTTGTTCGAAAAACTTTCAAACTTACACTCGTCGTCCGTATAGTCTGTTTCTTCGTTTATTCATTTAACGATATTCCAAAATTTTTGATAATAAATTACGAATAAATTACGACGGCGATAAATTGCCGTAGCGAAGGTCATTGTATTTAACAATACTTACATGTACATATAATACGTATATTTACAGTCCGCGGATTTTCCGCAAAAGAGACGTCTTACCGGAGAAGTTACCGGCCCTGCCGGAAGGTATATGCTCTCGTCGTCAAGTTGCACTCTTTCGTACGTTCATTAGAGCCGAGAATTTCACTCGTCCTTCTTGTATCTTTTCCTGGTCCCCTTTACCCTGTCCCTCTCTCTTTCTTTCTTTCTCTCTGCTCAGGTTAATTACTCTGTGCATGCAATTAGAAGGATGAATTTTATGCGATAACTAGACTCTACAGAAGCGCGCTACCGCGCGCTATCGATTCCTGATTTTTTTTGTCACACAATCGCGCAATATTATAAGCAATTTTTGCATGGTGACCTTTTTCACCAGCGATCAATACGATTTACCTCTATTCATCATTCGTTATGTTTCGCTCGGTCGATCGTACTTTGTCGAAGAACGAGATTCTTGCTTCGCGTGAATTCTGACTTTTAATTCTAATTTATGCAAAAATTTATGAGACTAACGATCGTGACTGTTATAAAATTTATCATCAAGTGAAGCAAACAATTTCGAATTTCACAAGAGAATTTTACGTACGATAGCATAACTCATGCAAATTCTGGTTCTATTTAAATTTTAATTTTTAATAACAAAGATAAATATACATGTCGAATTTAGCGCCCCAAGAAAGATGATTCATTATAATCCATTATCTCATGCGGAAAACTTTAGAAATTTCTGCAATAATTTTCGAAATACGAGAAAATATGTAGATGTGGTAACTGTTGGACCGAAACAGGCCAATAAAAGCCGCTGAAAAAAAGAGAAACGCTGGCTCTCACTGTTCTTTTTCCGTTTATTTTGTTTGCATATTCAAGAGTTTTGATTTATTATACAAACTATTGCACAGCAATGTTACTTTTAAATCAACATTAAATCTTATTGTTGCAAAAACCGCGTCGAATACTAATGCGAATGCTGCCGCAAGCGGTGACGAATGAAAATACGCTGTGCATTCTTTCACCTCGACTAGACGTCGCTATCCGGTTATCAGTAGTGGGACAACGTAGTAGGATAGCGACCAGATAACGAGAAAGGGAAACGGCAAGCCACCTGCGCATCATTTCGTTGAAGACGGATGAACGAAAGCTTAAATGAAGCGTCTGTCTCACGTAGCAGGAAGTTGAAGAATAACGCTACACTTAGCGGGTGTGCAAAGGAAACCTGCGACCCACGGTAATGAAGCCGAAGAGGAGCGAAGAGCGGTGTAAAAGAAAAAAAAAAAGGAAGAAAGGGAAAACGGAAAGAGGGCCTATTATTTCTCGGATAAAGCCGGCGCGCGTTTGCCAGATGAAACAGCGCGAAAGAACATGGAGAGAGATCGCGATCCGTAGAGATGGGCTCGGCGGTAACGAGCGGGAAATGAGAGGTATGGCGGAGAGTATAAAGGGAAAAGTGACGGGTAATCGAGAGCGGCCGTTCTTTCTAAAACGTGAAACGTTAATCAAATAATAAGTAATACAGGAACATCTGTGGGGCTCCTATTGTCTATCTATTGCCGAATGTTCGATAGCAAGAGGAATAATGTTCGCGTTTTCAACTCGTGTTTCGTGTTTACATGCTTCCGCGTCAAGCGTCTGTGAGGTCGAACATGCACGAAGGAACAGTGCGGTCCTGGCTGCCGCAACGGAATTTGCTGAGGTCAGTCATTTTGCCAGTCAGACATTACACAGTCTTTTCTCTCTGTCGTGTTCTGCGAATACTTGCGAGTCTGGTAGAGACGGAGATTGTAGCAGACGGATTTCTTTTTCGTATATATTTATGCTCCGTGTACAAGTGTACGTAGATCCGTAACAAGTTTGTTCAAAATTCTCTCGGGTGTAGTCGCTCTTCTTCCTTTTTTCTTTCAGCTCGGAGCTCAATTCTTTTCATGTCATCAAATGCATCTTTAAAAAGTTCCAGCATTTCGATTCGTTGCGTAAATCTCGATGGCCGATGCATTGGTGAACCGCAGAATTTTGCCGTATTCGCGAGTCATGCGGTTTTAAGTTCTCCTAAATGGAGGGAAAAATGAGAGATATGAAAGATGGAATGAGATTAAAATTCAGAACACGTCGGGAGGATGAGGAACCGGAGAATTGAGGACGAAGAGACGAGTAGAACCACAGAGGAAGAATCGATAGAGCTTATGATTAAAAGAGAAGATAAGGTGAGGAACAGGCAGAAACAGAAGGCTGCCAAGAAGAGACGAGACAAACGGCCTGAAATTACAGTCCGAGGTGAGAATATGGGAGGTGCGGACGGGATGGCTGAGTGGAAATATGGTGATTGATACCGTTGATAGAAGCGAAGTGGCGAAAAATACGAGAACGTTGAACGGGAAAGAACTCTGAAGAGGACCGAGGCTGCGAACGGCGGATAACGCGCGGACACGCGAGCGCGCGCGCACCCGCGCGGCTAGATTGAGTAAGAGAGAGTATAGAGAATAGAGTAAGTGGCGGAAAGAGCGGATAAAATGGAAAAGCATTGTTCGCCACGAAGAGACGGAACGAGAGATGAGCGGAGACAAGGAGGTAATAGGGCCGGATTTAGCTGGATAGTCGCCCAGGGCGTTATCGAGCAGGAGACGCTGGTCGAAGAAACAGGAGAGAACGAGAAGTCTCGCCGCGTTTTCTTACTTTATTTATCATTTTCGTTATGTAGGTCAAGCGGTCGCGGGACATCGGCTGATTTCCTCACCTCTTGCCCGACCGCGTTGGACGGAATTATCCGGACGGCAGTTGCTTTCTCCCGCTTTTCCCTTTCCTCCTTTCCTGTCCTTTTTTCCTTCCCGGGATCCGACCGATGATGTAATGTAAGAGAACTAAAGTCAGCTAACGGCGGACGAGCTTAAGCCGAAATAAGTCCGTTTGACCCGGAACAAGCTCGATTACGACGGAACACAATGACTTGCGCGAGAGAGCGACGGGGTAAATCGGAAGGAGTAATTCGGATCGGCGTTATATTAAACTATACAAGTAAGAAAAACATATAAAGGGAGGTTCACGCTGGGAGATTGATTCTCGTATAACGAAGACGAAGACGTCGCGTCGGGGGGTGCAGCAGCGAGCGAGGAGAATGACGGAAGCTCGCAACTCTCCGGCGCGCGAGCGACTTCATGCGAAGAAACACTGCGAGCACGCCGACAATGAGGACAAAGGACGAAGGAATGAATGAATGCAAAAATACGAGGAACCGCCACACAGTACGATAAATACGAGGGTTCGCATGAAAGGCGAGAAGCGCGGACTCGGTAGCTAACTCCTGTCTTTCTGTCGCTTTTCCCTCCCTTTCTTCCTCCCTCCCTTCGTCCCCCCCCTCTCTCTCCCTCTCTCTCTCTCTTCTCTCTCGCTCTCTCTCGCTATCATTAAGAGAACCGCGCGAATGGAGCGAGCGGGCGAAGCTGAAAGCCAGCGTTCCTCAA